AATGTCCGAATGTTTGCTGGGCAGTGTTTTAAAAAGTGCACATAAGCTAGATGGTTTAAACCAGGTAAAAATAGACTTGTGGGTGTAGGTATGTTCAAGTTTAAAAAGTTCTTGCCTCATTAATGTATTGTTTATTTTTTTCAGCATTTAATTGACAAATTATCCTTTCAAATAATTAATTGAGTTACATAATTGTCCATTTAGAATTGTTGAATGGACTGAGTAAAGTTTGGTGCACTTTATATATTTCAAAACATGTTTTTTTTTATTATGCATATAAATAATTTTAATGTTAATTTATTGAAATATTTCTATTTTTTCATTACCTCACCCTTGTTTTGACAAAAACAAGACCTTGCTGGATAATATCACGGAGAAACTATTTGTTCACAGTACATGGCTCAGTGAGGATCTGTATACCAAAGGAGGAGATACTCAGAAATCTGTCTGCAGATTGTTACAACCCAGACTGGAAGTGGTGGGCTGTAATAAGAAAGGAGACCAAACAGAGGAGTGGGGGTTCAACAACTGATTTATTTAACCAAAGTAAGGATTTACTAAAGCAGATCAGTGCAGTCAAGAATTACTGGTGTTTGGGTAGTCCTGAACGTGTTGTGATGCCCCCACCGTCTCATTGGGTTTTCATTTGTGTTTAATTGTGTTTTTCTTCTGTTGTAGGCAGCTCGTTAAGCAGCCTTGGAGGCACCTGGGCTCAGGGTGTGGTGCTGCCTACAAAGCCTACTGTTTTTCTGCTTTCACTGGGTCTCTCCTGTGTGGTGGAGAGTCCTCACTGGCCATTTTCTGTTCACTAACTTGCTTTAGTAAATCCTTACTTTTGTTAAATAAATCAGTTGTTGAACCCCCACTCCTCTGTTTGGTCTCCTTTCTTATTACAGCCCACCACTTCCAGTCTGGGTTGTAACAATCTGCAGACAGATTTCTGAGTATCTCCTCCTTTACACAGATCCTCACTGAGCCATGTACTGTGAACAAATAGTTTCTCCATGATATTATCCAGCAAGGTTCCGTTTTTGTCAAAACAAGGGTGAGGTAATGAAAAAATAGAAATATTTCATTAAATTAACATTTAAATTATTTATATGCATCATTAAAAAAAACATGTTTTGAAATATATAAAGTGCACCAAACTTGACTCAGTCCATTCAACAATTCTAAATGGACAATTATGTAACTCATCAATTAATTATTTGAAAGGATAATTTGTCAATTAAATACTGAAAAAAATAAACAATACATTAATGAGGCAAGAACTTCTCTCTCTCTCTCTCTCTCTCTCTCTCTCTGGAAGCCCCACTCTAAGGGAGTTTGCAGTGTATTAGTGAGTCATATATTGTACAACCACAGTCATAAAGTTTTCAACCAGTAGTTTTATTTCAGTATGTATTTTTCCAGTATCACCAAAAATGTAATTTTATATGGTTAAAACCATCTAGCTTATGTGCACTTTTTAAAACACTGCCCAGCAAACATTCGGACGTTTAATGACAGTTGAACGGTCACAACTGTAAAATACCTGAAATTAAGAAAAATTAACATGACATCTACTGCATTTTCCTTGCCCGGACTCAAACCTGGATCCTCCGGGCCGAGAGTCACCCGCTCTCCCAGCTGAGCTATGCCAGCAACTACTGAATGTCAGACTTTTTTATATAGATAGAGGGTAAAGTGCGGGGTAAACTAACCAATCAGAGGACAGAGAAGATCTGCCACAGGCCACGCCTCCAGAGTGCCAAAAGCCCTTACAGCCGAGCGAGCAGGAGTCAGAAACCGAGCGCGCAGAGAGGCTGCCGAGCGCGCACAGAGGCTGCCGCGCGCGCACGTTCTCCTCTGCCGTGTGCTCGTTGACAACACGCGCACGCAGGTTTGTCACTTGTGCACATCCTTGTGCGCTCACAGACACAGTTTGCTCCCTCTCAGTGCACAAATGACCTCTCGCCATGTATATTTCCGCTCGCGAGACCCGTTCACACGCGTGCTGCCATGTATATTTTCGCTCGCGAGTCCCGTTCACACGCGCGCTGTGGACCCAATGCGTGTGCACGGGTTGTGGCACGCTTTAAACGCCATATAAAACGGCCCAGCTGGCCACGAATGCTGCCCTGGTGCTGTCCATGGTCCTGGATGAAAGCTGGTTGTTTTCCAAGGGCAGCTGTCCAAGGTGCTGCACTGCTGAACAGGGAAACGGCACACCCTGGGCCAAGGAAGCGCTGCACACACACTGGGGCTCCAAAACGGCGGCGGCCGTAACAGTACAACATATGTGTGATCCAGGGTCTAAGTCAAAGCGGATTAGAAAATAACGTTTTTAGCCCCGTTGACTTGCAATCATTTTTTCGTTCTTCCAGGGACCCATGATGTGGAAGTGACTTGGGGTCTCTATAAGCTGTAAAGCTACAATATCTGGGAGGGCTCGGGATAGAGCCACTGCTCCTTTAGCAAGTGAGAGGTGGTTCTGATTTACCCACTTGTGACATCACAAACGGACACTTTATGAAACGGTTTGTTTTAGGCTTGTAAGTAAAACCAAACACTGATAAAAATTGGGTGGATGGATTTTTTTCACGTTTGGAGTGTTTATAAAGGCAGTAGAGACTATGCTATCACCACCATGTCTAATTGATAGCATAATATTTTACTGAAATCCTGTTTTATCAATTAGACAAACACCTTCAGGAAAGTTCCACTTTGTCCAGTTAGTCCATGAGGATCATTAAGATTGTTTGGCAATTGTAAGATCGATGTTTATCTTCAACTTGAATGATGCGTTTCTTTTGGAGATATTTTACCATACTTCATGTGCTCATACACATTATTTAGACATGATTTCCTAATTTTACATTCATCAGCAATAAGGCTCATTTGCTGTTAGTTAAATGACCCGCACTTGTATAGCACCTTTCAGAGTCAGAAGACTCCAAAGAGCTTTACACTACAGTGTATCATTCATCCATTCACACACACATTCAAGCGCTAATGGTGATGAGGTGTAGCCACAGCTGTCACTCTGACCACCGCCAGCAGGCAAGGTGTCTTGCCCAAGACACAACAACAGCAGCGTTCTCTGCCGGGAGCCATGATCAGTCCGACAATCCTACGAATACTGGACAACCTGCTCTCTACTTTTCTGAGCTACTGCTCTCCCATTAAAATTAATGCTGCTTCAGTTTGGATCACTTTCTTCACTTAATATGTGAAATCATCATTTGTAAACTGCTTATTTATTAAGATTATCTTGGTCTGATAATGAAATTGCTAATTACTCTCACTAACCTTTGAGACATAATTGTATGGTGTGTCATACACTGGTCTGACCCAGGTTAAACACAGATCTGGTCCACTGGGACCAACCAGTCCAAACACCTTTAAATCATCAATTCCTTTAAGTAACACTGGCTTTACTATCTCTAGTTTTTATTATTATTATTTGTTGTAACAGTTTAATCATTATTATTGTTGTTGTTAATATTATTCCTCTAAAGCCCCAAATAAATAAAAAAGACTAGAAATTTTTAAATAATTGATTTTGGGGGATGTTTAAGTAAACTTGAGCTCATTTCAGACCATGGGTATTTAATTCTGGTCCTGGAGGGCCGGTATCCAGCTCGCTGTGGTTTCAACTCTGCTTCGACACACCTGATTTCAATCAGCAGGTGATTGACAGGCTTCTGAAGAGCCTGATGAGCTGCTGCACAAGTAAATCAACCTCTGAATCTAGTGTGTTGGACTAGAGAAACCACTAAAACATGCTGGATACCGGTGCTCGAGGCTCGGTCAGCATCTGCTCCTAGCCTCCTGTATCTCGTCTCCCCTTGTTAGTGTTGATTTAACTCACCTGCCCTTGTTACCCTACCCAACTGGCTCCCTGATGATCCTCATGTATCTAAAGATCAAGTCACCCTTACTGGAGTCTAACTCCACTCCCATTTCCTGTTTGAAAATGCACCACAAGGAGGCATTGCCTGGCAGACCAAGAGGGCAGAGTTGCTAACAAATACGCACGCATAGGATCACAGCGGCATTATTACATCATATGGTACCAGCTAACGTCATAGAGTACTTCTTAGCCAATAGCGATAGCAGATTAAAATTCAAATGAAGTGTAGACTTTTTAATTGAAGAGGGCGCAACATTGACAGTTTTAGGCAGAATTTTCAAATTTTAACTAAGATGCACTAAAGTGCCAAATTATTGACTACACATGTCCAAAGCATGATTACACTCGTCTATATATTTTATCATCAAAAAAGTTGATTTGGGGGTAACCTGCTCTTTAAACCCTCTGTTTGTGCTTGTTTGTGTCAGATCCTCATCTTGTCTTCCTACACCTTTATTATTCAAATAAATGTGTTCTTTTAAACCTGCAAACCTGCATCATGTGCCTGTTCTCCTGCATCTGGGTCCAAACACCAACTCCACAATGTGACACAGCCAGCGTTCTCGATGTGTTCTTGAATTTCTGAGTGAATTGAAAATTAAACAATGTCTTTGTATCTTCTACTTATGCAGGGCAATAGGGGGCATAATGCCACAAAAAATAACATACTAACAATTTAGGATAAAGTTTTTTTTTGTCAAGCATCCTCAGATTTTTTTGTATTAAAGGCTTCATTTAAATAAAGGGATGAAAATTGGCTCCATCAGAACATTAACGGGTTTTAAAAAACTTGTAGTTCAAATTGTTTGAGATTTATTATGAATTATTCTGATTATATGTGAGATTATCAAAGCAGGGCACCAATTTAAAAGGTGAAAAAAACAATGTTTGATGTCAATTAAGTAACAAGATAGTCTCAACGAGGCCACAGTTCCCAAAATGACACATAATTACAGCTACAAGATATACTCTTATTACTGTTTTTTTATTGTCGCTGCCATTTCTAGATGCTGCTTGTGCTGATAGGAGGATCTGTAATCAGAAAAAAACTGCCTCTTACTGAGACAACACGATGAAGGATTTGTGAATAAATATTCTAATGATACCGTGACTGGGTCGGGTTTCTTTACTCCTCTCCTATAAAAGCCCTCCAAGCGTTCCTCTGAGAAAAACATTCCCTCTGACATCATGGAAGCAGATAAGCTGATTGAATCCATCTTCAGAGCCTTCATGTTTATGGCAGGAATCCTGGGAAACAACTGGCTGGCTGTAGTTTCTCTCCCCAGAAAAATGTCAGAAATTCACACCAACGAAGTCCTTTTCATCAACCTGGCCGTCTCCAACCTCATCACAAACTACCTGGTGGACTTGCCTGACACGGCCGTAGACTTTGCCGGACGCTGGTTCCTGGGGGAAACCTACTGTGGCATCTTTCATTTTTGCTCTGATCTCTCTGAAACCAGCAGTATCTTCACAACACTCTTCATCAGCGCTTTCTGGCACCAGAAGCTGGTCGGCTCCCTGAGGCGTGGAGGTGCTCCGGTGCCGCTGGACAGCTTGCACCTTGTAGGGTGCCTGCTGGCTGGGAGCTGGATGCTGGCCGTGGCCTTCGGCGTCCCTCACTACTTCTTCGCCTCATTGGAAAGAAGGAACGAGAGCCATGAGAGCTGCGTACAGGTCTTCCCTGATGCACTTTCTAGGCAAACCTATGAGACGACTTATTTAACCGTGGCTAACGTCCTTCCTCTTGCAGGAATCTTCATTGCAAGTGTTCAGATTGTTGTGACTTTGCTCCAAAACCAGAAGCGCATCCTAAGCCATAACTCTGACCCAGCCAAGCAGATGATTAAAGGAGAAAGTGAGAGCAAAAGCATCAATACCATTTCAGTTGGGATTGTTTCTGATCCAGACACCGCCAAAGAGCTCAAAGACTCTTCATCCCGAATTCACACGCAGGTCGAGAAGTCACCGAAACACAGGGCAAGATCAAGCCCTCAGGCGCGGGCGGCCAAGAGCGTGGTGGCTGTGGCCAGCGTGGTTGTGGTCTGCTGGCTGACTCATCTGCTCCTGCGCATCTCCAGCAACATCCACACTTCATCAGTGGTGCTGGAGGTGGCCAGCTATGTGGCAGCCTCCTACAACTGCATCATCCCCTACATATTTCTGTACGGGGTGAAAAAAATGACTTGCTCGTGCAAAACGAAAGGCTAAATAATGGTACAGATCTTTTAATTATGCAAGCATTACAATAAGCTTCTGCAGAAGAAGACCCTGGCTGTTTTAGGGTGCCATTTGTGAAGTCAAACAGTCATAACTTAGCAGTGATAATTTGGGTTATTTAGCCTACCATAAAAGTCATATTTTCACCATGTTATTCATACATTGTTAAATGTAAACGTACCCAAATAAATATTCAGCCATCAAGCTAAATATTTGTTTTTACTAACAAAATACTTAATTTGGAGCAAAACATTTAGTTTTCAAACTAAATAAGTAGTTTCAAATTAAACACTTTTTTCCTAAATGGATATTTCGATCCCAGCTAAATATTTATTAATGTAATATTTATTTTGGAGTTAAACATTTAGTCCATAAAATAAATATTTAGGGATGAATCTAAACACTGCTTTTGCAAACTAAATGTTTAGCTCCAAAATAAATATTTAGCTGGGATCTAAATATTTAATTTGGAGCTAAATGTTTAGTTTGTAAACTAAATATTTAGCTGAAAATTAAATAATTAGTAAAATAAATATTTATTTTACAAAGTTAATATTTAGGTCTGACCTAAACATTTATTATTTAACTCTAAATTAAATATTTTGCTTGCTAATTAAACATTTAGTTTGGTTCTTTAACATTTATAAATGCATGAATAACATTGTGGAAACATGATTTTGAAAATGAACTCCCACTTTTTTTGGCTAAATAACCCAATTACTGATGTTAAATTATGACCATTTACAAATGGCACCCTATGGCAGACTATTTAAGTTTATAAAGAACTAAATCTGTTAAATATTAATGAGTCAAATTAACTCCTAGATTCCTAACATGAAGCTAAAGGTGAAATTATTTGTTGCTCCAGAGCTCGGAAGAGCAGAAAAATGAGATTTCAGACTCAGTTCACCAGTGATGGTCATAGGCCAGCAGGCATTTCATATCCAGTGTTTTTTTTTTTTATTGGCTGTGTGTAATCGTTCATGTTTTCTACTGAACCATGTCAACTCACTTTAAAAAGGTTTACCTGTTTCCCTTTAAAAAGTCATATAAAAATGCATTTAAGATTTTGCATTTGAGCAGTTTCTTCATTTATCTTTAAATATTTTACTTTTCAGCTTAAAAGCTACAAAATATTAAGTGGTCGTAAATAATATATGAATATACAGCACACATAAGAGCCTTTGCTTTGATATTCGTGAATCTGAATATACTAATCAGCTTGATTTGAAAAGAGCAGGGATAATTTCCCCAAGTGTTTATCCTGTAAACATCACATACTCTCACCCTCGGGTGGAACCTGCTTGTTGACTCATCTCACAAAGGAAAATCAGGGCAAAATTACTTCAACCTAAAATGAAACATAATTGCGTACCACCTTCAGTTAATTGGAGACCATCAGCAATTTGAGGCTTGTTAATTAGGAGGGCGAGAAACCCAGAGTGCTGCTTTAAATGAAAAAACAAGTCACATTACTAACATACCAATCTGATGTTCCTTCTTGCCAATTAGCTGTAAACCTTCACACAAGGCTGTCATCAATACGAGTTGTGACAAGTTTGATTTATTTATAAAATGTTTTATTTTTTTCCTCCAAATAAGACCAGAATTTTCATTATAACTAAAAATGTTCTGCATTCAAAACAGATACAAAGTTGTTATTAAAAGTGGACCATTTTACAAGCAGATTATGTCCTAAACAATGCTCAGGTGTGTGTGTGTGTGTGTGTGCGCGCGCGCCTTGGCAGCCATGACATCAAAGTTCTGTACATAATTGCAAAACATCAAACATATTTGTCACAAAAAAAATCCCAAATCTGGGACCAAATGAGTGTTTTAACATTTGCGAACTGATCATAATAATATTATTAATAATCAGTAAATTGATGTTTTAATGAACATTAAGCTGTTTTTTTTCTTTAAAAAAAAACCTTTTCCAGATGTTTTCTTTTCAACGTTCCAATTCTGCAAGAAGTTTAAACCAACAAAAATGTATCAAATAAGTTATAAAACGCTAAACTCTGAAAACACACACTGGTGGGATAATGAAGCAAACTGTGGCAGAAGACTCAAAAGTCACATCTTCCCAGCTGATAAAGACTTAAATCAGCTGTTTGCCTAAAACTAGAAGTCCCTCCTCCCTCTGAGGGATCCGGTCAGTGGAGTCTCTCCAGCTTCGCCTGAAGTGACTTGAAGTTGCCGATGGTTTGTTGAAGGGCTGAGGTTGGACTTAGAGACTGCAGCTCCACCAGGTATCCGCAGATGTTGTCCAGGCACACGTTAGTGAACCGCCGCCTGGAAAGCATCACACTGAGTTAACGGCAGGTTTTAGGATGAGGTGGAGCTCAAACCGAACTTAGTTCTCAGATTTGTTTATCTGAGAGTTTTCACCTTGTAAAGACTGGCAAGTTCAGAGAAGTGTAACTAAACACTTTCTCACACAAAGAAGACCGACCTAAAGAAATACAATCTTACCTTAAGAAAACATGACTTCCTAATTATTTACCAGGTTCTGTAGACTTGGTATTTTTGGTTGAAAATTGCATTAGTCCTTTAAATGGAAGTGACAAACTTTATCTGCATTAAGGAAATTTCAAAAATGACCTTGTACATATGGCGCTTTGAAAGCACTAAAGAGTCTTTAACACTTTAAGCTATTGGTTTCAAACTGGTTTCAGTGGTTCTTGAGGCAGAAACTTGAGCATTTTCACATTGGACAGCACTCTGCAGCCCTCTGCTGACCAGAGACCACACTTGACAGTACTGTGGTACAGGTAGGTGCAGGGAGAGCTCTCTACTAGAGAATTCCTTTGCAACACTCCCAGGAGACAAGACAAATCCGAGAACAAAATGCCTATCCGTGCGTGCCTCTCCCTCGTGGAGCTGATGGAGAAGTATAAATCAGGCTTGACTTTAAGACAAGTTTTTTATTTATATATATATATATATATATATATATATATATATATATATATATATATATATATATATATATATATATATATATATATATATATATATATATATATAAATTGGACTGTCGGGTATATGATGGAATTGCAAAAAAAACCAAAAAGTGCAGGAGTTGTGCAATATTTGCAACTTTCCACAGCTGTTTCACATTTCTTGCACCTTCTTTTGAGATATTAGTTCCAAAAGATTTCAGACATGCAACGAATCTGATATCATGTTTAATGCAATTTTTTTCTAGCTTTTTACAGCTTTTGTGCAGTTTGGAGGGGGTGGGTGTCCCCAGCCAGTTGGCTACTGGCTTTATTGACAACACAACCCATTAGAGACCAGCATGTAGCTGAGGGCTCACCTATCGTAGGTCTGGACTCTGCTGGGGTCTTCTACGTATCCCGAGAGGAGGACATGGATGCACTCCACCAAATGTAGAGGCTTCCTCAATCGCTGCCAGCAGGGATCCTAGGGGGTGAAAAACCATTTCCATATTCATGCGTTCAGAAATAAAAAAAATACAACAAAACTCTAGAAATGAATTAATTACCCGAGATTTAAAGAGCTGATCGTAGACTTCCAGAAGGCGGGGCAGCTGCACTCCAATCTCCAGCATGGTAGACGAGACGAATCCCACATCCCAGTTCAGCCGGCAAACCTCCTGCTCCAGGAACTTCACCAGGAACTCTGCAATTACACATCAGCACCTTCTCACACTGCACGCTCATCATGTTTCCTCTGATGATCCAAGGATCTATATGAAATCAATCAATGTCTCCACAGACGGGACGAGTTTGGACTCGCTGGTTTTAAAAGGAGAATAATTAAGCGAAACACAGCTGCTGGGTTTAAACAGAGCTTACCCCAGAGACAAAGCCAGATGAATAATGCATGAGGGAAAACTAATATGACGTAAACAGCAAGCAGATAAAAACTCTCACAAGATTTAAACTGAATACGACTCCAGCATACCCAGAGGGAAGTATCTAGGAGTTCCGGCGTATATCTTCCCTAGTGAGACCAGCTTTAGATTAAGGGATCTCATCCTGTCCACAGGACTCATGGCCACGCTGTCGCCCAGCTCTGAAACACAAAACACTCCAACAGTAGGCAACCAGCTTGTTTTTAAAAGATGCAACATAATATTGACATTTTGCTCACCTTTTTCCAAGATTTCCTGCCACAATGAGTGTACTAGGATAGGATCCGAGTGCCCTGCACAGTGGATGATGGCCAGCTTGCATTCAGACAATTTGAAGTGATCAGCAAACTCTCCATAGAGCTGCACAACAACAAAAAACCCAGCTCAGATTTAAACATGTTGGTGAAAAGAGTAGCCTTTGTCCTTTATATCTTCTGACGTCAACCTTTGTGATGTCCATGAGCTCAGCGTCCAACTGGGAGATGGCGTTTTTCACTGAGGGATGATGGGAGTACTGTCTGATCAGGGTTTCCTGGATCTGCACTTGAATACGGACAAGCTAGGAGAAGGCCAAATATATTTTTTAAATGTCAACAAAGCGTCGGCTAACATTTATCTCAATCACCAGTCAACTCCAGTACCTCCATCTTATCCTCGAGCTCGCGAAGAAACTCTCCGTCAGACGCCCGAGCCGACACGCCGGAGGAACTCTTAGCAGACAGAATGGCTCGAGCAATGTACTCCAGACGCTGCTTCAGAGAGATCTCAGTGCTGCGTGATCAGAGAAGAAATGTGAAATATACACAAAGGTAAACATAAACAAAGCACACGTCCTCCTGTTGTGTGTAAACCTGTGCAAATCAGCCAGCCGTGCCAGTACATGAGCCGCTTTGCCGAAGTTACGGTTCTTCTCGTAGTAGCGCCACAACAGGTCCATATTATGAACTTTACTCTGGTCCTGTCTGATCATATGCATCAGGTGTTCTTCAAGATAAGGAGAATTCACCTGAGAGAAATCAGTAGACATTGGGATGACAAACAAATAGAGAGGAAAGAATCCAAATTTTATTTTAATGACATCATTTATGGGCACCAGACACGCAAGTATAAGTGAAGTTTAACAGCTATCTGAAGTGCTACATGTTTACGAATTTTACCCGAATATCATCAAACCAGAGTGGACAGAAAGAACATTAAATGTGTGGTTCACTGAAAAACTATTTTTTAATGACTATTTTTGAATATAATCGGTCACTGAGCTTTTCATGCAGGCTACACATGAAAATTGTCTCCTACATCTATCTCCAGCTTTGGTCTCTGATAGAAAATAGACGGTGAAACGCTAGGATTTGAAAAGCCTGACAGATCTACATCACACTGTCACTTCGCATTCATCGACTCACCCATTTTGACTCACGAAGGGGAAGGCTGCTGTTGGTTTAGCGTCCAGGAAACAGTAGAGAATGTTTCAACTAAAATAAGCTAATCTTTAGCATTAGCAACTCCACCACACGGCAGAACTCCAGGCTTGTGTTATTTGTGGAGATAAAACATCAACGTTGCAGAGAAAACAGAGTCATGCTGCTGTTATCCAATCAGAGGTGACATGTGTGTCCAAAAGTCAGGAAATAAGACCCCAAATCCTGACGCTCAACTCTGATCTGGCTCACTGCTTGTTTCTGAAACAAGAGCACCAGGTCTTTTTCTCCCCAGAGTACAAGTTACAAGGCATCCATTCCAACTAGAGACCACTGCAAATGTATTGATTAAATGAGAGTTCCAAGCCTTTAAAACTCGCCTCTAGATGTACCTTTTTTATTTTAAATGAATAAATAAACAGTTTTGAACACTGAAATGTGCCAGCTTTAGTTTGAACTGTTCAAAGATTATTTTAAATTTTCTTTTAATGTTTATTCTTTTAATGAAGCATACTTTGCTATGTTTACTCTTTTAAAGTTATTTTAACATTGCTTAACTGTTTGGTTTAAAAGAAAACTGAGCACTCATGTCCTCGCTGTGCGTTTGTCTTTTTAACACCTTAATCCAACAGCTGAAATGTCTCCCCAGTCTTCCATCATGTCTATAGGAGTGATTCATCACTAAATTAAACAAATCAGCTTTGTTCATGATCTAAAACATGCAGGTAATGTGCTGGAAGCAGACTGCAGCACCAGCATGTTAGCTCCACTTTACTAAGACTAACGCCCAGAACACACCAGACGCAGAGGCGCAATGACGCGCAGCGGAACGACGAGCGCATCTAATCTACGCCCTTGTTAACCTGCACTTTCGGTCACATCAGCTGCAAAGCACCACGAAGGCTCGCTCCGTGCAGCAATTGTTTCGGCGTGAGCTCTAATTTTTTATTCTGGCAGGAAGTCAAACCAAAACAGAAGAGGCAGGCCGGTAAATTAACAAAATAGATTGATAAATGTGATCATTTCTGTGTATCTAAACAGACTAGAGAAACGAAAATCAACACACACAAAACTGAAGCAACATAGCGTTTCCACAATTTTAAATGCAGTTTTTACAGCTAAAGATGGAATTAATTAATGTGATTACAAACAAATATCTTTCATTCAAAGGTAAATGTACAATAGTATTATACAATACCGCAAACACTAGTTATTTACTTAACCCTTTAGAATGGAACTGGTCTACAAAACAGCAGAAGGATCAGCGCAGTTTCTGATATCAACAAACTAGGCAAACTGGTAACACACACACACACACACACACGCACGCACGCACGCACCAAGGGCACAGGGGTGGAGTGGGGGTTTGAAAAACAGTAGGCGTGAGCAGTAGTGCTCATCAAAAATTCTCGCCTGATGTGAACAGAGAAGGAATGGACAGTGCGCAAATTTCGTGAGCTATCCACTTGGCGGCGCTTCGGTCTGTTCTGGTCGTAACTGGGAGCAGACAGTCACTCTGAAATTGCAAGTGTAGTATTCTGGCCACAGAGGATGGTGGGATCTGAGTAACCCTTCAAAGGATAATTTTAGCACAAACTGGCTCAAGAAAATAATTAAAAAATATGAAAAACTGGCATAGAATGCCTTTAAATGTTTTACTGTGATTAACAGTATACAGCCGTACAGCAGTCAATCTGTGGACAGTTTGTTGAAAAGGGCTCCAAAAATAAAGATGACTGGTTGATTAATTGATCTTTGTCAATTAAAAATACATTGTCCATGTAGAGGTTATAACATGTCAATAAAGGTTCCTTTAAGCCCCTAAAAGAAGCTGAATTCATGCCTAAAAGGAGGAAACCTAAAAGTACCTCGAGCAGCTTGTCGGAGAGGTCGGCTTGAATCAGCCAGTTGTACAGAGCGATGTGAAACAGTTCATCCTGAGACCTCTGGGCCAAACCGAGCATCTGCTCAAACTGTAGGGGAACCACAAAGTCACATTATAAATTCAGAATGTGTACAGAAATTAGCAAGAACTACCCTCTTGTCTTTTCTTCATCACTCACATGGGCTGTAGCTTCTTCGTTGCTGAGCATGTTGGGATCAGAGGTCATGACAGGAGGTCCAGGCTGCTTGGGGACACTGGGAGATTGAGGGGCAGCTTTGCTCTGGTTCACCAGCTCCTGCATGGTGTCTGTGATGCACTTGTAGCAAGAAAGTCTGAAGAAAAAAAAAACAGAAGAAAACCGTTGAAGAAAAACAGCAGACAATTTGGACATTAGTGCCGCCTTTTGATGGCGTCACCTCTCTTGGAAGGCCTGCTGCCCCGTTTTGTCCTCCTCAGGCTCTCCGTTCTTGTAGAAGTGGGGCCCGAGTCTCTGGGGATCCTTTTTATCTGCCGCTGTGAGGCACAACTCAAGAACTCCCTCGTAGAAACGCACTGAGAAATGAAATACCATTAGACGATGTGGCAGCAGCACAGACAGTCGCAGCGTGTTTTGTGCCCCCACCCACCTTGTCTGTACTGGGAGCAAACCAGTGGCAGGTCTATGTTCTGGCTGATCTGCTGGTAGAGCTGTAAAGACTCCCTTAAAGTTCTCTCTTTATCGATCTTGTTCTGGATCTGTTTAGAGCTCTGCAACATCTCATTAGCCTAAGAGGGGGAGGAAATCAAATTCAGTTTACCGAGACACAAAAATCTATGTGAGCTGATCGATATCATGTCCGGGCAGGACCTTGTTGCACCTAAAATGATCTGGAGGGTTAGGGAACTAAAAGAAATAAACAAACATGTGAAAAATATATCAGTTAAAATGTGAAAGTCTTAAAGGTGGCTTGTGTTGGTGAAAATCAACAAAGGTGTGTGTGTGTGTATGTGTGTACCTTTGAGCAGATGCTGTCATCGCTGCTGTACAGCAGTGGACAGATGTCCCGTAGGTGATTGCTGATGGCGTCCACAGAGGCGTTATCTTTGATGTAAACGTTAATAAGGCCTGTGATGAGTGCCCCAGATAATTCCTTCCCTCGGATCACTACGTCCTTAAAACTTGCCCCCTTTATCTGCTCCTGAAATTCCTACAAAAAAAGGGTAGAATAAGTAGAGAGCATCAGAGCAGCGCCTGTTTGCTATGCTAAAGCGCTTCTGCCCACCTTTGGCAGCTCAGACATAATGAGGCTGAACTGATGATCGCAGAGAAGCTTCCAGAGTGCCAGAGTTTGATAAGAGCGGTGCACTAGCTGCTGGATGCCCTGCAGCGACACTTTCTCATAGACCTGAGCTTTGGCTAGTGAAAAAACGAATGAAAACAACATTTTTTTAACAATCAAAGCAATGAGTTGAATACAAATCTATACTTGTTTGCAAACTTTAATAAAAAAAAAAACTGAAGAGGAAAATGATGAAATTCCAGTTCAAAACTCACTGTGGTATTTCCTCTGAAGCTCCTGCTGCACCTGCTGGGAGCCGGCTCCGTCGGGACGCATGAATCCCAGCAGCCTTTGCTGCAGGTTGGCTGGAGAGCTGAAGCTAATGAGAATCCAAGCACAAAGGACCAGAATAAAGACAGAGACAGTCTATTAAAGTTTATGAATTAATGAAAAGAAAGTAAAACTCGGGTTAACTAGTTTTCACATCAGCTTCTCAATCAGTTTAAAGCTCGAAAAGGTCAACTCTGCTGGCATCAAGCTAAAAAAACAAGATGTTTAGTCAGATCCTAACTACAGATGGCACAGCAGGTATCAAACTGGGACACTTATGCATCATTTCAGGTTTTTGTACCCTAATGAGAGCTGATTACTGCTCCTCTTACTCTGTCAGAAGTAAAGTAGGGTAGCATGAGAGCCTGTGCTCACATGGTGCTTTTATCTAACATGTCTTTAAAATTAATGTGTCACTACATTACGACAAAGCACTGCTGTAAGCCGCCGCTGCAGTGGCGCACAGATATAACACAGCGGTCAAAAAAGCCACCGGCTGCTGAAAAAAAATGGCAGTCTCATCCATATTTTGTGAAGAACCAAAAGGAAGTGCATCAATACTTCCTGTAAGTGGTCTTTTATTTAATCTAATTACTTGATTGTTGCTGAGCTATTATAAACTACTACACTCAACAAAAATATAAACGCAACACCTTTGTTTCTGCTCCGATTTTTCATGAGATGGACTTAAAGATCTAAAATTCATTCCAGATACACAATATTACCATTTCTCTCAAACATTGTTCACAAATCAGTCTAAATGTGTGATAGTGAGCACTTCTGCTTTGCTGAGATAATCCATCCCACCTCACAGGTGTGCCACATCAAGATGCTGATCCGACATCATGAGTAGTGTACCTTATACTGCCCACAATAAATGGCCACCCTGGAATGTGCAGTTTTGCCTCACAGCAAAATGCCACAGATGCCACAAGCATTGAGGGAGCGTGCAATTGGCATGCTGACAGCAGGAAGGTCAACCAGATCTGTTGCTCGTGCATTGAATGTTTATTTCTCCACCATAAGCTGTCTCCAAAGGCATTTCAGAGAATATGGCAGTACATCCAACTGGCCTCACAACCGCACACCAGCCCAGGACCTCCACATCCAGCAGGTTCACCTCCAAGATTGTCTGAGACCAGCCACTCAGACAGCTGCTGAAACAATTGGTTTGCATAACCAAACAATTTCTGCACAAACTGTCAGAAACCGTCTCAGGGAAGCTCAACTGCATGCTTGTCTCCTCATCTGGGTCTTGACCTGACTCCAGCTCGTCGCCATAACAGACCTGAGTGGGCAAATGCTCACATTCGATGGCGTCTGGCACATTGGAGAGGTGTTCTCTTCACGGATGAATCTCGGTTTGCATTGTTCAGGGCAGATGGCAGACACCGTGTGTGGCGTTGTGTGGGTGAGCGCTTTGCTGATGTCAATGTTGTGGATCAAGTGGCCCATGGTGGTGGTGGGGTTATGGTATGGGCAGGCATTTGTTATGGATGAAGAACACAGGTGCATTTTATTGATGGCATTTTGAATGCACAGATACCGTGATGATATCCTGAGGCCCATCGTTGTGCCGTACATCCATGAACATTACCTCATGTTTCAGCAAGATAATGCACGGCCCCGTGTTGCAAGGATCTGTACACAATTCTTGGAAGCTGAAAATGTCCCAGTTCTTGCATGGCCAGCATACTCACCGGACATGTCACCCACTGAGCATGTTTGGGATGTGCTTGACCGGCGTATACGACAGCATGTACCAGTTCCCACTAATATCCAACAATTTCGCACAGCCATTGAAGAGGAGTGGACCAACATTCCATGGGCCCCAATTGACAATCTGATAAACACGATGCGAAAATGTGTTGCACTGCATGAGGCAAATGGTGGTCACACCAGATACTGACCGGTTCTGAGTCCCCAGACCCCCAATAAAGCAAAAAAACTGCACATTCCAGGGTGGCCTTTTATTGTGGGCAGTATACGGTACACCTGTTTATGATGTCAGATCAGCATCTTAATGTGGCACACCTGTGAGGTGGGATGGATTATCTCAGCAAAGCACATGTGCTCACTATCACACATTTAGACTGATTTGTGGACAATGTTTGAGAGAAATGGTGATATTGTGTATCTGGAATGAATTTTAGATCTTTAAGTCCATCTCATGAAAAATTGGAGCAGAAACAAAGGTGTTGCGTTTATATTTTTGTTGAGTGTATAAGCATGAAGTGTGGCTAATGCGCGTGTTTGTTTACGGAAGCCGGAGGCTTTTTCGACCGCTGTGTTATACCCGTGCACTGTGCAGCGGCGGCTCACAGTGGTGCTTGCTCGTAATGTAGTCCCAAGTCTAAATCGGCTCCAGGAAATCCTTCGTGTTCTTACTTTTCAGTTGAGGTCGACATGATTATTGAGCTCACCAGGAATAATTGGTATTATTATTGAGTAATTTTAATCACTTCTGCACAAAACAATGCTAGTTCCTGCTATTCACTTCCATTGTTTATGCTAAGCTAAAGCAGACAGAGTGCTACCAGACCAGGAGAATTACTGCGTTGGTAACAAAATGCTTTTTTCTCACTTATCTAACTCTGGAAATACAGAAATAGGCACAATTGACACTTATCATCATCATCATCATCGTCATCATCTTCTTTATTTATATAGCACCTTCCAACTGCCAGAAGGCTAACCAAAGTGCTGTACATGCATTAAAAACATCGCTGACCCATACAATGGTCAACAAAAATAGACATAAAAACAAATAAGAACAGGTAAAAGCAGGAGATAAGAGCAAAAAATGATAATAAAAAAGATAAAATAAGTTAAATAAAACTGGATTAAAATTAGCTAAATCATTTAAAAATATGGCTAGCTCGCCTGCTGAGGAATGCCACTGTATAAAAACGAGTCTTCATCCGACATAAGGCTGGGCGATATGGCCTAAAATCAGCACCAAGATAAATTGAGGATTTCACCTCGATAACAAAAAATAGAAGATAACTACAGGTATGCGCAGAAACAAAAGTTGTCCACTAGATGGGGCTGTTGCATGTATTACATTTAGTCACATTTTTACATGACTCAAGGTGGTACAGCTTCTTAAAGGGAAGTGAAAGTGGCCAACCTACACACATGTTTTCATTTTTTATTATCTAATTTATTGACATGGGGAAAATTATCTCAATAAGAGTCAGAAATTTCTATAATGATAAATCTGATTTATTGCCCAGCCCTAATCCGACTCTTAAAAACTGGCAGTGAGGATGCTTGTCAGACCTCCAGTGGAAGTCCATTCCATAGCTTGGGGGCCAAACCTGAAAAAGCCCCACCTCCTCTAGTTGAGCATTTTGCTCTTGAGACAACTAGTAGGTCTTGGGGGTGGAATATCCCTTTAAAGTTAGTCGATGGTATGAGAGCAAGTGATAAATGTGTTGCTGAAGGTTGAAAAAAATAACTGATTTTAAACTAGTGGCAGACTGCCAAACAGAAAACAAAGAAGTAATGCTGCTTTATGTGGAGAGATGCTTGTCAAGATGTTGCTGTCATAGAAACAAAAAGTGAGCTTTGCTGCATCAAGAGGATTGTTTGTGATACCAGGAAACAAAAAGCACTGAACAAAAACAGAGCCACTACTATACTATCTAATTTAATGAAAAAATATATATATTCAGGGAGTTTTTACCTCACAGTGCCAAGAGACGAAGGACTGAGCTGAGAGTTTTTATCCAGGAACTCCTGTAAACCTTTGAGCTGCAGGAGGACCGACTCCAGCTCAAATGAAGCCACGGTGCTTTCCAGCTGAGGGGATGGGAAACGACAGTCAGATTGAACACTAAAAACTAAAACCATCTGCTTCCAATGCTGCTATTTCATGTAAGGCAAGTGTTTTTTTAATTGCAATAAACATTTCAAGCAGTAATTTAATGATCAACTAACAACATGTCATTTGCTGTTGGCAGAGTTTCTAGATTAGTTTATATTTTCAAAATACAAAAAGAGTTGATTAGTAAAGACACTCAAAATAATTTATTTTGTCCTCGAGTCTGACAGTTAAAAGTTCTTACTAAAATTACAGATCTATATTTTCTATTTCAGAAAAAGTCAAGCATTTCCCCAGGGACTGGGGTGTAATGAACATACGTACAATAACAACCGTTTGATGTCCTTTGCTGATGGACGTCTCCACAGCGAGGCTCCCGTCCCAAATATTTCTGTAACAGACGTGAACACGAGAGAGAGAGACGAAGCTTAGGAACATCATCGACAAACACCTGATGTGCCCACATTTTTCAGTTTTGACCTAGAATAATTGTGTGTAATTACCCGAGAATACGAGCCAAGTAGATGCAGATGCCGTTGTGTTTTCCAGAGAAAATCACCTCTGGACCAGCGGACATGGGTGTGATGGGGGCGGATCCAGACTGCATGGAAACGAACGGTGTGGCGAACGCAGGGGGCATGACGCCTGAGGGAAAAAATACATTCAAAACAGATTCTAATCATTCTTTATGTTGTGATTTACCTTGTGACTAGCCTGGCCTGCCAGACTCCTCCTCTGTTTCATTCTGCACAGAGAAAGAGTCTGGGAACTCTCCTGATCAAATAACCCCACCCCGTGAGAATTCTAACCGAGCCAATCAGCGCTGAGTATCGTACGTCACACACCACAACGCCGTTTGTCATAAACATGGTGACTGAAGTGGAATTCGCAGCGGCTCATTCCTTTGTTCTAAATGATTTGAACATGTCTTTAAAACCACAAGTAGAAGCGCTAAAAGCGTTTCTTCTAAAAAAAATAAAAGATGTTTGCGCCGTTGCCAGATGCTATTTTTTTTACTACAACTAGAAATCTATCACGTCGTGCAGTACAGTCGGGATTTCCGTCTTTTTTCTGATTGGTCATTTTTGAGCTGCCTAGTCCCGCCCCACAAGTGCCTCTCTGCCTGTGAGTTACCAGACTCTTTCTCTGTGCAGAAGTAAACAGAGGACGAGTCTGGCAGGCCAGGCTACCTTGTGACACAGGTTTTGTGTGAGTCTTAACATTTTAGATGACCCACCAGGTGCTGGAGAGCTCATGACGGGACCAACAGTACTGGGCGTTGTCATGGCTGCAGGAAACCTCATCTGTGCTTCTCCCCCATACCTAAACTCCACAATAAAAAGAAAAAAAAAACTCCTATTAGTTTGAATATATTGTGAATTATTGAGATTATGCACAATTAGAAGTCAGGATCTGACCTGAAGAAGGCTCTGGTGGCCCACTGAGAGACCTCTCGGTCACAAGCAGCACTGGAGCAGGCCAGGATCAGAGCCGTGCCACAAGCCTGCTCCTCCTGAAGAAAACCGTGAAAATTGGAAGACATGTGCTGCTGCTAGCTTGTCACTAATAAATGTGTGTTTGTTTCCTAAATAAATTAAAGATGATAATAAAACCGTAATGAAACCTTGCAGTCTTACCCGGTGCAGCTTGAAGAATCGTTCAATCTCTTCACTTTCTCCTCCTGCACAGCTGACCAGGAGGTGGCGAAGCTGATCGACCGGCCGCAACTTTTGAAAGATGTGACTTCCCTAAAGGACGATGATTAAAAAATAAATCTTCTAATGCAATAGCAAGATTAACATCAGTAACACGATGAGTAAAGATAGAGCTTTTGACCTTTGCAGTCAGAAGGACGAACTTCTGAGGAGGGACATTGTGCTGCTGGACAACCACAGGCGAATCAGTGATGGGGATCTGCTCCCTGTTCAGGGGGGTAAGGATTTTGGGAGGTTTCTCTTCATTAATTTCACAAAGAGCCCACGAATGTCCATCAACGTTGGACATCACCTACAATGTGAAAGACAAGAAAGAGACGTATCTAGTAGAGTTTGTGTCCTCAAAGACATTGTCTAGAAACCCTGTAATCACAATGCTTCCTGACTCAATGACAAACCTGCGTCTCCATCAAGGGCTTCTTAAAGGGAAAGGAGTCGTGATTGATGCACCACAGAACATCACTGTCTTCTGTCTCAGACGCAGTCATGAGGAGAACACCTGTAGGATTAAAAAAATAGAGTTAGAGTTCTACAGTTATCCAAAGGAAAGGGGAGGAGAGCTCTTGAGAACTTAAAGGAACACTACAACGCAGCACAGGTGTGTCCACCATTTCAGTTTACCACTAATCTAACCTACTTTGACCAAAGAAGGCTCCCTGGACATTATTAATCACAAAAACACAGCTACAACACTGAACTTTGACACATTTTAGATGCTTACTTTGAATTACCGTAGCTCTGCAAAACTTTAGAAAAACTGTCAAATATGCTGCTCCTTTGTGAGCTCGGCATCAGGATCCCCCAATCCCCACCGGTGCTCACTGCTAACGCCGTTAACACTTTTAAGACCCCGGGAAACCCCAGATGTCTAAAATTGTTGACACGACAGATCCTGGGTAAGTCAGGATTACAGCAGCTTTGACGATCACACGATCGCGTTGCTGAAATAGTAACTTTATTTGGAAAAGGGTCAAAGTGCACGGGAAGCTCTGAGGGATTTGAGGGGTTATTTAAAATAACTCATTATTGTAACATTTGTTCAAAACTAAAAGAGCAGACAGAATGACATTTTGCCTTTAACAGTTGTTCATCAGAGAAGCTAGGGCTGCTCAATTAATCGAATTTTAATCCCAATTACGATCTGAGTTTTGAACGATTATAAAAACAAAACAAGCCAATTATTTGCTCCTCCCACTTGTGCTGCCCTGAGTTGCAAATGAAGTGCTCCTCCCACAGTGTCGCCATCTTAGCGACTTTGATGCTATTTCTAACAGCTTTTCAGACCGTTCTGAACAGTTCTAAGTTAAACATCTTTTTTTAGCAACAGTAGTTTCTGCATCTTTAACGTCCCCCTGCTTCAGCCGTCTCCCCCTGAGCAGCGGCCACAAACTCACTGATGCGCCTGCAGCCTCTCAGAGTTCCTGCTGCTCTAAACATTAAAATAATTATTTCATTTTCTGTTCCTCTGATTACCTTCAATGGTGTCTGTTTGTTGCAACCACCAGGTACAAAAACTAACTAGTTTTTATTTGACTATTTTTCTGTCCTGTCTGTTTATCATCTTCCTGCATCTCCTCTCAATCCTAAAGAGAAACTGCTACCTGGGTTCATATATATTCACCTTATGAGTTACCTTTGAACTGCAGTTCTAAAAGATCTACCGACCGCAAAAACAGCGGAGTGCACGCTGCGCGCCGGCCGCACCAGTGTGGTGAAGCCACCGGAGGACTAAACAGGTGATGCGCTCCGCTCCACAGCAGCAAAACGCATCAGGCACAAATAAAAGACAGAAAACAAAAGGAAATGAGCCGACAAACGATCGCGTGTTTTTGAGGTGGCGACACCTAATTTGATAATGTGACTGTGGCCGTGCTCTGGACGCAGATGTCTAGAGCGCGCTAACGATCAGAGCTTTGCATGACAAGCTGGTTAAGGTTAGGATGGGGGTGAGGGGAAGGTTACATTGCAAGAAGGTAAAGGTCACAATTCGGTCAAATGTCCGTTTTACCGTGGTGGTCAGATACCGACGCTCTGGCACAGCGCGTTGCCTCCTGACGCACAGGGGCTCGTCCCCTACTGTCTTTTCCGAGGACTGCATCTTGTCGGTCATTATCACGTGACAGCGACTAGTCTATGAAAGGCATAAAAAGTCACTACAGAGCAGTGAAGTCGACTAGTTGATACGACCCCTAGTACACAGTTGCCACCAAAGGGCGCAAGAATGCCACTATCAAAAGCACAGAAGAGCTCGTCACATGATCAAACAATGGTAGGGGGTATTTACGGTTAACTGAGTATTAACTTTATAATGGCTTCAATAACCAGTTAAACAAATTTTGGAAAAACGTGCATCCCCATTTCTTTTAGATTTTTTTGTTCTTGAGGTAATTATTTATTGCAAGTCATATCATCATTGCAACATTAATCACTGTTATTGAGCGTCGCAAGTTTTCATAATATTGTGCATCTAAACCTCATGGCTGAAAATGTTTAGCATTTTGCTGAAAAACCAATTGTTTTTTAAATTTTTCAAATTATTTATCCTCCTGAGACCTGAACCTGTATTTGATGTGATTTAAAAGAAAAAATACATCTAACTATTACAGAGTAGTCTACTCGCGTTAACGAAAACAAAATTACAAATATTAATAAAATAAAATAAAATTAAAAATTAGTCAAATTTCCTATCAAAAAGAAAGAAAACAAATAACTTTAAACTTAGTCAATATTATGTGTCTATAAATAATAACAAAAAGGTCTAAGGTGAAGATAAAATGTTTTAGTGCAAGGCGCCATTGTCCACATATGTGGACACAGGGCCCTAGGAGGTTGAACAGAAAAAAATATACAAAGTTCAACTGATGTTTGGATCATTCTTTGGCCTTTTACCTTTGCTGTGTAAAGCCTTATGGACCTTGGAGGGTTTCTGCAGGGTGGAGGAAGCAGAAAAACCTGGTGGGAGACGAACATGGACTAAAGCAAGCAAGCTTGGGCGAACTGCCATGTTCTTCTGGTGCTGAGGTGCAAACGGCGTAGTGCTGAAGTAAAGGCGAACACCTGTCAAAACATACCATCAGACAGTGGAAGCATGACGCGTATCGTACATCAGTTCATTGCCTAATAATGGTTACCTGAATGAGTGACGGCGAGCAGATGACAATCTGAGGACTCAGATCTGTCAATAACTGAGATCTGAACGATGGGTTTGAAGACAGAACGGTCGATTGTTCTGAAAACGGTTTTAAATAAGATTAAAAAAAGACTTCAGAGTTCACTTAACATATGAAACAAACAGTAAACCAAACGTACCGAGCTATGTTCCCTGCAGCCGCCACTATAGAGCTCTGTGACATTGTTGCTACGCGACTCATACCTTGACCATCAGCACCCAGGTCATACACCTGAAAAGTAAACAAACTTTTACCTGTAAAGCCTCCTTTCTACCGACAAGAAAGCATTGAAAAACAGCCACGAGACGTACCTCGCGGCAATTAGCTGTCGTTACAGTGGACGGGTTCTTTCCCACTGGTAGGAAAGTGTAAAGTTTTGGACGCATCCCAGATGAGTAGGGACTCCATAACATTTTAGTCTATTTTTGATGTGCTATGCTTCCAAAACACGTCAACTCCAGTTTAGATCAGGCCAGACAGGAAGTTAAACATAAACATAAACACTATGTAAAACATCCAGAAACTTTTAAAATGAAAGTCACGTGCAGATAAACGGACGTCATTTCTTGTGCAACCCCGTAGCCGATGTTAACTGAACTTTTTGCATGCATGCAGCTGTCTTACACTTTGCTTTTAACATGTGGACTTCTGAAATCACTTGCAGAGTTGCAATTCTCCCGTGACTTTGTGATATTGCAGAACCTGTGGAAATGCTCTCGGTTGGAAGGGATCTCATGGCTAAAACACCACTATTACGTTACACACTGCTTTCACGTCCAGTGGAAAGGAGACTCAACAGTTTTCGTGTCAACTGAAAAAGTAACAAAAATAATAAAGCTCAACAGGTGTTTTACCTGTAGGACATCTTTCTCAGAGCGGGTGAAGAGAATGTTACGAGTGTTATCGATGGCAATCTGCACAATAGGATCTGAAGAGAACACAGGAGATGGAATATTCAGCAGAAGTTTAATCAGATCAAACTTTCGCTCTGCAAAGAAATGTTAATCATCTTCTCACCATCTTCGGAAAAAGAGAACTGGAGCACAGAGGGAACGAGGAAAGACAGGGAGCTCTTGGAATGGTTGATTTTTCTGCAACGCTGGCTGAGCCAGCCGGCCTCCGCCTGGTAAGCGATCTCATAGAGACAGCCGTCCTTTCCTGCCATGAAGATGCGTCCCAGGTCTGTCGAGGTGATGGACAGGATGTAGGTGTTGTCCGTTGGAATTGAAAAGAGGGGGTCTGGTAGTAACTGCAGCCCACCAGACATGCTGTCGTTCAATCCTAACACAAACGATCAACACAAATTTGATTATGTTCCCTTCATCTTGACATAACATAAACTGGGCATGCTGAAAACTAGAAAAAAAACTAGTTTTAATCTACGGAATCACTTCAGAGCTACACACAATAAAAATCTGTGGCACCCTGAGTGAAAAGTAACTCACCAACATGACTCTTGGGGAAGCTGAGTCCAAGGATCACCACATCCACAGAAGTGGCTAAGACCAAGAGGTAGTGAATGTGTGGCTGTAAAATCCCTGAAAGGAAAAAAAACTCAAATTCATTTTAAAAAAATTTAACAAAACTGAACAAAAACGTGATCTACATTAAACATCACACCTTGTTTTGGCTTAACTAGTCCTACTGCCAGAATAGTTTCAATCAGGCCATCAAAGTAGGCTACATCTCCTCTGCAAAGAACACACAAAGAAAAAAGTGGAGCGCGTTGTCATGAATACAGGCCATCGTAACTAAAATAAAACATGTATTTCAGTGAAAGTAGCAGGCAATGATTAAAGCACATTCAGTAGTGTTATATTAAAAAAATGCACACCCATCTTCATAATTCCACAAGAAGAGGTCGTTGTCGATTGTGAGCCACGCTCGGGAGATGTCTGGAAAAACTCCCATCATGCAGTTGAACTGCATATCTATAAAACAGTTAAGCTGAAACTCTTACGCCAGCAAAACAAAAGCCTGACAAATACATCCTGTCCATCTGAAAGCTGTGGATCGGTGCAAAAGGATACGGCCAAACTGCTCCACCAGCTCAGGTGGCAGAGGAACTCTTCGCATTGCACTGAGTTCTGGGAGGTTTGGTACAGTGAGCAAACCGGGTCCCTGGAGAGGGTAGTCCATGTCCGACACGCCAGAGAGGGACGGCATGTCTGTCAGAACAGTCAACAATCAAAGTTGATTGGTTGGTTGAAATGTCTTTTTGAACATACAGACAATTAATTTTAAAAACATTAACAAAGTAAGAGAGATATATAAAAGAAAGAAAAAAAAGTCTTTGCCCAAAGGCAGTGGGAAGAAGCCAACTTTTATTCAATACCATCAGCTTGCTGCACACAGCAAACTACCTCATATGTACAATATACATATTTAATACAACATCGAGACTTTACATCTATAGTATTGTTAATAATTACAATATTAATGGTACTATTACTAATAAGAACATATATATATCCATTAAATTTGGCAGTCTTGTTTTCAAATGTTCAAGTCAATATGATTTAAGATTAAACAATTACACTAACTGCAAGTTATGTTTCAAGTATTACATGTTCAAATTCTCTTTTGATTAGCTTTTATTTTGAATTTGGGATGGAATTTTACGGAAAAATTATGTAATGTAATATAATAATGTCATGCTTGTGATGTTTTTATATCTATATGTCCTCCTAAAAACAATAAAAAAAAGGGTACAGTAAAACATTTCTGTTTACTCTTTACAAGCTTATTTATCATTTTTGAAAGTTATGTAAAAGGATGTAATCTCACTCAAGTTTAACCATCTGTTATTCGAGGTTGTTTAGTCATCATAATAGACAATAAATTATGTGAATTTTGAAATATTTGCTCTTGATGCTAAGGGAACAGAATATTAGAGGAACATAATTTCCCACAGCATGGGATGAGAGCAGCTTTGTAAACAAGCTTGCAACCAGCTAAAGGATATGGGAAAAAAAAAGAAAACGATCTTTTACGGCGCGATCACTGGCAGCGCCATGACTGGTGATGGAGGGTTAGTGAGCTGGGGACACACGTGGAGATCAGGTAAGCAGTGCTGACTTTTAGCCACCAGCTAACCGTGGCTCACAACTTGCATGAGCCATGGCTGGCAAGCCGGGGACACGCTGTTTGTAAACACGGATTACCAGCCAAAGGTGACCCACGTCCAAAGTTAACATTTGAGAAGAAGCCCTTGGAGAAGCTCGTCTGTAATGTGTGGAGAACTACAACGTTGTTAGTTAATGTTTGTGGAGATCACGTAAACAATACTGATTTAGCAACTGGCTAGCAGATGAGCGCTGGAGTGTGTTGGGAAATGTCAGGCTGCAGGAACGTACAAAACTACACACAAAAGAGAGGAGTACTGAGTGGAAGGACTTTGGAACGGACACGTTGGGACCAGATCAGGAGTTCTGGTACAAAGAAAAGACGAATGAGCAACTTGAGGTGAGTTAGGGAGTCAGGGGGACACCACTCGGAGGCTGGTGTCCAGCTAATAGCTGGCGGGAATCTTAATATATACGGCTTCTGGACATGATGATGACCTGAAAAACTTCATGTGTCGTTCGATTTCATTGTATATTATTCAAACTAACAAGTACAGCAACAGTGCGGCTAGTCTCTTCTAGTTAGTTGAATTAGCAGACACCATGTTTCCAGGGTGCACTGGCCCCCTGCTGGTACTTTCAGGTTACAGTCCAAACGCACAGCGCGGAGCTCTTATGTCCCTCAACAGCTACTGTATTTCAAGATGGTGGATGGCCATGAAACGTCAACCACAGTTTGTGTATCAATCAATCAATCAAAGCTTTATTTATAAAGCACCTTCCGCAACCCTGTCAGGAAGCCCAAAGCGCTGAACAAGAGACTAGCTGCACTGTTGCTGTAATTGTTATATATAATTTGTAAAATTTCAAGCCGAGAGGATTATTTAAATTTGATGTTGGTGAGAAATATTAATTAAAAAGGACAAGTTTGTGAACTGGAAACATGGAATTTATAGTAAACAGGTTAAATATTACACACTGGGACTTTAATGAACTGAACTGTATTGGAATACTTGCTTTGTGAAGTGCCTTGAGACAACTCTTGCCGTGATTTGGCGCTATATAAATACACAGAATTGAATTAATCAGTTTTACCGAATATGACTTACTGTGTGAGGGGACGCCGAGCAGCTCGGACAAGTCAGGAAAGTAGCGGTCATCCTGCAGGTGTTTATCAATCAGCCGAGCTGAGTTGTCCAGCGCCTCGGCGAGCGCTGCTGCTGGACTGCTGGGTCCAGCAACGGACGGCATAGCTAGGACAACCACCACTGGCTTGTCTACGAAGGGTAGCGGGAATTAGCAAGAAAGTAAGAAAACAAATCGGATTAACTAAAATGTACATGTAAACTAAATATTAACGTTTCATTGATGCTTCTGTGGTAGCCTAGCCCATTAGCTCCGGTTAGCGCAATAACTGTTTAATTTAGCAAGCAAGCTAGCAACTAGATAACTGTAAGAAAATTAAACCTTTTAGAATGGTTTTGTTCCTTTACCCGAGTGAAAGTGTTCCGCGTGTTATTGGCTTGTTAGGAAATCAAGTTGTAACTCGACACTAGCTGCAAATTTGAACAAAAACAGTGAACATGCACATCCAACCAAGGACCCGCCAACCTCATGCACAGGCACAGGAAATTTCACTTTCTTCTTCGCTTTCTTAATTATCAGCAGAGAGAACCACAGGAACTCCTGTACTGCCACCCTCTGGTCACTGTCGTACCAAAACAAAAATATTGATTTTGAGCAAATAAAAGTAATAAAAAAAATTAAATGGAAAGTATTTATGCTACAATTAAATTCACGCTGCAACGGTTTCTCTATTATACGCTTCACAACTGGTTTATCATTACTGCTATGAATATAACTGCTTTAAAAATGTAAACATCTCCAATTTCTAGTGTTGACCAAAATTAGCTGCCCATGACAGAATAGAATAGAATAGAATAGAATTTATTGATCCCACAGTGGGGAAATTCACTTGTTAAGCAGCATAAACACAAACACAAGAGAATAATTAGAAGAAAAATAATAACAAAGCAAGCTAGTATCATAACCTTGGGCTCCAGCACTATGCAGCATACTGTAATAAACACAGACATACTATGTAAATCTGATATTGCATGTGTATCAAAAATATACTGAGTATTGCATTGACGTCATTGTGTAACAGGATAATGCCAGTACCAGTTAAACTGAGGAGTTATACACTCTTTCTGCAGAGGGGATGAATGATTTACGGTAGCGTTCTGTTTTACATCTGGGATGTCTCAGTCTGCCTCTGAAGGAGCTGTTCATAGTCTCTACAGTGGAATGCAGTAGGTGGGAGGGTTTTTGTTTGAGATGGAGGTCATCTTCCCCAGCATCCTCCTTTTACACGTCTCATCAACTGTATCCAGTGGGCAGCCAAGAACCGAGCTAGCTTTGTTAACTAGCTTTTTCAGTCTCTTCCTGTCTTGGTCAGAGCTGCCTGCACCCCAACAAACCACAGCAGAGTGAACAGAGCGATACAAGAATTTTAGCAGATGAGAATTAACTCCAAAAGATCTCAGTCTCCTCGGGAGGCAGTGGCGGCTTTGGCACTTCTTATACAGAGCACCTGTGTGTGGTTGGACAAGTTCAGTTTACTGTTAAGGTGAACACCCAGGTCCCACCCAGCCCCCACAATGCGGCTCAAAAATTGAGGCCAACCCAGAAGTACCAAAAATTGCGGTTCCACCCTCATCCGCTGGGGGCTGGTGTCAGAAGCGAGCAAATCCTCATTGACTCCCATGTTAAAAATACCAATTTCACAGCAGAAATGAACATGTTTACAGTCTGGTTCCAAAACATGTTTTTGGATTAAATGATCTAGTTTACACTCATGACAACTCTGAGGGGGGTGAATTTTTTTCTCACTCTTCTGTTTAAGTGTATTAAAAGCCTAAAATTCTGTATAATTAATGAGCATCCGACCCACGTGACCACAGAGCTAGCTCCGTGGGAAGGCCTCAGTAGAGCCTCGGTCTGGCCTGGAAACTGTTCCGGGATTTTGAGTCTCTGTGTTTGTGTATTCTTTTTTGGATATTTTTTGTGCAATTGTTGGACAAAATGACTTGCTGTGGCATTAATTGCACTAATAGAGAGTCCAAGGAGTCTCCACTTCATTTTTTTTCGGTAAGTAAAATTATATTTATGTATTTTAGGTCACTGCCGAGCTGAGCTTAGATTTTAACAAGTACTGTTTAACCATGAAATTTAAATGTAATAGGGTAAAACCCAGTGCATTTAACATAATGCTGCACTATAGAAAATGGGTTGAAATATCACATGTTGGTGGAGCTGGGTTCCGACTATCGGCTTGTGGAGCTCTGGATGGAAACTGATGTTTTCCACCCGTTTCTCCCTTCCCCGCAGCTCAGCACATCTCTGTCTGATCGCGGCTTCTGTCTGCTGCGCGGGCTGCCGGCTGGCTTGTGGTTCTCCCCTCCCTGCAGCTCGGCGCATCTCTGTCTGATCGCGGCTTCTGTCTGCCAGCTTGTGGAGCTCTGGGACGGAAACCTTTCCACCCGGTTCTCCCTAGCGGCAGCTCTGCACATCTCAGATTGCAGCGGCGCTTGTCTGCTGTGCGGCTGCCAGCTTGTAGAGCTCTCGGGAGACCTCTGTGTTCCACCCGGTTTTACCCAGCGGTCAGCCCGGCGTATCTCTGACTCAGAAGCTCTGGTGTTGTGCACAGTTAACTCCGGTTGTAGCTAGGTTGCTACCTCCATTAGCTTAGCTCCCACCTCTGCGTTAGCTTTGGGTTAGCTTGTAGCTAGTTCGACCGGGTGTCGTCAGTTGATCCCAGCCTTACAGCCACACCCTCAGCTCCACCTCTCTTCCCTTTTGTGGAATTGTCTGGGCTTGATGGAACCTGTGACATGGTCAAAATGGCGGTGGTGGCCACCTCCCATTTTAGCTCAAAAACTTATTATTGGAGTCTATGGAAACCCGTTGTCCAATATTTATATGTCGATGGTCCCACCTCAATGTCTGCACCCTGGATGTTTGCCGGTGAGTGAGGACTATTTATCTGGAAGTCAGTCACTATTTCCTTTGTCTTACTGTTGTTCAAGCAAAGGTGGTTATGCTCACACCAATCCACAAAGTCCTCGATGACTGACCTTACTCCTGGTCATTCCCCGAGACACACAGCTGACAATGGCCGGGTCATTCGAGAACTTCTGGAGGTAACAGCTGCTGGTGTTGTAGGTGAAGTCCAAGGTGTAGAAGGTGAATAGAAAGAGTGAGAGCACTGTACCCTGTGGAGCTCCTGTTAGGTATTTTGATACTGTCTTAAATGCTTCTCTTTAAGTAATCGTACGTTAATAAGAAAGCCACAGGGTTTTTCTACTTTCCTCATAGCTCTGGAATGTGGGCTGATGAGCATGGGTGTTGGGGAATTAAGAGTCTGCAAGTTGGCTTTCAGCAGACCTCTGCAACTTGAGATTTCCTCTTTAGAAGGTCCCGCCTTAGAAACGCTGTAATTGGTTAACTGTAAACAGTGATGAGTGGTTCTTTGTCCTTCTTCCCTGTGTTTCAATAAAACGGTGCAGAGAACATGCCAGAGTTGATATGACAGAGGCCTGGAGAAGCTTCCGGCCTGTCTCTCTCCACTGTCTCCAACACAGCGCAAAACCTACTGACGTCTCTCCTGTGTGTGGTTCATTTTGGGTTTAGTTTCAGGATCTAAGAAATACCCAACAGCTCAAATACAGACTGTATTCAATAATACAGTCAAAGAACAGAAAGAAAATAAATTAAAACAGGTAACACTTATCAAATTGACAGAAACATCACAGAATCAACTCTGAAGAGTACCTTTCAAAATAAAAGCATGGAGTATCTTCCTCAATAATAATTTTCCAGGCCAAGGGTATATCTGGAACTGGAAGTCCTTTATTTTATTTAAAAAAACTATGTCAAAAACATCTCAGTAATCATCAAGTGTCAACTGATACTCATTTAGAAGTGAAGGTGTTTTGGTATTCCTCTCACAGATTGAAAAGCGTCCATCGGAGTGCCTGAAATAAATCAAAACCAGAAAGCGTCTGGATCCGTCGAGCACAAGTGACTTTTCAACAAAACACAGAGAAAAAGACAAAAAGTAACAATGGTGTAAAAAACAAACTAGAAGTGCTAGTGTGATAATGTCACTGTTTCCCAGTTGTGTAACATAAAAATCCCAATTATATTTAAATCCCTACAGGCACATATACTACACAGCTTTAAACATAACCAGTTATACCAATGATATTTTAACACAGGTGGAACATACATCTAAACGTGTAAAACAAGGAGTTTAAAAGTCTTCAGAGCTCAAAGTCAAACAAACAAATTAATCTGGTGGTAGTTAGAATTCCAAAAAACACTTTATTAAGAACATTGTCAATACACTAGTTTCCAACATTCACTTTTATTTTTTTACAGAATTATATTCAGATATAAACATGTTTAAAGGTCAACTATAATACAGTGGGAGTAAAAATCAAACATCCAAGTTGCTGCACAACAGCGAAGGAACTCCCACACAATGTTTTCACAAACATATCCTTCTCTGCTTTTTCCTGTTTAACTTACACACACCCATATTTAGAAAGTTATGCTTTTGCAATATAATTCCTTCACCAGAACTTTAAAATCTAAACGTGTTAACTTTCTTTCTCTGTGGGTAACATAACAGACCCATGGCTGTGGACCGTGACGGCTGTCTTTTAGAGTTATTAACTCTTAGTCCCCTCCTTGGCAGCGTACAGCGCCCGTAACGTCTGTGCCACTTTGTTTGAGAGCCTTTGTCCACTTGTCAAGGGGATCTTCTTGTAAATAATGTCTGACTCCTTAATATTATCCACCCAAGGCACCTTTTTGCGACCGTCCCGTTTCTTTGCCACAGCCCACGGTCCAGAGTACGAACCGGTCATCCAGTGTATGCTGTAGCCACTTCTGGTCTTCTGAACGACCTGGGCGATCTGCGGTCTGTCTTTGTATTTGGGACAGCAGATGGCAACGACGTCCATTAATTCCACTGTCTCTGTCATGTGACCCGAATCCTCAGCTGAGTCCTTGCCTTTCCTTGACTTTTGCTGTGGATTGGACACGCAGTGTCAGTTATCATTGATACAGAATTATGACAGAATAGAAAAGACAAATGTTTAAAATCAGTGATCAATTTCTTCACTTGTAATTTCTCAGACTGCAATTAGATTATATTGTATCATATAAGCCACTTAAAGCTGGAGTACATAGTGTAAAGGTCAACTTTACTCATATCTTTAATACATTTGCAGTGGTCTCTGGTAAGAATGAATGCCTTGTACACCGTACTCTGGGGAAAAAAGCTCTGGTGCGTCTAATGAAGTGTTCAGCTGGAGGTGAAAGTAGCTTCAGACGACAGGATTTGGAGTCTTGATTTTTGATTTTTGCCCATCTCCAGAGAGTGATGATGGCAGAGAATTTAAGTGTGCATCTCGTAACGAAGGTTGTGGGATAGAGTCCTGCTCAAGCTGTCGCAGTTGTTGTGTCAATGAGCAAGACCTTTAACCCGCATTTCCTGCTGGTGGGGTCAAAGGAACCAGTAGCGCCAGTGCTCAGCAGCCTTGCTTCCGCCAGTGCGCCCCAGGGCAGCTGTGGCTAAAAATGTAGTTAACCACCACCAGCGTGTGAGCGCATGGGTGAATGCCTGATTGTGTTGTGAAGCACCTTGAGGGGTTGTAAAACCATAGAAGGTGCAACATAAATTACAAGCCATTTACCACCATGCCTTGGATTGGCAACTTGACTCTACTACTGACTCCATTTGCTTTGCAATGTTGATGTTTTATCTCCACAATATGGAGGAGCTGACATGTTGTGGAGTTGCAAATGCTAACATTTAACTTCTACTAGCCGAGACGTTCTCTGCTGCTTCCTGGATGCTAAATTTTCCCTTTCGGAAGTCAAGATGGAAAATTCCATGAATGTTAAGTAACAGTTTGACGTTGATCTGTCAGGCTTTTCTAATCCTAGAGTTTCACCGATAGGTGTAGGAGATTATCTTCATGTTCAGCTGACTGATTATAATCAGAAATAATAAATAAAAAATGGGTTTTTCAGTTAAGCAGCTCCTGCAGAACCCGATGAAGGCTGAGAGGATAACTTAGTAGTTAGATTCAGGTGTGTCTGAGCAGGAACGTAACAAAAACTTTACTTGATCGTAAGCACTACAAGGCTATTTATGAGAGTATGCACGGTATGAGGGGCTAATTTCCTTCCTTAAGGGGAGGGGGAGCATGAGTGGGAGCTATACCGTTCAAATTTCAAAATCTCTTCTCGATGACATCACGCTACAGACCCCAGCTTTAAAGGAAAACGTGTAACACCAGATCACAGCTGAGTAACCATCAAAACCAGCTACGAAAAGGTGTGATGCTTTTCATGTAAAAATAGATGGATGTTTTTTGCTGCCTCAAACTCTCTTTTTAAACGTTTTACTTTTACAAACTTTTTATTCTCTTTACTTTTTTCAACAAATACCTCAATCATGCCAATAGAATCATTCTCAGTGATGACCTGCAACAGTTTTGCCCAATTTCCAGTCTTCAAAAATGCTGTTTTCTGCCTCAATTCCTAAAGTATTACATGTAATTGTTCCAGTCGACTTGTATTCACACTGAAGCTCATTTTTTCATCACGTTGAGTTGAAAACGGTATTTTACTTTGGATCAACAAAGACTGACCCTTCAGATCAGATCATTTCCAGTCAGGTCTTCTACGATAAAAATCTAGAGCCGGGCTATTCAATTCTGGTCCTGGAGGGCCGGTATCCAGAATGTTTTAGTGGTGTCTCTGCTCCATCACACTAGATTCAGTGGTTGAATCACCTGTGCAGCAGCTCATCAGGCTCTGCAGAAGCCCGTTAATCACCTGCTGACTGAAATCAGGTGCATTGAAACAAAAGCGTACTGGATACCGGACCTCCAGGCCCAGAATTGAAAACCCCTGATCTAGAGTTTCCATCCTTACCGCGGGAGGCTCTTCCTCCTCACTCTCCTCGTCGTCTGTTTCCAGCGGAGCAGTGTGATTACTGTGGTTCTGGTTCTGGTTCTGGGGTTTTGGGCCCTTCAGCAGCGAATTGATGGCTTTGTTTCTCGCGTTGGCATTTGCTTCGCCACCTTCCTCATCTTCTTCCTCGCGATCCAAGTGCTCCATCAATACCTTAAACTATGAAACAGAAAAAGTTGGCAAAACTTTTATTTAATCTCAACTGGAATTTAAATCCAACACTTTGCGTCTCTTACATAAGTGTGCATCCAGAACAATGAAACACGACGTACTCTAGAAAGATAAAAAGAATAAAAAGTTTGCTTACGTCCAGAAATTGTTTGACGATATTCTTTTTTGTCTCATGGCTGAGTTCGGTGTTGGCCGAATCACTTGTCAGATAATTGAGAGTCTGACGAGGGTTGAAGTGCACCTTTGATTTCCTGTTCACTGCCTTGTCATACACCTTAGCGGACTCAGTAGGAGAATATTTCTGGATTTTGCTGTGAAAACAAAAATGGTGTTGAGAGGCCTGCACAATGAATTCATTTAAGATTTGTCTTGTGGACATTTCTGACCTGTCTGAGAAGCCATAAAGGTTTTTCAGATGCTGTTTGAGCACCAGCAGAAGCAGAACACCCTGCGAAGCGTTGGCAAATTCCATCAGCGGGGCTGCGTTTTCAGGCAAACGGTCCATAACCGCGTCCTCATCTTCCAAGTCCGAGTCCGACTCAGCGACTCCAGGCTTCTTCCGTCTGTGGATCTCTTCATCTTCCTCATCGCTGCTGCTGGATGAGCTGCTGCTACTGCTACTGCTGCTGCGCTCTTCATCCTCATCATCCCCGTCGGAACTGTTTCTTCTGTGGTGAGAGTGCTTCTTCTTCCTCTTTTTAGTCTTCACTTTCTTTTCATGCCTTATAGGCTCCTTCCGTAAATTCTGCCAAACAAGAGAATCACATAAAAATATAATTTGTAGTTTACTTGGCTGGTTCTAATCTAGAATTTTAAATTATGCAGCAACGAAAGAGAGCTGAATCTAAATGTTTTGGATTCTACTGAGGCATCCAGGAAAAAAACGACCAAATAAGAGGAATTTCTGTATAATTTAAAATTACTGGTTATATGTTTGTAAATGTTTGACCTTGACAACAACACTGATTTAATTTAATAAATGTTTTACAGAAATCTGCCAAATTGTCAGAAAAGTTATAAACTCAGAATTTCTGAAGCAATCGAGGCAGTCTGACGAAAAAGATAGCAGCAAATAATCCTATTAGCAAGCAGTAGCTGAGTTTCCCCAGCTGTAAATGATTCCCACCTCCTTGAAAGACTGGAGCAGGTTGCTGCCAGAGATGGATAGAGTGATGTCTACGTGGTGCATGATGAAAAGAGGCTCTTCCTGGGTTTGGTAAGGGAAGCAGGCCAAGTTGTCGGCTACAAAGAGCAGCATGTTCACCTCGATTTTCTGCAAACAACATATAAAGAATAAATAAACCAACCTTTTTTACACCAGAACATTAAAGAGTAACTAAACCCCAAAATAACTTTTTTTGCCAATTAACTGTATAATTGGGTCTTTACAAATGCTATCTTTCTGTTTCTGTGCATTTTTTGACATGTTTGTGTAAACGTAATTAAATCTAGAATGTAGGTCTAAAAACATCTCAGTGGGCTGAACTGTGGCTACTGCATTTTAAATTTGTGATTGACTGGGACTGGTACAATTTCACCTCATCGGTAGACTCCTCCCACTCCTCCTCCCTTCCGGGAAGGAAATTCCCCACACTTGGCCATGCCCATCCGTGCCTCCTGGCAACGCCCACTTTCGTAGCATTTTTCAAATCTTGACTAGGGGTGGAGTTACATTTTCTGATGGTGTGCAGTCCCTCTTTAATGAATGAGACAAACTTACAGAGCTGTCATCAAACAGGTTGAGCAGAGAGATGAGGAACGCCCGTCTGTGCTGTCGGTTTCCCCGGACCATGGTGTAGAGGTGGGAGCAGAGAGCCGAGTCTGAGTCATCGTGACGAAAACCTCGGATCACCACTTTTTTGGATTCGTTTATGGCCTGCTGCACCTGATAGGACATCTTCAACCCTGCAACAGCCTTCATCTGCACAGAGTTTCATGACCAATCAAGTATGCAGATTACACAAAAAATACTTAAAAGTACTTTAATTTGAGTTGATTTAAGCAAAGCCTAGTTGGAGGAGTGGTGGGCAGAAAACAGCAGGATTTGGAGTCTTGGAGTCTTACTCATTACTATTTATGATATGCAAACAGTGTTTCCGTTAGATAGGTTTCCATGAAGACCCCGAGAGACGGAAGGGAAGCATTCAGTGCGTTCCCTGCTCTCACGGACGATGCAACTCACCCCCATCATACTCGTGTGATCTTCTCAGTCCCTACACCCCCAGCAGGTCCCTGAGGTCCAGTGACCAAAGCCTACTGGTTGTGCAGCGCACCAGGCTAAAGACCAAAGGTGACAGATCATTTACTGCTGTGGCCCCCTGACTCTGGAACTCTCTCCCCCTGAGCCTGAGATCAGTGGACTCAGTGGACTCCTTTAAAAAACAGCTGAAAACTCACCTGTTCAGATTGGCTTTTGCGTGACCTTCTGTTGATCACTACCTTCTCTTTGTACTGCTGTTTCTATCAATTTAGTCTTTTTTGGGATCCTGTGATTACTTTTTTATTTTTTCTTCACATTTTTTAAGTATATTTTGCCCTTTCCCCTCCCTTTTTTAATTATATTTCCAATTCAGTTTTAATTATTTAAAAAAATATATATTGTGATGCGCCTTGTGACTTTTATCTTGAAAGGCGCTATGTAAAAAATAGTTTCTTCTACTTGTTTCTTGAGTCAGAAAAGGGTATAATGCCTTCTCTGGGTCAGGGATGAGGTCCTGCCCCAAGTGGAAGAGTTTAAGTATCTCTGGGTCTTGTTCACGAGTGAGGGAAAGATGGAAGCATGGAAGCATTGAGTCCCATTGCTAAGGTCTTTGATATGACCTGACCTAGATTTGAACCCTGATCTCCCAGTCCCAGGGCAGACACTCTACCACTAGGCCACTGAGAATGTGCTGCTGGTGATGCGTCTGCAGTGATGCGGGCGTTGTACCGATCTGTCGTGGTGAAGAGAGAGCCGAACCAGAAGGGAAAGCTCTCAATTTACCGGTCGATCTACGTTCCTACCCTCACCTGTGGTCACAAGCCTTGGGTAGTGACAGAAAGAATGAGATCACAGATGCAAGAGGCTGAAATGAGTTTTCTCTGCAGGGTGTTTGGGCTCTCTCTTAGAGATAAGAGTGAGAAGCTCGGTCATCCATTCTGCATTAGCAGCTGATAATACCAGTACTCTTCATCGATGAAGGCAGCATGTAAATCCTCTCAGTTTTACTTTTATCTGCACAGCAATCCTAGATACTCCCACTTCAACTCCTATATGGTCAGAGTTTGCTAAAATAAAGTTTTTTTTTAGTTTTTGACTGATTTCAGTAGCGGTAAAGCAGCAGCTACTCACATGGATGAAACCTGAATATTTCTTGTCAATCTCCACTAGTTGTTGGTCTGCTTTGTTCTTCATGGCTGGCTCTGGGTCTGTTCCAATCGCAATCAAGTACGGTACACACTACAGAAAAGAACAACATTTACATCTTGTGAACTCTAATGTCTTGTTTTGTGATCTGCATGCTTGGTTAAGATTGTGAACACACCTGTACAGGGTGGATGAGGCCCTGGCTGAGAGTCAGCGTAATGACATTCAGCGAGTAATGCCGCACCGTAGACTGAGAGTGGAAAAAGGACTCCAACACCTGCTTTAGGTAAATCTGCATGATGGAGCTGCTCATGCCCGATGAGATGTCCCCCATTTCCTTCAGATCTTCCTGTTTGGCTTGGTTCTTCCCTGAATGGACAACATCAGCAGCATCAGTAATGACGTATGTGTGGACAGGATCTGTGTGAGCTGAGAGTGGTCCACTCACATTCTCGATCTGCTTCTTGCATTCGAGAGTCCTCCTCCTGCAGGTATGTCTGCAGGTTTTTGAGCACCTGGATCTTCAGATTGACTGTACTGCTCTCATCTGACAGGATATTGTTATACAGAACCTTCACATCCTGCACAAACATGAGCTCTGGGTGCATGATGAACTGGAAGCCTTTAAGGAAGAAACAGAAAAATCCCCTCTGAGAATACCAAACTCAACTCAATAAGCAACAAACAGATTAGAAAAGCTACAAACAGCAAAATTACAACATAAATGTTGTGTTATCTGACTGACCTAGCCCTATAATGGCCTTGATCTGGACTTCCTCATCTTCATGAGAGGTGAAATACAGCAGAAGCTCCAATACTTTGTCCTTAATGACAATCTAAAAGACACACATAAAGCAAGATTCATCAAAAAAAGCTCTAAAAGCAACTTTTAGGGAAAGGACGAGTGTTTACCTTGTTAGAACCCTTAAATTCTTCTTGGTCAAAGTCAAAGTGTCGACAGAGAGCCCCCACGGTGAACAAGGAGCGCAGCAGGGTGGGTTTGCTAGTAGCCAGAGTGGAGCAGCTGGAGTCCTCCTGATGCTGCGTCTTGAGTTTAGCCAGAGCTCCTGAAAAATGAGCGTAAAACAATGAATATAACATATGACCTGTGCAATCTGACTCAATCTGCAACGAGCAGTGGAAACGTACCATAGTACCGGTTAAAACAAGCCCAAACAAACTTGTAGTTGTGTGTGACCTTGTTCACAATGGCGCCGAGACAACTCACACAGTGTTGCACAACCTGAGGAGCACACACAACAAAGAATACAATGATTTAGTGATCACTTTTTTTTTTGTTTGTTTTCCAAGGAGTAAGGTGTAACAGCTCTGAGCTGTAAATAAGACTAACCATCATGCCGTATTTCATGATGAGCTTCATCAGGTCTTCCTCTGTGGTGGTGAGGAAAGTCTCACTTGGGTTTTCCATCAGAGGAATAACAAGCTCTAGGATTTTGGCAACATTACAGATCACCATGACATCATTCTGGGTCTGCAATCATAAATTAGAAAAAGGACAGTTATACTTTTTGCATGAACTATGATTTGACCATTTGCAAGAAACAGTGGCAGCTTCATGTAGCTGCCACTAGATGGTGGTATTGTACAACATAAAAGGTTTGTCCAGCAAAAAAAAAATAAAAAATCTACGACTCAATCAAGTTAGAAACTTTGCATGACTGAAAATAAAATAAGATGGTTCTTACAATGCATTTGTTGGTCAGGTAGGGCTGCAATGTCATGGTGTGTTTGACCATAAACTGTGATCTGATTTTAGTGATCAGGTAGAGAGTGGTGATGCACGCCACCAAACGGCTCGAATTGACCCCTTTGTCCTCACAGTCTGAAAAGCACATATTAAAATGCTTTTTATTACCAAAAAATCAAATAAAAAATCACTACATTGTCGCTAAATACAGGACATAGATTACTGTTAAAATAAACTGTACCTGCAATGGACTCCTCGTATTTAAGTATATGTTCCACTAAATTGTCCACCAGCTGGACACAGGCTTTCTTGGTAGGTTTGTATGAAGCGTTCTCCTCTGATTTCAGAAGCTACACAATCACAAACAGTAGTTAGAACGACTAAGTAACAAACAAGGATCTTGTTGGTGAATTACAAGAGTTACAAATCTCACATTTTGCAGAAGCTGCTCAAACCAGTCGTAACCAGAATCTCTGCATGCCAACACCTGGGATTAAACCAAAACATGAGTGAAGTTAGATCACAGCAACATCTAAAATAAAAAATGCTTCTTTTGTTTTGTTTTAAATAGCACTCACCACATCTGTGACGTTCAGGACCTTTCTGGTCATGGCGTCTCTGTCGTGACCGGGTGTGGGGGAGAACCAGAGTTTCTGGAACGTTTCATTCACCAGTTTCTGCAAAGGGAACCATGTTTGGGTATATATAATGTATCTAAGCAACAAAAAAGGCCCATATGTACAACACACACACTCACACACACACACATTCATCAAAACACAAACCTTGATCCCTTCTTCGTCATTGACCCTTCGGATCATTTTGACACACATCTCGGTAATCTTGTGGAAGTCTGGCTGCTCCAAACAGATGTCCCTCAGAATCTTAATGACTCTTTTTCTCACACTGATACCCGTGTCCTGCGCAAACGCAAAATGGCATTGGCTACATAACAAAGTGCTTATTTACAATGGCTGCTCTAAGTCATAAAATGTGACTTTACAGTAAACAGATCACAAGAAAAGAAACCATTTCCCATTCCCTGTAACTACTCTGCCATTTTAATCCACAAAGTATTTTTAAACATTTTTATCTCTTAAAACGTGTATACTCATAATCTCCTTTTTGCTCCTTTAATGAATAAAATTACTGTAATCAAAATGTTTCATGGCTCAAAACAGAACACTTGAATGAGTGAACATTTGAACCGATTTGAACACAGCCTCCTGCAGTTCTTCCTTTGATACATAGGTGGTAGCGTTGGGAAATTATCTAACCTCAATTGAACTTTTGCACTTTAAATGACCTTTTTTGTACAGAATTAGTCAAAGATCCACTTGAGACAGCTGTGTGATAGAAGTCTTCTATTTCTCTTCACAAGTCCCCCAAAACAGGACACTAATGATTGCTACCCTTCCCAGATGTGTGTGTGTGTGTGTGTGTGTGTGTGTGTGTGTGTGTGTGTGTGTGTGATGCACTTGTGCAGTAAAAAAGAAGATTTTTAAAATTACCAGTATCCTTTCAATGAGCATGTCATAATACTGTTCGATGAGCTCAGGTCGACTAAGGACAAAGCGGCCGAGAAGCTCCACAGCTGCCTCTCGGACGCTTGAGGAGTTGTCCATGAGGCGGCAATGCACCCCACGCTGCATATCCAGCTGTGAAACAAACGTAAGCGGTTGGTCCCACAAACTTTAGATTGGGGCTGCTTTCGTACAAACAGATAAGAGACAGAAAGTGGAAAGACCCTTCTCATGCGTGAACATTGATCAAAATGTCTCTCAAACAGAATGGATTAACACTGGAGTGTCGGCTTTGACTGACAATCCTGAACCTGGCTAAGCTAAGCTATGCTATGCTAAGCTGCTGTCCGCGTACGCTGAGTAACTTACTCGTGCTAGAATACTTGGATCCACAGCCACGACCTCTGACAGACACTTCATGGCTTTAGTTCTCACTGCAATGGCGCTCTCCCCCAGGACTCTCAGAATCTATAGTAAAAAAATTGAAACATAATAAATATCTGTAACATCAGGCATATTTATGTTACATTTATCATCTTACCTGTGATAAATAAATGTCAAAGCTCTGCGCAAACGGCCTCATAGAGGCCAGATATCTGACAACTAGACACGAGTCTTCATAGTCTATGGTGTCAGAGTTCACCCTGCAAAGAAAAGTCACGAATACTATTAACTTTTATTATTGGTATTATTAGTTACTTAAAAAGAATGAGTACTTACCTCACAGAACTGAAATCCGTCGGTGTCGTCTTAATGATCTTGCGGAGGAACTTCTTCCGGATCTCGGCCATCTGCACGATTTCCTCACTTGAGTCAACATCCTTGAAATGTCGCCGACCTTTAGGGTCCTCGTCGTATTCATTTTGAGACTTTATCGCTTTTTCTACCTCGACTGTAGTGTCCCTGTACCACTGGGCAATATAAAAGTTCCTGGCGAACTGTGTAAAACAAATGCAATCATAAAGAGTATTTTACGCTTAAAAGAAAGTTAAATAAAGTCAATTTTAATCAGTGGAACTCAAAATTCTCACCAGTAAATCTGGTTCTGTATCAATGTTTTCATCCAGGAAGTCCAACAAAGCTTTTTGGAGTTGCTGTACCTCATCGCTACCTGGACTCTGCAAAAAGGGACAAACATGTCAGGAGTGTGTTGAAAACAGATCCCATTGCTCTATTAGTTTATAAGTAATAAACCCTTCCAGTAGCTCATCCACCTCTTTAAGAATGCGATCAATAGCTCTTTGGTTCATCTTGCTAGTAAGAGCATCTTTACGCAGGCGTGAGGCGACCGTGCCGAGGTAGTCCAGCGATGCCACCCTGAGCGCCATTTCTGTCTGCTTGTTACTGAACTGGTGAACCTGGAGTAAGAAATGTCATAATGACAACAAATGATGTAAACAACCAGACGGATGACGAGTGAAAAGTGTCACTCACCAGCAGGCGGCCCAGCAAACTGAGCAGCAGTTCAGCTGCAGGCCACTCAGGCTTACTGACAGCAGACAGCAGGTCATGAACAAAGTTCTCAAACAGAGGCCTGTAGTCCTCCTCTCCCTGTTTACTCCCACATCTGAAACACACGACAATCCTCTATTAAAACGCCTTTGTGAACAGCCGCCTGGTTGATATGAGTAATAAAAAATATAGGTGACAGGAGGGAGCTGAATTTCAAACGGCTGTAGGCTGACACAAGAAGAGAATGGAAGCAGACACATTTCATGTTCCAGAAATAATTACTTACTTCTTCAGAAACACTGAGAGAAAGTTCTGAGCTGTCCTCATGGCGGTTTCATAGGTGTTTGTAATGAGAGCGTCTCTATCAAGCTAAAATCCAAAGTAACATTAAAAAAATATTGTTTATTTTTTTCATGACAATAATGACAAATACAAATCGATCCACTTGTTTATGGTCACCTTTTTGTTCTGCCCCTCCTCGGCCTCTTTCTCAGAGGGAAAGTGAACGATGCACTGGATGAGCTGAAGGACGAGGGCCGACACCATCTGGATATACAACGGCTCTCCGTCTGAGTCAATGCTGTTCAGCCTAATAAAAACGAGACGTTAGCGTGAACAACTAAGCCATAACTCATTATTCTGATTTATGTCACCTTACTAAAAAAAAAACAAGACAAGTTACCTAAAGTTCCTGAGATTGCGTTTACTTGTAGGAAGCTTAGCCAGGGAGGTGAAAATGTCCTCAAGAATGAGCTGTCTGTGCTTCTCGTAACGACTGAAGACCTAAAGGGAGAAGCACAAACAATAAATAAAAACAAAAATTAATAACGCCACCATGGAGAAAATTTAAAAAGCACGCCAGCTCCAACTTACTGCAGTGACAAGTGTGATAGCACATAACTGCAGTTCACTGACATTCTCCACAAAAAAGGGTGTAGTACCAAGGTTAGACACCTAGAAGAGATGAGCACACAAAAACACTCGGAGGTGACATGAGGGCACACACCTGAGCCTCAGAATCAAAACAGAGAATAAAAACGAACCTGGAGGATTGTGGTGTCGGTGAGCAGCTGGATTTCTAGGAGCTCGGAGATGCTGCTGATGATATCACACACTTTGTTGTAGAGCACCACGACCACTTTCTGTTTGTGGGCAGAAGACTTCGCTCTCTTGGACTTTGATGTGCCACCTGGGTGAAAAACAATAAATGGGAACTGAATTAATTAATTTATAAGACAAGAGACACTTGAAGGAATAGGATATTGCACATGTCAATACTGCAATATGTAATGAGACATCAAGTGTGTCCAAATTCATCCTCGTGAGGACCTGTCCTACCCGGTCCATGTAGGCCAGGTCCTTCCACAGCCGCTAAGACCAGAAGTGAGCGGCTGTGAATTTGGACCATCTAGCCTTTTTATTATTCCCACCTCTCCCTCAGCGTAGATCCAGTCGCCTAGCAACCACGATGCCACTAAGCAGAAGTTAAAATTAAACTTAGCAGCTATAATGAAGAAATACCTGAGACTCCATGCAAGCTCGTTTACAAGAATTTTTCTTATTATTTTTGACCCAAAAAAAAAAAAGCCTGACAACACAACCACTTTAAGTTTTAATTCTTTTAATATCCTAACATTTAAAATCATAATCCTCTCCAGCTTTGTCTGCCATTATAACAAGAGCAAAGATCTCACGTTCGACCTGGAATGAAGACCTGTCCTAATTCAGGGACAGTTTAGTTGCTTTGCTGTGACGTCATCAGTCTTAAAATGCGAACTCGAATCGATGCAGCCCCTGGATTTGGACACAGCTAAACTGTCCTAAACTTCCTACTTTGTAATCCACTTCCATCTCGTGTTAACTTGTCAAACACAATCTGACAGCTCCTGCCTAACAGGTAAAAAAATAAAATAATGGTGTACTTTTTTTCCTGCTAACTCGACATTGTCTCAGCCACAGAAATGATAAAAATGGCCTGTATTTGATAAAGCGCCTTCTAGAGCTCTACAACCCCACTCCCAAGACATTTTACAACAGTCATTCGCCCACTAACACACACACACACACACACCCTGGTGGTGATGAGCAACAATGCAGCCACAGCTGCTCTGGGGCTCTGAGGCGAGGCTGCCGTACACAGGTGCCACCTGTCCCTCCGATCACCATGGTGCACGCAAAGTAGGTTAAGTGTCTTGCCCAAGGACACAACAGCAGCGACAGACTGAGTGGGACTTGACCCTGCAACATTCCGATTACGGGGCAGATGCTTAACTCCTCGGCTACCGTCGCCCCACAAGCTAGTTCCTCCATATGTTTTTATTGGCTGCAAGCATCACAACAACAGCTTCCTTCCATTTCTTGGCATCTAAAAAACCAGAAGACCTCAGGGTGGAAAGTCACTCCTGAGTTTTATTGCAACATTAATCTCAGATGCAAAAAGGTGCTATTGAAAGGAAAGTGTTAGTGCTGCTGACCTCCGTGGCGATCCCCCCTGTAGGAAGAGTCATACTGAGGGTACACAGAGTTCAGCAGGTGAAACTTGGTGAACTGCAGCACCCTCTCAATCACATCCTCTATGTAAACCACTTTGGGCATGTGTGGAGACGTCATTATGTTGAGCGCCGTCACACAGGCATCGGCCGACTTGGTCACACGCTCCATGATGAGATCACGCCACAAACGCTCCTCGTCCATGGAGTCATTATCCTGCAAATGTGTTAAAATCATAAACAATAAAATCACTTTTGCAGCTTAAAAGTTGAACCCCATCAATATCGTCAGGCCAAAAACGTACATGGTTGATCAAGGTGGAAAGGGTGACGCTGTCCTGAATGTTTTTTTCCAGAATATTCAGAATTTTCACCAGTTTACTGGATGAAATCTAAGAAGAAAACAAACAAGATCGACAGGTTATTTTCATACAATGCTGCTATGGGTTTGTAGTGTAAAAAACAAGACAAAAACACTTTTTTTTTTTACCTTGTTGAAGATTCCCATTGCTTTAATCTTAGTAGAATCGCTGCCCAGCTCATTCAGTTGCTGCTTTCCAAGTAAGATCTCTTGAGGTATCTCATCATCATCTATTACAGAGAGCAGGGGATGTTTCTCAGCTTTCCACTTCATCAAACCCTAGTAGGTTTGGAAAAACTGTAACTAGGGTAGTCACGGTAACCGTTGTAGCGGTAAACCCCGGTACAAAAGTTAACAATAATAATAACCGTCTTGTTTTTAAAAAAAATATTATCTCGGTGGATTATCGTGGCTGCGGTGTAGGCGCAGTGACCCTTACCAGCCACCGTATCATCTACTGATGTTGCCGGCGGCACATGCACACTTTGTTGTTTACAACCAAAACTTTCTTGAAGCTAAAGCTGAAATAATGGCCAAAGGAGGAGACGGCAGCGCTCAGGACATTTATTATCCCTCAAAGAAGACAAAGTGGGAAGTACGGGCATTTTTTGGATATTTGAAGAATGCCGAGGGACAGTTGATAGAAGACGGCTATCCTGTTTGCAGCACGTGCAGAAAAAGTGTCTGTGAAAGGCAGCAACGCTTCAAATCTCATGACACATCTGCGTGACCATCACTGACAACCCTACAGTCAACGCAAGGCAAGCTAATGTTAGCGTTTTAGCTAAAATGCGTGATCCGAGGATTTGGGTTGAGGGAGAACGCAAAGAGTCGCTATATAAAGCAGCCGCAGCGTCGCTACCTGCATATAAACCGTGTCGCGGACACCCCCATGTTGAAATGACGCTATGCATTACGGGGCTCCCAGCGGCAGATAAGAGTTGGTCTCTCTCCGAGAATAATTATGAATTTAACAATGATTACTGCCTGATGACATTTTCCCACATCTGCAAAGCTCACTGGAAGGACACAAACCGAGGACAATATTTTCCTGATATAGGGTTTATTACTCAAGTAAGGGTAAAAAAAAGTATCTGATTAGAAGGCTACTTGAGTACTGAGTATCATCTGATCTAATATTTTTAAATGATGACATCAAACAGACAAAAAATAAGAAGTTATGGGCAAATATTGGTATTTTAAAGACTAAAGGGGAAAAATTTAAACAAATAAAAAACTACATAATTACAAAATCACAAATTTTAGGCAACATTTAGACACAAACTGAGGACAATATTTTCCTGATATACAGGGTTTATTTAGTTGTCTGTAAATGTTACATGTTTAAAAAAATACCGCGATAATACCGAAAACCGTGATAATTTTGGTCACAATAACCGTGAGGTTAAATTTTCACACCGTGACAACCCTAACTGTAACACTTCGTATTTACCTGCTTCAGTGAGGTCCACGTCCTCGAGGCTTTCGAGAATGGTGTCCATGCTGGAAGTAAATCTCTTAAATGGAGATGAGTCCATCATTTCTGTAAAAAAACAAAAACAACCCAAATAAAGCAAAAATCTGTAATTTTACAGTCATTATGAACTTGCTAGCATCATACCAGAAGTAAACTTGATACCTTCTAATGACATTTTGGACTGGTACGCCATCCTGTTCTTCTGTTTCTCCTTTTTCTTCATTTTTATTGCAACTGAAAACAAAGACAACAGTTTAATGAAATACAGCTTTTTACAAGACCTGTATGAGCGGACCATTCCACAGGACTACAACACTCATGCACATAAACTATTTCTATTCTGACGTTCGTTATAAATTCTCACCATCACTCAGGTTTGGCGGTGGACTGTCATTATCAGAGTCATCTGAGCGCCAATCCCGATTACGGCGAGAGTTAGAAACCCCACTTCGCTTGTGATCCCTGGAACCCTTCTTCTCCTCAAACTTCCATGTCTTGTCGCGATCCCTCTTTTTTCTTTTTCTTGCAGCTGAAACAAAAGCAGAGACGTGTTAAAAAAAAAACTCACAAACTTGAATTCAAAATGTTTGGTTTTATTTTGAACTCTACACGCATTATCTGTCAAGTAACAAGCTTGTGTCTGAATGCAAAGTTTTCAGGTTTAATACTCACATTCGTCGTCAGAATCAGACGTTTTGTCATCCCCATCCTCCGAGTCCTCTTCAGCATATCTGGATCTCTGACTAATCATGCTGTGCCTTCGCTTGTTTGCTCTCTCACAAAACGTCCCTGTAAGCAAAAGACAGCTAGTTTTGAGCTAATTAATCTGGAGTGATTTGGGATTAATGACTTAAATGCCAGCAGGCTTCTTTCACCTGTATCTACTGTGTTTTATTTTGCTTTATAAAAGTGTACAGCAATTTAATGACCTTTTACTAAAAATCACATAATCGCTCATGACCTTTTTCTAAAAATCACATAATCGCTCACACGTGCTCTTTTTGGTGATGAATCTAATGTCTTATAAACGGTAGTTCCTAATTAGCATTAATAAACACCTTGCCAGACTCCATAAAAACACTAGAAGTTAGCCAGAAGAATGGGAGGCAGAAGATGGCAGGCTGAGCCTTATTTCTTGATATTCGCATGATTGTCTAACAGCAACACGACTCTAACACTGACTTCATTTACTTTGCAACGTTGATGCTTTTTCTCCACAAATAACACAAGCCTGAAGGACCACTGCCATGTTGTGGAGTTCTTCATCTTCATCTTCCTCCGCTTATCCGGGTCCGGGTCGTGGGGGCAGCATCCCAACTAGGGAGCTCCAGACCGTCCTCTCCCGGCCTTCTCCACCAGCTCCTCCGGCAGGACCCCAAGGTGTTCCCGGACCAGATTGGAGATGTAACCTCTCCAACGTGTCCTGGGTCGACCCGGGTGCCTCCTGCCGGCAGGACATGCCCGAAACACCTCCCCAGGGAGGCGTCCAGGAGGCATCCTGACCAGATGCCCAAACCACCTCAGCTGACTCCTTTCGATCCGGAGGAGCAGCGGTTCTACTCCGAGTCCCTCCCGAATGTCCGAGCTCCTCACCCTATCTCTAAGGCTGAGCCCGGCCACCCTACGGAGGAAACTCATTTTGGCCGCTTGTATCCGCGATCTCGTTCTTTCGGTCATTACCCAAAGCTCATGACCATAGGTGAGGATTGGGACGTAGATCGACCGGTAAATCGAGAGCCTGGCTTTCTGGATCAGCTACCTCTTCACCACGACAGATCGGCTCAGCGTCCGCATCACTGCAGATGCTGAACCAATCCGCCTGTCGATCTCCCGATCCCTCCTACCCTCACTTGTGAACAAGACCCCGAGATACTTAAACTCCTCCACTTGAGGTAGGACCTCTCCCCCGACCCGGAGTTGGCAAGCCACCCTTTTCCGGTCGAGAACCATGGTCTCAGATTTGGAGTTGCTGATCCTCATCCCAGCCGCTTCACACTCGGCCGTGAACCTACCCAGCAAGAGCTGAAGGTCAGAGCTGGATGAAGCTAGGAGGAGCACATCATCCGCAAAAAGCAAAGACGAGCTTCTCCTGCCACCAAACTCGACACACTCCACACCACGGCTGCGCCTAGAAATTATATCCATAAAGGTAATGAACAGAACTGGTGACAAAGGGCAGCCCTGGCGGAGTCCAACCCTCACCGGGAACAGGTCAGACTTACTACCGGCTATGTGGACCAAACTCACGCTCCTCTGGTAAAGGGACTGAATGGCCCTTAACAGAAAGCCACACACCCCATACTCCTGGAGCGTCCCCCCACAGGGTGCCCCTGGGGACACGGTCATAAGCCTTCTCCAAATCCACAAAGCACATGTGGATTGGTTGGGCAAACTCCCATGCCCTCTCCTTCACCCTTGCAAGCGTATAGAGCTTGTCCACAGTTCCACGGCCAGGACGAAAACAACATTGCTCCTCCTCAATCTGAGATTCAACTATCGATCGGACCCTCCTCTCCAGTACCTTGGAGTAGACCTTTCCAGGGAGGCTGAGGAGTGTGATCCCCCTATAGTTGGAACACACCCTCAGGCCACACTTCTTAAAGATGGAGACCACCACCCCAGTCTGCCACTCCACAGGAACTGCCGCCGATGACCATGCAATGTTGCAGAGATATGTCAACCACGACAGCCCTACAACATCCATAGCCTTGAGATACCCAGAACGAATCTCATCCGCCCCCGGGGCTCTGCCGCTGTGTAGTTGTTTGACTACCTCAGCAACTTCTGCCCCCGAGATTGGACAGTCCATCCCCAGGTCTCCCGGCTCTGGTTCCTCCTCGGAATGTGCGTAGGTGGGATTGAGGAGCTCCTCACAGTATTCCTTCCACCATCCGACTATAGCCTCAGTTGACGTCAGCAGCTCCCCATCCCCACTGTAAACAGTGTGAGCGAGTTGCTGCCTTCCTCTCCTGAGGCGCCGGACAGTTTGCCAGAACCTCTTTGGAGCCAATCGATAGTCTTTCTCCGAGGCCTCACCAAACTCCTCCCACGCCCGAGATTTTGCCTCGGCAACTGCCACTGCTGCAACCCGCTTGGCTATCCGGTACCTGTCTGCTGCCTCCGGAGACCCACAGACCAGCCACGCCCTGTAGGCCTCCTTCTTCAGCCTGAAGGCTCCCCGAACCTCTGGTGTCCACCAGCGGGTACGGGGGTTGCCACCACGACTGGCACCGGCCATCTTGCGACCACAGCTATCAACAGCCGCCTCAACAATCGTAGAGTGGAACAGGGCCCACTCGGAGTCAATGTCCCCCACTGCTCTCGGGACGTGGTCAAAGCTCTGCCGGAGATGGGATTTGAAGACCGTCTTGACAGGTTCTTCTGCCAGGCGTTCCCAGCAGACCCTCACTATGCGTTTGGGTCTGCCAGATCCACGCGGCATCTTCCCTGCCATCTGATCCAACTCACCACCAGGTGATCAGTTGACAGCTCCACTCTTCTCTTCACTCGGGTGTCCAAAACATACGGCCACAGGTCAGATGATACGACTACAAAGTCTATCATCGACCTGCGACCTAGGCTGCCCTGGTACCAAGTGTACCAATGGGCATCCTTATGTTCGAAAATGGTGTTCGTTATGGCCAAACTGCGGCTTGCACAGAAGTCCAATAACGAAACACCACTCGAGTTCAGATCAGGCGGGCCGTTCCTCCCAATCACACCCCTCCAGGTCAAACTGTCAATGCCCACGTAAGCATATAAGTCCCCCAGCAGGACAATGGAGTCCCCTGATGGAGCACTATCTAGCACTCGTCCCAGGGACTCCAAAAAGGGTGGGTACTCTGAACTGATATTTGGCCCATAAGCACAAACAACAGTCAGGACCCGTTCCCCAACCCGAAGGCGCAGGGAAGCTACCCTCTCGTCCCCCAGGGGTAAACCCCAACACACAGGCAGAGAGTCTTGGGGCTAACAAAAAGCCAACCCCTGCCCTCCGCCTCTCACCCGGAGCAACTCCAGCAAAGAAGAGTGTCCAACCCCTCTCAAGGACTTGGGTTCCAGAGCCAATGCTATGTGTCGAGGTGAGTCCGACTATATCTAGCCATGTTGTGGAGTTGCTAATGCTAACGGTTGGTTTCAACTAGCTGAGACGTTCTCTGCTGATTCTTAGACGATAAACTAACCGTTTGACTTCCCCGTCGCGAGTCAAGATGGGTGATTGCAATTGTCACAGGCTTTTCTAATCTGAGCCTTTCAGCATCTATTTTCTGTCAGACTTTTAAGCAGGAAATAGGGCTAAGAGACTATTTTCACATTTAGTCTGCTTGGCAACCTCAGAGTGACCTATCGTGTTTCAAAATAACAAGTAAAAAAATGATTTCTAAGTGAATTTGCTCTTAAGACGGAGTGTCTAACTACATATTTTAAGACAGTGCAACAGATTAAACTGAATTACAAAATTGTCACAATATCAGACACATAAAAGTAAAATAAGGTAAAGCAAATTAAACTGAAGCATTTCTCACTTAATGTTTTATTACTTGTGGTTTCTTTTTGGAAACTCAATTTTTTTTGTCATTTTAATTGTTGAAAGTTACATTAATAGCCTACAGCCTTTGTGTATTCACCTGTATTATTAATTTTTTCTTCTTGCCTATTCACTTAGTGTATATTCTGCCTTACCAGGTGAAATTCCTCATTGTGGGATCAATAAAGTCTATTCAATTATTAACCATGTGGTAAAAGAGTTCTGCTCATTGATTTGCTAATAGAACTAAATAATTGTATTAAAAAATTGAACAGCTTTCTGTAATTTACAGTAACTAAATGATTTGAACCCAGTTTCCAGTCAAGTCCAGTCAAATATGCCAAGCTCTTTGGTAAAACAAATATTATGCACATTTCCCAGGAAGTGGCGGACCACATTTAGAGGTTAGCTTAAAAATGACAGATAAGTTGTGGTGAAATGTATCTAAAACTTTGGTTTAATGAGCTTCCCTGTCAGGCTGATGCTGCAGCAACAAGAAGACTTTGGGTTAATATAGATTATATTCGGTTTAGGATTACAGGACTTTATCGTATGTTATTAAAGTAATTTATTCACTGGATGTTTGTGGTTTGATGAATTAAAACTACGAAACAACATTGACTCTACAGTAATCTAAACCATGTAAAATGTTTGAGAGCATTTGTTATGCAGAAATGTAAATAATAAACATTTAAATAACCTTTGGGTGCCGGTGGATTTGCCTGACTTTAACCCGCTCAGGCTCAAAATAAGTTTTGATGAAAGGATGAACAACTAAGTATGAACTACGTATGTGGAGTAACCAGGTAGGTAGGTTTTAACGTTGCAAATCTGCAACGCCTGCCTCCAGAGGGTTAAATTGGCTCGAAAAACGAGGTATGATGCTGATATATTAAAAAATCATAAATATCAGCCTGATATGGCCAACCGATGTATCGTCTATCCTTCTCTTTGAAAAAAAAAAAATCCTCCACCAATGTTGAACTTGTGGAGAACTGTATGTGGGGACTTAGATCAACATTTCTTATTAGTTCTCAAGTAAATGAGGCGACCTAAATCTAAACGGCACCTATTTACCTGTTTTAGCTATTTGCCAGTTTTGATAAAACAGAATATGTGAAAAGGTACTTGAGAATTTATTGGTATGAAAAATCGAGCCAATGAAAGAAAAACAAAAGCACCATGGTCACATACTGACCTAGACTCCATACGTTAGAATAAAGGAGCTCGTACCTCTTGCCGAGGACATGTTCTTGGATCTGTAGCGGCATGCCTCTCGGTTTTCTTTAATCATCCTTTTGACGTCTTCGATGCTGAGTCTCTTCAGCACCACGACTGGTTTAGTTTTTTTGTTCAGCGTCTCCACCAGAGACACTCTCTCCAACCTCACGCAGGGTTCGGCCAACCCCCTCAACAGTTTGCTTTTGATGCTTTTATCTGTTCCATCTCTGCTCAGTTTAGGAATCACAAAGTTCTTGAGGCTTCCTGTGTTTCCACCCAACAGGAACGAGGGGAGCTCGCCAGTCTTCGTCTCGGAGGTTGGACGCTTGTTTCCAGCTATGCAGCTAGTGTTGCCCCCCCCACTTGTTTTATGGTTCTTGTTTTGGGGGTTCTGAAGACTGGAAAGGCCCGTCCCCTGTCGGCCGCTGAGATCTGCTGATTTTCTGCCTCCATCTTGCTTCATCCTGGGACTTTCAGGTTTAGTGTCCTGATCGAGGGGGTTTCTGCTGCCGTTTTCTCTTGACAATGTCCTCTGTTTTCTGTCCCGGTCTTTGTTTGTGTCCCCCTTTTCTTTTTCTCCATCTGTGTTTTTATCTTTTTCTTTGTTCCTGTGTTTGTCTTTATCCCCGTTCGTGTCATTCTTGTCTGTTTTCAGATCTTTGTCTCTGTCCAAAACCTTTTCTCTTTTCTTGTCTTTACTTTTCCTTCTGTCCATGTCTTTACCTTGGTCTTTGTCTGTGTTTTTATACCTGGATTTATCTCTGTCTTTGTCTCTACACCTGGATTTGACTTTATCTCTGTCTGTGTTATTGTCTTTGTCCTTACACTTGTCTTTGTTTTTAACAGTGTCCCTGTCTTTGTTTATTCCACAGTCTTTAACTCGATCTTTGTCCAAGTCTTTGTCCTTACACTTGTCTTTGTTTTTAACGTTGTCCCTGTCTTTGTTTATACCACAGTCTTTAACTCGATCTTTGTCCAAGTCTTTGTCCTTACACTTATCTTTTTCTTTGACAGTGTCCCTGCCTCTGTTTATACTACCGTCTTTACTTCTATCTTTGTTCAAGTTTTTGTCCTTACACTTGTCTTTTTCTTTGACAGTGTCCCTGTATTTGATTAAATCACTGTCTTTACCCTTATCCTTGTCTGAGTCTTTGTCCTTACATTTGTCTTTTTCTTTTACAGTGTCCCTATATTTGTTTAAATCACTGTCTTTACCCTTATCTTTGTCCGAGTCTTTGTCCTTACATTTGTCTTTTTCTTTTACAGTGTCCCTGTATTTGTTTAAATCACTGTCTTTACCCTTATCTTTGTCCGAGTCTTTGTCCTTACACTTGTCTTTTTCTTTGACAGTGTCCCTGTATTTGTTTAAATCACTGTCTTTACCCTTATCTTTGTCCGAGTCTTTGTCCTTACACTTGTCTTTTTCTTTGACAGTGTCCCTGTATTTGTTTAAATCACTGTCTTTACCCTTATCTTTGTCCGAGTCTTTGTTCTTACACTTGTTTTTGTCCCTACACTTATCTTTTTCTTTGACAGTGTCCCTGTCTTTGTTTATATCATGGTGTTTACACTTATCTTTGTCTGAGTCTTTGTCCTTACACATATCTTTTTCTTTGAGAATGTCCCTGTCTTTGTTTACACCACTGTCTTCAACTTTATCTGCGTCGTTGTCTTTAAACATGTCTTTTTCTTTACCAGCATCCCTGTCTTTCTCCCTGTCGCTTTCTCTGGTTCTGTCTTTATTTCTAACTTTGTCTCGATCTCTGATTTTGGTTTTGACTCCACCTCTGTCCTTCTGTCTATCTGTGTCCATCTCAACATCTACTTCTCTGTCTCCGCCAGTGTCTTCCTCATGTCTGGAGTTGCTGTCTAACTTGCTTTCAGACTTTGGGGTTTCAGGGTGGGTGAGAACAGAGCGGTGACTGTTGTTGTTCTTGCTGTCTTTGTGGCGTGAGTCTTGAAGTCTGTCGTGTCTCTTCCGTGTAGTGTCTGACCGCCTGTCCGCCGAGAGTCCCTTGTCACTGTCAGTTCTGGCGTCGTGTTTGTGTTTTGATTCACGACGGCTTTCCTGTTTCTGCTTATGGGTTTCCTGGGAGGTGTCAGGGAGCTGTTTTATGATCCCAGGTGTGTTTTCTGTGACTTTACTGACCTTTCCTTCAGCATTTTTCTTCATTTGACGTATGTGACCTTCAGACAATGGCCGTGATTCCAAGACAACTACAGGTTGTCCTATGACTCTGCCAGCATGCTGTAGATCGATACTGACCATCAAGGCAGGCCGACTGGCGCCGTTACTTCCAACACTCGACTTCTTGGGTGTCAGCTTATTGACATTTTTGGCCCCGAGTACAGTAGGTCCCTCACTTGTCTCAACTTCAGGCTCCTGAGGAAATGTGTCTTGTTTCCGTTTTTTAAGTGGCTTATCTGCAATGGAATAAAAAAACAGTAAGTCCAGAGTCTCTACAAGCATTGTAATAAAAATAGCTACAAAAATGAACAAAAACAAACAAATAAAAATACACCTTTGTCTTGGACCTCTTTAGGGCATCGTTCTCTCTCACTGGCTGATTCACGTTCTAATCTGTCAATTTCTGTAAGTGTGTCAATCTCAGAGTCCTCAAACACACTGATGATTTCCGTTTCCTTAGCATCTGAATGCAAGCCGACCTGTTGAGCGTTAGTTTGCTCCTCGACTTCAGACTTGCGCAAAAAGTCTTGACGTGTACTAGACAACTGATTGTTATTGTTCAACAAAACTGTTTGGGGGTTTAAGTCCATATCTGATTGTGGATGGAGCTCTTCAGTTATATTCGTGTCTGGAATCTTCACTCGGGAAAGTTTTAAAGTCAGCTTAGCAGAGTCCTTAGATGGAGAACTAACAATGTCGTAGAAGACATTTTTGTCCACGTGCTCATTTTCTTCTTTACTCCTGTCTCTCTGTTTCTTTTTGCGGTCGGGAGTTGTGAGAAGCAGGTCCGGTGATGCACCTTGTGGCACTTCAAGTGGAGGTGACTGCATGATAAGAGATGGCCTGGACTCTGCAGAGACACAGAGAGGTCAAAGTTAAACTGCACCAGAAAATATATCTTTGCAAAAGAACTGTACGATGGGGTGGAGCTTTTGATTCCAAATGAACTTGACGCTAAGGCGGCATACTTTTTGCTGTCTCTTCACCCCCAGCAGGGGAACACGCAGAATGTGATGATTTCACAGGAATTACGGCAACCTTCATGGAAGAGTCATTTTCCTGTTTGAACGAAAAACAGTTGTTACTTCTAACAGTCGGTGTCTGCTAAAATCATGTTCTTCAGTAACACGGCTCACTGGCTTACCTCATTTCCAAGTTTGTTAGCGGTGTTTATGTAGTCTTCATCCAGGCCGAGCCTTGAGTTGTGATTAGATGATTTGCTTGAGGGCTGTCCAGAAACCTTATTGTCATGCAGATTTCTCACACCACTAACAACTAAAACAAAGAGGAAAAGTAAATGAAAAGAATGATTAGTCGCATCTACTTGTTACATTGGTTAGTCGGACAGAAACGTACAAACAGCTGTAATTTGACCCCGCTCCAGGAAGATAACGCCTGATCAAGGGCTTTTTTTCTTGTTACTTTAAGATGCATAATTATATTATTCGAGTTAGGTTTATTTTTGATAGTGCATGAACACACACACACACACACACACACTTAATTCTAAAATGTTTCGAAGTTACAGTTTATAAAAGCTGCTAACAGTGGTGGTTGACCTGTTGTTTTATTTTTTTATAAAATTCAATAATTAAAGCACCAGGAAGACATTTCACTATCTAAAACAAGGGCAACTATTCATTTCTTAGAATTTCTTGTCGTTTCAAAGGTGAAGATTCCTGCACTTTCAGCAACAGTTCTGGTTGACCGATTTCTTATTTCTACATCCCACTCCCACAATCTCATTCGTCTTGCTTTCCATCTCCAATCTGTTTTGTGAATTCAGTACATTTAGGTTGTCCTACAGGAAGTGCTCATGTCTGATGAAATATTAAATCTCAGTCAGTCCCTTCTGACCCTGACTGGGAAGGAATACTCAAAGAGGCCAGAAGGAGATTGTGGGAAAAAGAAGCAGATCTGTAGCCTGGAAATCTAGACAGACGGCAGCCAAAGCAAAATAATGTTGCTCTGCATGTCGGTCTAGCCACTCTTCATAGGGGCCTCAGCATGCCAGAACAGTCTTGTGTCTTGCCAATCACAGCGCTCTATTTGTTTGGTGGGCGGGATGATGCGATGGAGGACAACTGAGATGATATTGGCTCATTTGAAATGGCTTCGGTATCAACTTTGGACTATATAGACTTGGGCTTTTCTTTGTGTCTAGAGCCGATAGAGGTACTTAAGTCCCTTATTTAGAAAAAAGATGTATTTGCGCCTTCTTCAACAGTGTATGGTGGACTGCCCCACGACTGACCTCTGTCTATGGGTCGTAGTTAGGCTGTATATTCACATATACAGGATGTCTTGCCAGGCTAACAGGTGTGAGAAGTTGTGAACATGTGTGGGCGACGGTAGCACAGGAGTTAAGTGCTCGCCCGTAATTGGAAGGTTGCAGGTTCGAGCCCCGCTCAGTCTGTTGCTGTCGTTGTGTCCTTGGGCAAGACACTTAACCCACCTTGCCTGCTGGTGGTGGTCGGAGGGACCGGTGGCGCCAGTGCTCGGCAGCCTCACCTCTGTCAGTGTGCCCCAGGGCGGCTGTGGCTACACCGTAGCTCATCCCCACCAGGGTGTGAATGACTGACTGTGTTGTAAAGCACCTTGGGGGGTTCCAGGACTCTAGAAGGCACTATATCAAATACAGGCCATTTACCATTTAACATTACTGGGGCACAGGAATTAAGTGCTTGCCCTATAATCAAAAAGTTGTAGGTTCAAGCCCCACTCAATCTGTCACTGTTGTTGTGTCCTTGGGCAAGACACTAATGTTTATGTTTCTGTTCATGTATTTAGCAGACGCTTTTGTCCAAAGCGACTTACAAGTGATAATCGGCATGTTGCCCTTGAGGCTAACAACAACAACAACAATCAATAAAACACTTAAACCATCTTGCCTGCTGGAGGTGTTCAAAGGGAAAGGTGCTGCCTGTGTACGGCAGACTCACCTCTGTCAGTGTGCCCCAGAGCAGCTGTGGCTACAATGTAGTTCATCACCACCAGGGTGGTTGCACCATTAATTTCAATCAAAAACAGAAACAATAATCAATAAATACTTTCATCTTTTTAATTTGACTTGAATAAATTGAGTTTATTTATAAAGCGCGAAATCACAACAAGAGTCATCAAAGGCACTTCACAAAGTAAACATTCCTGTTGAACCTACGTATCAGTGCACTGAGTTCAGCTCATTATTCCAATTAATTATAAGTTTCCTAAGAAAGAAAACCCAGCAGACTGCACGGAGTCACTGACTTGTGGCAGAAACTTTACAGCAAGTCATCTTACTAAACAAGCATGTAGCGACAGTGGAGAGGAAAAACTCCTTTAACAGGAAGAAACCTCCAACCCAATCTGCCGTGACAGACTGGGGGTTTGATAAGACAGAGCAGACACACACACACACACACACACACACACACACACACACACACACACACACACACACAACAATGAACCAGTAGTAGTACATTCTGTTGCTGGGTTTCACTCATGTGATCCTGCAGTTGCATGAAACTGAAATCTTTTCCATTTAGTAGGGTTGGACAAAAAATTGAAAATGTATCGTTATCAAAATTTCTAACTATTATTGAGATAATTTTTCCCATGTCAATAAATTTGATAATAAAAAAATGAAAAGATGTGTGTAGGTTGGCAACATTCATATTCCATTAAGATGCTGTACCACCTTGAGTCGCGTAACAATGTGACTCAATGTACTAGCCCCATCTAGTGGACAACTTTTGTTTCTGCACGTACCTTTAGGTTACTATCGTAACCCCGGTTCTCTGAGTAACATGAGTGAGATGTCTCACTATGGGATACGCCCCTCTGCGGATTCCTCAGAAGCACTTATCTCAATACGCCAATCCTGATTGGCCAGTGACCGTGACGTACGCGTCCCCCTGCTACTATAAGTAGCAAGCGTCCCCACGCACGCACTATTCAAGATAAACACCTCTTCTCGCTTCGCCCAGCAAGAAGGGTTGTCTGGTGAGACATCTCACTCATGTTACTCAGAGAACCGGGGTTACGATAGTAACCTAAAGTTCTCTTTCTTAACATTCGTTTCGATGTCTCACTATGGGATATGGAGACTCCCGTATTGCCAGACAGCTTATCCAGCGATCACCAACCTACAGGGATACGTCTTGGCCCGCCAAAGACCCCACACTCAGAATCGTGTGAGTCATTGCAGGGACCGAAACATCAAGCTTATAGAAGCGTGCAAATGCAAGTGGAGAAGCCCAACTTGCTGCAGCACAAATCTCCTGGATTGACAGCCCCCGAAAAAGGGCCCAAGAAGCAGACAGGCCCCTAGTAGAATGGGCCCTGAGCCCAACAGGTGCCTGAATGCCCTGACAGGAGTAAGCCATAGAAATAGCCTCCACAATCCAGTGGGAAAGCCGCTGCTTTGTGACGGGTTTCCCCTTACGAGGCCCACCCCATGACACAAAAAGCTGGTCCCCCCTGCGAAGGTTCTCCGTCCGATTCACATACTCCTTGAGCGCGCGAATCGGACACAGCTTGTGCCACCGCTCCTCCTCAGGAGAGGAGAAGGGCGGTGGGTAGAAAGCTGTGAGGATAATAGGAGAAAAGGAGCCCACCACCTTAGGCACAAAGGCAGGGTTGGGCTTCAAGGACACCTTCATGTCACCTGGTGCAAACTGGGTGCAGGATGGGTGCACAGAGAGAGCCTGTAAGTCACTAACTCGCTTTGCAGATACCAAAGCCAGGAGTAGCACCACCTTAAGAGACAGGATCTTAAGGTCCAAGCCGTCCATAGGTTCAAATGGAGGCCCGGAGAGGGCCGACAGCACCAAGGACAGATCCCATGAGGGCACCAGGGGTCGGGACACAGGGAGAAGCCTGCGCGCGCCCCTCATGAAGCTACACACCAGGGGGTGTTGACCTGCCAATTTCCTCCCAAAACCCAAGTGTCGGGCGGAAATGGCTGCTAGGTACACTTTAATGGTGGAGAAAGCCTTCTTCCCATCCAACAAGTCTTGCAGGAAAGACAGAATGACGTTCACCGGGCATTGGAAGGGTGAGACCTCCCTGCCCTGACACCAGGCTTCAAACACCCTCCATTTACAGTCATATAGGGACCTAGTGGAGGGGGCCCTAGCATTCTGAATGGTTCGAATGACTGCCTGGGGCAGCTCTGCTGACACTAGTCCGCACCCCTCAGGGGCCAGGCCCACAGGGCCAGCCGTTCTGGATGAGGGTGGAAGATCGAGCCTCCCGCTTGGGACACCAGGTCCCTGCGAAGCGGCAGTTTCCAAGGTTGGCCCTCCAGGAGCTGGAAAATGTCCGCCACCCAATGCATGGCTGGCCAGTATGGGGCCACCAGAATGAGAGTGTGGCGCTGGGTTCGTACCCTCAGCAAGGTGGGTGGTATCAGGGCCACTGGGGGAAAAGCGTAAAGCAGTCCCCGTGGGCAGTCGTGCGCCAGCGCGTCCACGCCGAGTGGAGCGTCTCGGTCGCGCAGGGAGAAGAACAGAGGACACTGAGCATTCTCCTTGGAGGCAAAAAGATCCACTACGGCTCTGCCGAACCGGATCCAAATCTGTTCCAACACTGCTGGATGCAGGCTCCAATCCCCGTACAGGGGTGTCCCTCTGGACAACAGATCCGCCCCCCGATTCAGAACACCCGGGACATGGGTGGCTCTGATTGAGAGGAGATGCCTGCTGCACCATAGGATCAGTCTGCGTGCCAGCGTGTGTAACCGCACGGAGCGCAGCCCCCCCTGGCGGTTTATATAAGCCACAGTCGTGGTGTTGTCTGTTCTCACTAGGACATGATGGCCGGAGAGAAAAGGCAGGAAGCGCCTCAGGGCTAGAAAGACCGCGAGGAGTTCCAGATAATTTATGTGTGTCCCCCAGAGCTCTCTGCTCCACACACCCCTGACAGAGCGACCCTCCAGGAGCCCCCCCCAACCTGACAGGCTCGCATCTGTCGTGACCACTTTCCTCACGAGAACCAACCCCAAGGGCACCCCCTGTGCCAAGAGGGAGGGGTGACGCCAACAGCGGAGCGCCGCAACGCACGCTGCAGAGACCGTCACCCTGCGCGCTCTGTGGCGCACTGGAGAGAAACCCAGAGAAACCACCCAGCGTTGAAAATCTCTCATGTGTAGACGGCCGAGTGGTACCACTGAAATAGCCGACGCCATGAGACCCAAAAGCCTGAGGCATAACGCAAACCGCACCGAACTGTGTAGGCGGAAGCGCGCCAGGCAGAGCGAGAGCGCGTTCACGCGCGGTGTCGAGAGACGGGCCGTGAACGCCCCTGAGTCCAGATTCAGACCTAGAAAGGTTATTTTCTGGGAGGGGAGTAAAGCGCTTTTCTGCCAGTTTATTCTGAAACCCAGACCACACAAGTGATGGATCACAACCAGCGTGTTTGACGCTGCCTCCTCTCTGGAACGTGCCAGCAGGAGCCAGTTGTCTAAATACGTGGCCAGCCGAATGCCCCTCCCTCTCAGAGGGGCGATCGCTGCCTCCGTACACCTGACAAACACCCTCGGGCTCAGCGAGAGGCCGAATGGGAGCACGGTGTATTCATAACACACTCCCTGAAAGGCAAACCTCAGAAATTTCCTGTGTGGAGGGTACACGGGAATATGAAAGTATGCGTCCCTCAGGTCGATTGAGGTGAACCAGTCGTTCTGGTGAATCAGACGCAAAAGGGATGAGAGCGTGAGCATTTTGAATCTGTACTTTCTGAGGCATCGGTTCAGGGCCCTCAGATCCAGGATCGGGCGAATCCCGGTCCCTCCCCGTTTTGGGACCAGGAAGTACCTGGAGTAGAAACCGCTCTGAGACCGATCGGGAGGCACAATGCATATCGCTCCCTTCTCCAGCAGGGAGGAGATTTCTCCCTGAAGGATGTGAGCTGACGTCCCCTGGGCGTGGGAGAACACTACGCCGGAGAATCGAGGAGGAACAGAAGCGAATTGGAGCCTGTAACCTCTCGAAATAGTTCTCAGCACCCAATGTGAAGCAGAAACCGCTGTCCATTCCTCCATGTGAGTGGAGAGCGGTGACACAGCCGTGACACACGGAGCAGCAGCTCCCTCCAGAGGTTGTGGGGCAGCGGTGCTCGTGGCAACCACTGCGCATGCGCGGGGGCTTTGTGGTTTGACGGCCCAGGCGTACGGGGACGACCCGTGGCTGGCGGATAAGTCCGCCAGGGGCCGCCCACGCCTGGAAATGCTCATGGGCAACATTTTTATTGATTTTTGCTGCGCCCTTGACATTTTGTCTGGATGCGGCAGCGAACTTTTTAATGCTCCTTGAGCGTGACATGTTTGTGAAAAACAATGTGAGTGCTTGTGACGTGTGTTTTGAGCCGGCACAGCCGGCTGCACGTCCTGGCCCCACCCTGAACCGCTCGGGGACTCTGCCGGAGGGGTTCCGTGAGGGGGGGGAGAAGGCACCATGGCAACATCGAACAGGAGGAGCTGGCGAACGGGGAACTGCCAGCTGCAGCGTCTGGAGGGAAAGAACTCCGTCAGGCTGCCCTCTTCTTCTTCCTCACCTGGTGACCGCCGGGTCGGGTTGGTTGTCCCGGCGGCGGAGCGGCTTGGTTGCCGGATCTCTGAGGACAAACTGGTCGAGGCGCTGAACCCGAAGGAGCTGGTTGGACAGCTTGAGGCTTCGGGCGCTTTGGGATCCAGAACTGAGGCTGGGCTCGGACAGCCGCCTGAGGAAGGTTCGGCCGAGCCGGCAGCGCCGGTGAGGGCTTACGGGGAAGGCAGAGATGAAGGGCTTCATCCTCTTTCTTTTTGGCCTCACACCGTTGCTGCATTGATGCCAGGGCAGAGCCAAAAATGCCTTCAGGCACGATTGGCATGTCCAAAATGTCCATAGCCCATAGCTTTTCCCGTGGCCTGGACCGCGCAGCGCTGCACACGCAGGCAGATGTCGGTCAGTACAGTGATTTCCTCCCACATCTCCGGGTCCGGCTTCGTATTCATGTCTTCACAGAGCTCGGCTTGGTACGCCGAGAGCATGGAGGAGACATTCAAAGCTCGGGCGGAGATGGCGGCAGCCTTGTACGCCCTCTCGTTCAGCGCCGACTGGAAGCGGTCCGCCTTCGCGGGGAGAGCGGGAGGCCTGGAGGAAGTTGCCGAGAGCCGTGGGTGCAGGTGGGCTGCAACCAGCGGTTCCATCGGCGGCATGCGAAGCATGCCAGCCTTCTCCATCCCCTCGAAGTCCAGCGAGGAGGCTCCTTGGACAGGAGACCTGGAGCTGAAAGGGTGTTTGTCCCAGAAGGACCTCACTTCTTGGAGAAGCTCCGGGAAGGCGGGAAGGAGGGGCTTTGCCGCTCTTGTGGCCTGAGGCAGCTTCTTTCCCTCGTAGCGGGATCTGACAGCCTCAGTGACCATGGTGGGCCAAGGGATGTTGAGCCTGGTCACAGCGCGTCGGCAGACTGACTGCATGTCCAGGTGGGCGGCCGGGGAAGCCGCTCCATCCCTGGGAGAGGACGGAAAGCTAGGCATGGAGGCCTGAGCGATGGGGAGAAAAACGTCGTCATCCTCGTCCTCCTCTGAAATGAGGAGTTCCGAGGTGCCCCCGTCGTCTCCGTAGTCCAACTCCAACACGTCCTCGACGGGGTGGCTCGGACCGGCCGGTTCGAGCTGTGAGCCCCAGCTGAGTTCGGCACACGGTTCCGGCTCCGGGAGGACATGTTCGCTGGCGTCCCCAGGCGGTGGCCCAGGGGCCGGCAGGCAAGGGTCCTTCCCCGACAGGCTAGCTTGGCGCGCTAGCCGCCGGCGAAGGCTCTTCAGGGTGAAGCAAGCACAGCTCTCACATGACCCGGGGACTTCCAATGCCAGCTGGGCGTGTTCCAGCCCGAGGCAGCTCGAGCAGACCTTGTGCGGGTCTGTGCTTGAGATTTTGTTCCCACAGGTACAGAGGCGAGCTCCTGCGCCGTCGACTCCTCTGGTGGGAGGAGCGGCTTCCATGTAGGCTAACTGGTGTGTTAGCAGAGAACGAACAGATGCACTGGAGTGTGAAGCTGCTCGTTATGCCCCGAGCCTATGGTGAAGGCCAGGACAGAAGGACAGTAAGTTAACGTTCGGCGACGGAGAGAATATTAGAAGGCTCCGTCTGTGAACAGTTGAGCTAACTTACCTCAGAGATAAGCGACCACCGAAGCGAGAAGAGGTGATTGAATAGTGCGTGCGTGGGGACGCTTGCTACTTATAGTAGCAGGGGGACGCGTACGTCACGGTCACTGGCCAATCAGGATTGGCGTATTGAGATAAGTGCTTCTGAGGAATCCGCGGAGGGGCGTATCCCATAGTGAGACATCGAAACGAATGTTAAGAAAGAGAACTGTAGTTATCGTTATCGAGGTGAAATCCTCAATATATTGTGATATTGATTTTAGGCCATATCGCCCAGCCCTACCATATAGTTTATAAAAGTTGGTTTTCATACACTCTGGAGGATTTACACTGCGTCGAAGCGATAAGCTACCTCATGCTGCATGCCTCATATTACACTGCAAACCAACTGAAAGCCTTTTATGAACCCGGAATGCTACAGCTATTTTATTTCAGGTTGGGTTAACCATTTAGGATCCAAAGAAGCTTTAAATGGTTGCTGTCTTGTTTTTGCTCGGGGAAGTAGTGAGTTGTGCTATTTTAATTCATTAGCTCATGATAATGATGCTATCACTAATGCTAACGATGAGTATGTTTATGTGCTAGGATCTACTTGTAAATAACTTATTATGCCTTTTTAAATCCAAATTTCTGGTACATTTGTTTGATTCTAATTAGGCACAAAACACCACAATACAACACTAAGCTAACTTCTAAAAACATTAGCACTAATAAAGCTATTTGCTGTACAATAATTAGGACATGTGAAAACAGTATAAAACAGTATACCAGCCATTTAAATGGCTGTTTCTTATTATCTGTTCCATAAAATGCCATAAAAACATTTGGTAAACACTTAGAAAGTGATGGCTGCAAACTCTAGCTCTGTTTTCAGCTGGAGATTACTGATTCACTTCTGCCGTCTTCTTTCAGTAACCTTTTTTTTAATTAAGCTCCTTGTGATGCACTACATTTGGGACATGGGAAAAAAAACCAAGTCCACAAAGTAAAGAGGGTTCTGCTCAGCAGCGGCTACTTCCTGAACCCTACGTCATATGAAACCCAGCAATATTAAAGAAAGTAAAAAGTTAATATTAACTTCACTCTCACCTTGTTGAGTCTGCTGATGGTGAGGATAACTGGGTGGATTGTACTGTAAGTAGTCGGCGGGGCTCTGAGGGGTGTAAGGACTCGGCAAAGGACTGTTCTGCTGAGGTACGAACTGAGTAGCTGTCCCACACTGAGGGGATGTAAAGCATCTGTGAAATAAAAAAAATGAAAGTCAATCTTAAAAGTACAGCAACCTTCACGTCTTCATTGTTCGACAAGTGCTAGAGTCATACCCAGAGGGGCTTTGAGCAACAGTGGCTTGCTGATAGTTTGATGCTGGACTTCCATGAACTTGATTCTGAGAAATCTTATACTGCTGTATCAGTGGCTGCTGTAATGCACCTAAAAAAACGAGTTGAATAAAAAGTGCATTATTAGACTATACACAATCAAACTGAACACATAGCCTGTAGCTCCTGGATCTAATGCTACATTCCTCTAATAATATCATAACCATTAAATGATTAACTATAACCTCTAATATAAGATAAAACTAATTACACGGTGCAGACAAAATGTAGAAATTAATTTGGGAACAAAATCAGACTGCATATATGTGTCCACCTTTAATAACATCACAATAATGTATTTAAGTTATTTAATCTGTTTAATTTAGAGGCAAAAAAGTTTTGTTTCTTCTGAATGTTCTCTGATTCAGTAAAAAAGAGAAACCTTTGTTCAATGCATGAACTTTCTTTGACAAAAACAAAAAGCAAGACTATTTGGTGAAAGGAACTGGAAGCTGAGCTCTACAGGAAGAGGAAGAATGTGCTTTAAATTCAGTTTCAAATCTTTTAACAAAAATTTTTTACAAATATATATTTTCACGAAATCATATTTTATCTTTACTTGCCTAAAATTTTTGAATGTCTCCAAGTCACTTTAGAACAATATCAAATAAAGAGTTATTGAGCCAGTTGAATTATGTTTTTGGTTTTGTTTGTTTTACAGGAAAATCAAAAGGTCATAAATTGATTTAATAGTTTATCTTGAGCTTGGTTCATACTGTGTGCTTTTCAGCTGTGAACATGAGCGTGACTCGTGAGTCTGTGGCTGTCCAGTGTGACTGACCCACCAACAGCTTATTGAGCACACTCTCACAACTAAATCCAGCCTCTTCAAGCATCGCAAAAAATCTACAGCTCCTGTCCGCAATCGACTAATGAAAACACACCCAAGGAGTGACGCGAAAAACTAATGACAAGAATGAAATATGAGAGTGCAAGTATCCATACCATGGAGGCTACGCACAAGAAAATGTGAAGTGCTCCTTGGAGTTTTGTTTGCAGTCTGATAAAATCCCTCTCATTGCTGGACATTTGTCGGGTTTAGTAGCGTGCTTATCAGCAATGCATGCTCATGACACTGGTTTGTCCTTCAAGAGCACAACGTCATCCAGACTGACTCACTGAAATCTTGGGACCCTGTAGTGTACCACCTCTCAAGAATTTGCACGGTGTGACAAGAAGACGTCCGACGGATGAAGAAAGCTGCATGAACCAGGTTTAAAAACACAGCCCACCTCAGAGACGGTCATGGAAATATTCCTTTACGAAATAAGACATCTTTGTGGAACCAATAACTAAATCTTTTAGCAACTGGGTGAAGCCTCTTTAAGTACAAGAACCGGTTTTATTTGAATTCTTTAACTGGGAGGGAATTGGCCATAGCATCAAAGAGAACTTCAATTGTGTTGTGAGTTATAATAGCGCAAAAAACCTGGAAACCCACCCGTAACAGTAACAGACCCAGCTGCTACTGATCAGTTCAACAAAAGCTCTGGTTAACTGAGCTAAAGCCTACAGCTTGGTTCAACTCTGAACTAGAAAGCAAACACATCCTTACCATCCCAAACCTCATACGAAGTTAGCTTACTTTTATCCCGGAAGATTCTGGGGTTTCTGGACAGTAAAGTTTGAAGAAGAACTGGCATGTCACCCTCAGGTTCATCATTTCCCAGGTGGTCCTTCAGCTCTCTGGAAAAACAAGCAAAACAACCAAAAAAAAACAACCCAACCTGTTATTTAAGGTAATGCTGCTATACCGCTGCAAGTTGCTGGTCTATCAAGTAAAGTTGTGGCTGTGGTCACTGGATAATTTTAAGGTCAGCATCCTTTTGCAAAATAAAATTTCAAGCTGGTAGTGCCTTTCAGTATCAGAGATGATGCTTACATGTGTTCAGTGGAGACTTGGTTAAGGCTATGTGCCAGCTGAGTCACCAGAGTCTCATCTCGACACACCAGCAGGCTGCTGACCTCTTCAGAGATCCTTCCATTGTAGAGCAGACTCTTAGCAGTGGTGGCCGGAAGAGGAGAAGGCAAAGGCAGCTGGTTCAACACTTCAAGGAGATTGGGGAAAAAATGAAACAAAAGAAAAAAGATCACGTAAAATAAAATGTCACAATTTAGGTAAGAGAGAATGTTTCTGTATGAATGATTGTTAGATTATAATCAAGTAACTGTTCCTCTTTTGCAGCTAAAATCAATCCTAACTTAGAATTCAATGTCTTTTTTAATGTTTGCAAACTTTTCCATCAGAATGCAGTTTGTGAAGAGCTTTGTGTGAATGTCAAAAACTTTCCAGTGACCTAAAAATACATAATAAAATTATTAAAATACAGTCTATTTCTGGCCAAGATTCACTTCATTTACGTGTATTCTGCAACATAAGTCACTTTGTTGCCGTCTGCATGGGGGTCACAAACTGTGATTATTATTATTATTTTTTTTTTTTTTTACAATGGGTCACTCAGCTCTGGCCTATTTATCGGTTAAATCTTGCCACATTTCACCCTAAATATTAGTGTTAATGCCAGGGGTACCCAATGGTGGAGGGTTGGCATCCAGCATGTTTTAGTTGTTTCCTTGCTTCAACACACCTGATTTCAATCAGCAGGTGATTACCAGCCTTCTGCAGATACTGATGAGCAGCTGAACAAGTGATTCAGCCACTGAACCAAGTATGCCGAAGCAGGGAAATAACTAGAACATGCTGGGTGCCGGTCCTCCAGGACCCTCCAAAATTGGGCACCCCCAGCTTTAGGCTGTGTGATTAGTTTGCAAAGGAAAGATGTTACACTTACAGTCTGTTAAGCTAGCAATTCCAGCAAGAGTAGTGATGGGAACATGAGGCATATCACCATTCATGCTGAAGATGAGGTCAAGAGGTCGTGTCAATGCACAGGCAGCTAAAAGTCACTGATCCCTTCCTAATCGTCACATCTCCAGTGTGCTGCAAAGACATAGTGACAAATTAAATATTCATCATTGAAATGGTCAAAAGACATAAAATGTAATACTTTTCCATTATAAGCTACTGATATAAGGCCTAAATGTCCTGATGAAGAGGCAATGTTTCTTTGGAAATGGGGAGCTCAACTGTGCTTGGGGGGGGCATTATTCGTGTACTTGTGTTATTATAACTGTATCAGACAGTTTATACAGGCCCTTCAGCAAGCATAGACATGTTGTTATGGGTGATTGATCAAACATGTCAATGAAAATATTCTCCCCGTGTCCTGGTCCCTTCATTCATAAATACAGGCCATCAACAAATTCACCTTACCTCGTCCTAAATGTGTAATGCACTGGTTAAAAAAGTACGTCTTCCATTAAACATAGCACGGAACGTGACTATTTCGATGTGATTAATGACCCTGAAAAGTTGCAACAGTTCTGTGTTTTGCGTCTGTCTCTACCTTCAGACGTATGCGTTTTCTGAGTGTTTACTTTCATTATTTTAACCGTCGAAACGTTTCGAACAGCAGCGAAAAGCAGCGTGTGCAAACGTTAAATTTGCTAGCTTAGTTATGTCTGATTTTCTTCCTTTTGTTGTCGTGTCAGTTGAGATTACCACAACTGTCCGAAGCCACAACAGCGTCATTAGCTCATCTTGACAACAACTGCGACTGTATTATTACTGTGCTCTTACCATTTCTCCGGTTTATAGACGCATTTTGTGAGGAATGAGAGCTCGTCGACGAGTGAAAAAAAGTGAGCAAAATCAACTCACGGTTGGCCCGGCTAGCAAGAACTGGAGATGTAGCTAATGTATGCTAGCTGGCTAGGAGTAGCCTTAATTGTAAGCGAGCGTGCATCAAAGCCTGTTAGCCGCGGCTTTCTGGATATTCTTCGCTCTTTCTATCACATATACTCGGATACTGGTTACAACTCTCACCACCTCACGCTTGCTATGGCCTTCATCCGCGTATCTTTACCTCACAAAGTGGACCTCGGACTTGCCTAAAGGAAGCGTAACCCCGACCCGACGCCAAGGAGGCAGGGGTACAAAGCAAATCCCCCCATCACAAATCAGAATGATCTCCTTTGGTCAATTCAGCTAGCGTCTGTCTGCTGGGTCTGCTAATGCGGAAACGCGCAGGAGGGCAAGCGATCAGTCTAAAAATAGAACGTTACTATTGAATGGAGCTTATTATTTACCTCTGGATGTGATGAGAAAGAGAAGTGGTTGTGGTGAAGGAGGAGGAGGAGTAGCAGCTGGAGTAGGATGGCAGCTGGAGCTGGAGAAGAGACTCTAGCTCCCTCTCCGTCCTACAGTCCGAACAGCTCCTCCGTGGAGCAGCGACACACTTTCTGGGGATTGCTGCCCTTTCTCACGGCTCGCATATTTTCTGGGAGGCAGCCTCATGGACATCGTTTAACGATTTAATTTGACGTTTGAGGGATACTGTCACCAGCTTACGTTCGTAAAAAAATAATAAAATCAGGAAAAAAGAAATAAACAAGGGATTTATCGGTGTTGATCAGAGCGTCACCTACCGGTTTATCTGCAAATCCTCCAGCAGCTGCAGCTTTGTCCAAAAAAATTAGACAAACTTGATGTCTCTTTTTTTTTACAGAAGATAGTTTGCTCCCATTTTGAAATAAAAATTTTATTAGGTCCATGTGGAAGGTTATATTTCAGTACTCAAAAGCAATTAAAATATGGAGAAGTTCCTGTGTCTTTTTAATAACCCAAAGGAAAGAAAAATAGATATTTTTAGGTTTCCCGGGTTTTCAATCTTAAGGCGAAAGGTTAGGATGTTATTTTTTTAATCAGCACTTTATTTATGATTAAGTTATTCCTAGTACTTTTCATCCCCTGAAATTTTTTATGCATCAAATAATCGAAATGTTCTACCTCTTTTTTTCATTTGAAATAAATCAAATGGGATGTGAACATGTAGAAAACTATATTTCATTAAGTTCAGCACACATGTAATTTGGCTTCCAAACAAATACTCTGAGGCAACCAAGTGTTTGACTGCTAAAAAATATTTTGTTAAGAGCAAGGCCAGATTATTGAATGGCTGTTACGGTAACTATTGGCCTATGAAAGGCTGGATCATCCAGTGGCTAATTTGGGCACAGACCCAGGGGCCCACTTCTACTAGGGGCCCGTGCAAAACAAGATTATCCAGTGGGTAATATGGGTACAGGCCCAGGAGCCCACACGGGCCCACAGAAGACCAGATTATCCAATGGTATTATGGGGTACAGACCTAGCGTCCCACCCATATGTTCCCATACAAAACTGGATTATCCATTTTGGGCCCAGACCTTCTAAAGGTCTGTGCAAGGCCGGATTATTCAGTGGGTAATATGGGCACAGGCAGAGGGGCCCATTCTAGGAGCCAATGCAAGGTTGAATTATCCAGTGGTACTAGGTTCATGCTCAGGGTCTCATGCCTAATAGCAGCCCATGCAAGGCTGGGTTATCTAGTGGGTATAATGGGAACTAGGAGTCTATGTAAAGCTGGATTGTCCAATGGGTAATATGTGCAGAGCCCAGGGCCTCAAGCCCACTAGCATGCAAGGCCGGATTATGCAATGGATATTCTGTGCACAGGCCCAGGGGCCCTTGCCTACTAGGGGCCCGTGGAAGGCCAGATTATCCAGTGGTTAAGATAAACTCAGGCCCAGGGGCCCAGTTTCAGGAAGAAAATAAAGGGTTGTTTTCAACTTTCCATGGTTGATTGTGATCATATGTGCTGGTAGATCACAAGACATAAAAACGTTGTGCCCGGGGCCCTCTGCCATTATAATCCAGCACTGGCTAAGAGCTATGAATACACTTACAACCCACAATCGGAACCATCAATACAAAAACAATAATAAATAAAATAAATTGAGCTTGAGGTACAGCATTCTCTCTAGGTTTAAAATCATGTTGTGGTCTCCCTCTTGTGGACAAAAATAAAATGGTTTTTCTCATTTCCACCCAACTGATTTCACTATTGTGGAAATAATTTGAACATTTAAGACATTTTCTGCACAATAGAATGTTTTCAGAGTATAAGCCAATCAAACTGGCTATCAACATATATTTGAGAGTGATTAATTGTCCACACATACACACTCACTTCTTCACATGAAAGGCCAGCAGCTGATGTTTGGAGTTTCACGAGTGAGCAGAAATGAAGCTTTTTGGGCTGCAGGGCTTCACGGTAATTACTTCATTTCAATGGATTTAACCATGAGTCTGGAACCCGTGACGGTCATGAGGGGGTTCTGCCCCCCACTGCTTTCTCGAACACCAAGTGAAATGACTCAGAGCTTCTCAGACCTAGTGTTGAGAGCAGGCTTTCAAATCAGGACAGGTTTTCGCTGACATCCAAGAATAATTTGGTAAGAAAATGTACCTTTTGTCCTACGTTTTCTCTGGAAAAGAATCAGGGATACGACTGGTCCTTAAAGAAAATATTTAAACTTAACTAGAAACTAAGCAGGCTGCAACAGGTGTCTGTTCTAAACTGGAGGGACTTACCAAAGGCTGCTATCTTTAAAAATTGACCTAACTGACATTTCACTTTATAGGACTACTTTCACAGTGACTTGGTGACTCCAGTGTAGTTTTATCCAATAGGAGGTCAGAATTACTCTTTAATTGGATACTTTTGTTTGGTTGTAATGACAGCAAATGTCAAAACATTATTTTTACTTCTATTAAGCTAAAAAAAAGTATTATGTTGCCCCCTGAAGTACTCTCCTGTTGACTTTCAGCTTGATGTTGTGCAATCGTACAGACGGGATGCCTCGTGGAGACTTCAACATCTATTTTGCGAGTGGTAGAAGAGGAAACGTTCGAGCTGAGGAGTGTGTTATTTTCTATTTATGCCGTTTTACACCGGCAGGTTTCACACACACTCCTGGTGGTATCTTAGACGTTTGCACTCTGGTTTACAGGCAGTAAAAACAAATGCTGCACTAAAAAACAACTAAAAACGTGCTGTCGATTCATTCCAGAGCGGTGGGCATTGCTCTCCTGGTGGTGATCCTTGCAGGCCTCTTCATTCTGGGCTGCTGGTATCTCAAGAAGAGGAGTGGCTACAGAATAATCAGGGTGAGACAATTATTTTCACTTTAACTATTTTTTTTTTTGTTATTCCATCTTATCAGCCTACATATTTAAAAAGTAAAACCTGCTATTTATAAATTCATTTATTTAGTTGTAGTTTGTTCTTTCTTTCTTGTCCTTCTTCTACAGCAGGGGCGTGTCCAGGGAGTGGCCTGGGGTAGCACATGCCACCCTTAGATTCTGATTGGCCACCCCAGGTGCCACCACACTAATTTGCCTTTAAATAGGCTTTTCACTGTCCACATAAAGCTTGGGGCTAAAGCAAAAAATAAAAGCATAACCATTGGTGCCACCCATGCACAAAGTTGTGCCTCACCTGGGCCACCCCATTTTAAAAGATCTGGACACGCCACTGTTCTACAGTAAATTAGTCTTTTTCTTTGTTTTGTTTTTTACCTGCAGAACCCAAGATCTGGATCACCAAGTTTCACAGGAGGACAGTACTCTGAAGCCGGACCTTCAGCAGATAACAAAATGCCTCTCACTGACTTTGGGAGTTTCCGATCCGCGGTGAGTCAACTTAAATAAATAAAACAGCTGATCTTATTTACAACTGCTGAGCAGTCTTTTGTACATATTATTCTTTAGCAGCTTGAATACAAAAACACGTGAACATTTTGCTAACATTCAGGACAGAGAGCCCTTGTTCAGAGTTGTGAGCAGCATAGAGCATGTGAAGCGAACGCAATGCAGCAGATGCCTGAGGGAGATTATTTTGTCACCAGGCTAGGCAAAAGGTATTAAGAATGTCTCATTCCCAGGGAAGGCAAGAGAGCCAGAGGATCAAATCAACTTATATTCACTACTACTACTTTACTATGTGTGTATGTCATAATGCAATTACAAAAATCACCTTAACTAGAATATATGATCAGTAATGTTATAGAACTCCAGTAATCATTTAATTTAAACTTTCTATTTTTTTAGGTACCAAATGCTCCTCCTGCCTATGAAAAAATCTCCTCAGGAACACTCCCACCTCCTTACTCCCCGTGAAAGATGGACAACTACAGGATATATGGAGAAATGGACAACACTAAGACCAAACTAAGAACTTATTTGATGAAATAAGACATTACTGTCAATGTAGTTCCTAATCTTTAGTTTCAACAAACAAATGCAAAAAGACCTCACATTCTGGCTTGATAAGAATCTCAAACATACTTGTTCGGGACAGTTACAATGTTTATTTTCATGTAGAAATGTCCACTGTTGTTAAATGAAAATGTACCTAGTAAATATTACTTTTGAAATATCTATAATGGTAAAAATAAATAAATGTGACTCTAAAATATTTACAGACTCAGACATGTAGTACAAATCCACGCATTGGTTAAGACTGCTAGAAATGATAAATGTAGTTTTCAAACTCTTGCTATTTGAAAAGAAAAAGAAACCATGACAAAAACACGTAAAAGGATGTAGACAGCTGTATTTTTTCTGAACAAATCTAGAAGAGCAACTTGTAATAATGAATAGTAAACCGCTGGATATGTCTTGAACCAATATCTAATAAAACTGCAGAAGCTCAACTTGAATTTTTTTTTCATCTACTTCTCACCTTACGGATTTGTTGCATTTACTGGCCATGAAGTGAATCCTTGCAAGTTTACAACATTCGTCTCAGGATTCAAGTTGCCACTTGACAAACCCACAGCATACAATTTCAGTATGAAAACACAAGTTCATGTGGAAAATCATTTAACCAGAGGGTAAAATACTCTGCCTAAAATATAAGATGACTCAAAGTATAACTGGAAGTAGCTATTGGTAGAGGGAACAAACAGACATCCTGCCAAAACGAAATGAAAACAAAAACAAAAGAAAATCAGTGTTCTCACTTCGCTGGCTCAGTGCTGTTCTGTTGGTTCACTGGTGTCTGCCCGAAGAGGGTGTAAAGAGGAATCATGTGTTTGTAGTGCTCCAATAGAACTGTTGGAGGAAACCACCAGTGCATCAAGAGGCTTGGGGGAGGCATTCAGATTTGCTGGATTTACCCGGCACTGAACAGTACTCAAAACGGCACCATCAGGACTAACGAGCAGCTTGGATGGTACACTGGTGTGTGTCCCCAAGGCTGAGATCTGCACAGAGTCTTTTCTAAGGGCTTTATTTGCCGGTATGACAGGTCGTTGGATGGCATTTCTTGATGCCATAGATGTGATTGGTTGCACTGGACTAACTAATACAGCGGTGCTTGCTGGAGCAGCCATGTTCGCAGGTGCCATTTCAAAGGTGCTGACAGTGCTCCCAACTGGTGGAACAGTAGCAACAGGCAGTTGCTTCATCCTGGTCACTGTATTTACAATTGTTGGGACACTCATTGGTGGCAGTATTTGTGTCTTTGTACCAGAAAGCACCGGTTGCAGAACTGGTAAGTGGTTTTTGATCAGAGAGTTTCCTAGCCCAGTTTGCACTAAACTCTGTGGATGAACAGTCGAAGGCGCCGCAAATCTAACTCCAGTCTGCTCTGGCTGTGTAGTGGGTCCAAGACTCATCAATCCAGCCATTTCCTGGCCAGGAAGACAAGGTGCGTCTGTAACCGTCTGAGCTGAAACTGAGCAGAGAGGTGAAGAAACAGGTATAACAGGGCTAGAAAAGGCGCCCGCTGATAAGCTGGGAAATACAGGTAAAGATGATAAGGCTCCTGACAATTTGGGCAAGGGAGTTGATATTGGAGCTATTGTAGAAGAAGATGTAGTCTGGGTAATTGTGGCAGCAGGTATTCCGATTGTGGCTAGTGATGAACCAAGAGCAGGGGCACTAGTTGTTACTGGGGAAACGACTGCTGGTACACTGCCTAACCTTGGCGGGGAAGAAGCCAGAGTGGATGTACATACAGAAGGTGATCCGAAGTTACCTGCATGGACAGATGGGAACCTGGGAAGAGCTGATACTGCATGTGTTTTGCTGGTTATCTGTGTTGAACCCAGGCCAGATGCTCCGAGTCTGAATGGTGTGACATGTGGTGCACTTGGTAACAAAGCAGGTGTGCATGCAACTAAAGAAGAACTTACAGCTGGCACTAAAGGCAGCTTGGCTGAAGTTTGGGGTAAAACTGGTGCCAGAGGGGTGAAGTTGGTAGGGCTTTGCCCTTTGAGAGCTACTGATGGCCCAGTGATGGTATGAGTGGCAGTAGGCACTTGTGGTTCAGGGCTAGATATAATAAGTACATGACTGCCTGGACCCAAGCCCTGGGGAGGGACAACAAATCGTGCATTGTTGAGGAAGATTTGTGTGCCAGCAGTAAGATGCGTAGAGGTGTTGATGATAATCTTTTGCTGAACTGTCCCAGTAGTCAAAGTGGGGAATGAAGCGCAGGTGCTTGGTGCGAAAGAGAGGGTTGTTTGGGTTTTATTATGAGCAAGTTGAGAAGAGGGAGGTAAAGCTACGTGCTCTTCATGTAAAGTGCTTTTGAAGAAATGGGGCTTAGGGTGAAGTACAGATGTCCAAGTTTGGGCTGGGCTACCCCCTGCAGAATTGGTTACCTGAACAGGAGAGCTTCTGGGCGATATACTTGTAAGGATACAAGGGTCATTCTGGTTCAGATTTCCTTTAAGCAGGCCAGGACCAGTAGAGCTAGTGCAGCTCACCTGGGAGATACCAGAGATGGCGGCTACCCCCTGGAGTGGAGAGCTGGTAGGAAGAGAACTGCAAGTGCCAAGCTGGGAGGAACATCTTGTAGCAGAAGTTGTGAATGAGACCTGTCCTGTGGTGATGGCAGCTGTGGAAAAGCTTGTCCCCAATTCAGACACTGGTGTGGTTGTTGAAGAACAATGTGACAGGGCACCGATCGTCTGTCCAATAGAAGTCGTCTTTCCTAACGAGAATGCAATGCCTAAAACAAAAAATATTCTAATTAATATTTGTGAATGATATTTAAAGATTTGGTTATAAATCAATAATGAGCTGAACTGTATTCTTCTTCTACACACTTTAGCAAATTCTATTTGACTGGAGTTTGTCAAAGGCAAATTGGACTAGGTGAATGCAGCAAAGCATAACATTTTCAATCAGCTCCCAATCTGTGATATACAATATTCTTGGTACCTCATAAAACACAACTACCTTACACCACATTAATGTTTAATTTACAATCTAGATCCGACCAGAATAGAAAAAAAAAATCAGAAAATTAAACCAGAAAATTCAAAAAATCAATCTAACACCAAACTTACTTGAAGGCATTGTCATGTTGTTGGCCTTCGGCGATGCCTCTGGGCTGGAGCTGGCATTTGTTGATGATTTTGTTGTTAGAGTCTGACTTGATACTGAAGAAATCATTGACTGTCCACTCCCGGTTGCCATCACCTGCTTTGGTAAATTTCCCATGAAAGTGGCAGTCGAGGTCACAGAGGGCTGACTGATGAGCACAACCTTGGAACTGCTGAAAGATTTTGGGGATGAAGGTGTGTTTTTTGAAGTGGCTTCGTTTGGTGTCATGGAGGAAGATGGTGTGACTAGAAAACGCTTAGTAGCCTGGGGACTCTCATCTGCACTGGGTCGTTTTGCACCAGCCTTTTTAATGAACTCTTGTGTAAGAACTTGCGAAACACCACAGCTACTTAGTGATGGTGCACTGTTATTAAACCTTGAAGCTGGAAAAGAAGAAGCAGAAGTGGATGTGGGCACCAGTTTGGAAATCTCTGTTTCAGCCATAAGACAATTAGAGATTTTAGGGCCTGGACTTAAAGCAACATTAGCGCTTGTAGTTTGGCTGTCTTGGCCTGTCAGAGGAATGCGACCAGTGAGTGTGGTGGGTGTAGAATTTGTAGGGTTGGGACTGTACTTTTGGGCTGTTGAGATACTTGTCACTGTTGAGGCGGAAGATGGGGGTGTCTGAGAGATAGCAGAAGCAGAGAAGGTAGGTAATGCCTTGGATACAAGAAAGGCTTTTAACTGAGGAGAAATGGTGATAATTGGACTGGTAGGAAACAAACCAAGTGTATTGTGGTCTGAGGATGTCTGGACCTTGACAATGCCTGTGTTGCCTCCTCTAGTTGTTACCAGGATGGACTGAGAGCCACGAATACACATGGTCTTTAGCTCCTGTTTAGGTTCTGCCAATTTAACAGTGTCAGCAGAAACTTTCGGAAGAGTTGTGACAGGTGAAGTTGTTGGTACACTACCTTTTGGTGTGGTGGTTTGGACATTGCAAACTTGTGTTTCATTATATCCTACAGTGTTTAAAGTCCCTTTTTGCAAGGGAAGGGGGAAAAAAGGACCAAGATTTTTCCCAGGCTTGGCATCTTTTAGTGTGTCCACATGTTGAACAGTGACATTACTCTCAGGGATGCTAAAACCAGGCACGTCGGTTGATATACATACAGGGCTAGCCACCGTAGAAACTGTAACCTGAATGCCCTTCGATTGTTTTGGATTCAAAATGGGTTTTTTTGTTTCAGTCTGTTTAACGAGAAGGTTGGAAGGCAGAAATACCACCTGCTGCATAACCTTCTCTGCAGTTTTCTGGTCCAAAACTGAATGAACAGACATCTTGACTGGGTTGCTGTTGTCTTTTCTTACAAGGTGACCAAATCCCTCAGGTGCCTTATACACTACTTGGACAGGACTTTTTTGTTCACTTTGGGATGTTTTGGCCTGTGGTGGTTTAGGAAGAGCAGCTGCTTTTGTACTTAGCTGCTCAAGGACTTGTGTCTGCTGAGGTGACTGTGCCGTCATTTCCTGCAGGCTCTGTTGGTAAACGGATGGGAAGCTTTGTGCTTTTACAATTTTGGGGTTGGCCACTGTGGAGGTAGAAACCAAAGACCCCTTTCTCTGTTCATCTGCACTGGAACTTAAATCAGCTGGTCTTTTCATCAAGGTCACTTTGTTTCCCACGCTCTTGGCCAGCAGGGTCGGAATGGGCGTGTAGCCCTTGGGTAGTCCACCAGTCAGGTTTAGAATGGGGTATTTGGGTGACAGTGAAAGATGTGCTGGTAGACCTGGTGTCCACGCCGGATCCTTGGATTGATTCATTTGGATTGGCTCCAATTTTAACTCTCTTCTCGACTCCGCAGTAGTGGTGCAAACACCTTTCTCTTTAATGGTCAAAGGGTGTTTGGGGTGGTTGGCAGGTTCGCAGGTTTCTTCTGCAGCAGACTTGGCAACAAACTCTGTGGTGTTTGCTTAGAACAAAACAAAGATATTCATTAGATTTATAAAATTATGTTATCCATTGAAATGCTTTTCTGCAAGTCAATCACACATCACAAGATTGCTCATGTATGGGGCAAAATGAAGTAGTTGCACCTGTTTGTTTTAGAAAGCCAAGCTCCTAAAAGACAACAAACACATAACCAGAAATTGCCAATTATTCCACAGAAATTATGTGTATTTAAATATTTGGCTATATGCAGCTTTTCTTTGATAAAAACAACAAGCTTGTTGTTGACGATGCAAGTAAAATCTCAAGTTAAGAGTATTGTCAGGATTTTTTATTTTCTCACGAAATTCAATGACAAGATGAATAACAATAATAATAAAGGAGTGGTAATCTTTAACTGACATAAAAATATAAAGCAAGATTGCTTAATAATAACTACATAGAATTTACCCAAGCCGGTAATAACGCTAAACTGTTAAATGGCATTTTATTATGAAAAACCAGGTTATTAACGAGCATTTTCTGCTAGCTGCCTTTAGCCCCATGGTTGTAAATAATGTTGCTAAAATTCTAACAATGATACACGCTGAATATTAAAGGTTGAACATGGAACGCGGACAATCTGGTTAACTCTGGTGTTCAGAGGTGGCATCGCAACAACAGAATTAATTTAGCAGCCGTTGGGATATTGATTCACTGCTGACACGTTCCAGCACCATGTTCAGTGACAAATTATATAGGATAAGGACTAATTTATACAAATAAGTTCACTTTACAACAGCATTTACCGTCAGAACATCTTGTGGGCTCAGAAGCAGCTGCTTGACTTGTCTCTGTCAGTGCGCCCCAGAGCAGCTTTGGCTACATGGTAGCTCATCTCCATCGGTGTGTGAATGTGTGTGTGAATGGATGAATGATACACTGTAGTGTGAAGCGCTTTGGAGTCCTTACTCTGAGAGGCGCTATACAAGTGCGGGTCATTTATCATTTATTAAGTCTGCCATTTTACACAATCCCAACCTTGCCTCGCTGAGTGGACTTTTTAGCACAAAGGTGCCCTCTAGTGGCTGGTAGATATAAACATAAACCCAGTGATGTGCCCGTCAAAATAAAATTTTAATAAGATTTTTTTTTGTTTAACTTTTAAAGTGAAAATTGCACATTCATTCTTCACACCTCTAAACGCCTCGTGGAGGTTTTATTTTTTTAAATATATCTTTTTATTAAAATGTTCCATATTCCACCTTTAGTTTCAAGTGTCCTATATTTGATTACATTTTTCATAATTAACACAGTGTCATTTATTTGCATTAGTCAGGAAAAAAATGTTATCTTACTTTACAGTGACCAAAATATGAACATTACGATCGTTCCAAAACAGTCTCTTTACCTCCAATCCAAAGGCCTCTGGGAACGGCATGTTCCTGGTCGTTCTCTAATTCTACACAACAATCCTTCTCCAAGTCCCTCTCTTCATAATCATAATCGGATGATGATGATGATGATGATGAAACACACTCCTCACGCACAAAGCTGTTGTACTCTGGGTGCTTCTTGAAATCATCAAACTCCTTCTTTAAACGAAGCCTGCATTTGCAGAACAATAAGTCTGTTTTAGCTGACCTAAGTTTTTGAACAAGCATTTCATAAAAAACTGTATTATGTAACTTGAGAGCTGAAATTACAAACCTGTTTCTTTGGCAGGCCTTAACGAGTTTGGGTTCCCATGGTAAAAGTTCGTTCAAAAGTCTGATCAGAGTGCTGTGGAGTTCTTTCACGGCTTCTTTCTTGTAATACCACCGACCCTGCCGGTCAACACAAGGAGACAATATTAACACGGGGCTCTTCTCTGTAGACTTTTGGAACAAATCATCTGGACAGAGGAATGACCGTTACCTACCAATCTCTTCTTCATGCTCTCCAGTTCATCAAGCTCATCTTCAATCTTACTGATAAGCTCTCGTAGTTCATCTAGACTGCTGCACACCAACTACACAGGACAACAAATGTAATGAAAGACTGTAAACCGTTCCTTTGAAAGGACTTTTTAAATTATTCAGTCATTTAGGCTACAGAAAAACAAAAAGTGTTCATTACAAAGAGCTTGAGCCGCATGGCTAATGCACATTTAAAAAGCAGCCATTTATTTCACTTTTATTTTATTGCAAACAGACTCAACCTAATATTGTGTTTAGTCTCATCTGCATGTCAGATCTGCTTTACATACTAAAAAACGTGATGAGATCATAAATGCCGTTTCAAACTGGTTATTTTAATTACATTTGTCACAAAAGAAAATTACAATAGCAGTTCTTATAACTGTTTCATATAAACTTGTACAACTGTTATAACAAAAATTTTATCTTTAGGGTTTTTTCTTAAGTTTTTATTTCACTTTATTTTATTTTATTTTATTTCTGGAGCTCTTCCAACAATGTGTTTCATGAATGTGTTCACAATGAAGTCTCAACGGCGGCTTAAAAACACTACAGTGGACTTTACGTTGACGAAAATCAAAATGCTTAAAACTTCTCTGTGCAAAAATAAAAGATTTCTCTGGACTCAGGACCTCAGGAAACTTAAAATAAAAGTCACATGTAGATTTGTAGAGAATCAGCTCCTCTAAATCTGAGACCATGGTCTTGAATCAGAAAAGGATAGAATGTGTTCTCCAGGTCAGGGATGAGGTCCTGCCCCAAGTGGAGGAGTTTCTTGGGGTCTTGTTCCCGAGTGAAGGAAAGATGGAGCGTGAGATTGATAGGCGGATTGGTGCTGCGTCTGCAGTGATGCGGGTGTTGTATCGGTCTGTCGTAGTGAAGAGAGAGCTGAGCCAGAAGGCAAAGCTCTAGATTTACCGGTCGATCTACGTTCCTACCCTCATCTATGGCCACGAGCTTTGGGTAATGACCGAAAGAACGAGATCGCAGATACAAGCGGCCAAAATGGGTCCACAGGGTGGCTGGGCTCTCCCTTAGAGATAGGGTGAGAAGCTCGGTCATCCAACAGGGGCTCAGAGTAGACCTGTTACTCCTCCACATTGAGAGGAGCCAGTTGAGGTGGCTCGGGAATCTGGTTAGGACGCCTCCCTGGTGAGGTTTTCCAGGCATGTCCAACCGGGAGAAGACCCAAAGGAAGACCCAGGACACGCTGGAGAGACTGTCTCTCGGCTGGCCAGGGAACTCCTTGGGATTCCCCTGGAGGAGCTGGCCCAAATGGCTGGGGGGAGGGAAGTCTGGGCCTCCCCGCTTAGGCTACTGCCCCCTACAATTCTAATAAATCATTCATACTAGAGACCACAGCAAAGCCTTTGTGCTCCATCCATAAAGATATAACAAAATCTTTTAAGTTTGTGGAAAAGAGCATTACAATAAATAAATCACAACTTTTGGGGGGATTGTAGGGACTGAAACGCCAGAATGTATTTTACTAAAGTTAAAATGTGTATCTGGTTCATTTGGTTTGCCAGAATGACAGTTTAGAATCCTTTTTTTCTGATTTGTGTCTAAGTGCATTTACCTTAAATGATGGGAAAGGGGGAGCAGCTTCTTTAGCTTTCTTCAGTGACTCAGCTTTTTTCTCTGTAAGCAATAAAACCAGATAGGTGAAAAAAATCTGGAGATAAACGCAAAAGTAAAGGAGTGGATTTACATCAGCATTAATAATCTTTCTCACCAGTCTTGTGCTTTCTCTTCTTCTCTTTTCTCTTTATCGTTGTGGCAGATTTCTGAGCTGAAGACTTGGCAGCCTCGGTCTGGGACAGCCTCGTCTCTTCGTGGAGCAGCAGATGCCCGCGCTCCCGTTTGACTCCCACCAGCTGTTCCCCTGCCCACTTTTTCTTCCGCTTCTTTTTGTTAGTCCAGCTCTTGTCATTCACCCTCTCTTCACTGGAGTTTTGAGTACTCTCAGAGGACAACGGTGTTGCTAGTCTGGACATACTGCAGCAGTAGATGTCCCCTGCAGATTTAGCATCACTAGCTGTGTTTTTGCAACATTCTAAACAGGGGGACATTTGGTGTCCCTGACTGGGACTTACTTCCTCCGACTTCACTCCCAGGAGTTGAGCCAGGGATCCCAGACTTGCTGAGGAAGCAGGCGACCGGCCCATATAACTGTGCTCTCCTACATTCAGACAGGGATCTTCAGTTTCTGCTTTGAAGGTACGTTCAGAAGCCAGTGAGAAGACTCGCTCCTGCTTAGATTGCTGCCCCACAACTGAAATCTCATCTTTCATTTTTACATCACACTCCCCAAATAGTTTGCTTTTTGTGACAACCAAGGAGTTAGCATTTTGTTTTGCACCTAATTTAGAGTTGTCACAGGAGTGTCCGTTGGAGGATCGTAACTCAGACGGGGACCACAACTGAAATCTGTGTTTATCTTCTTGACTGTTGCCTTCCAAATTTTTGATCAGGGTCTCTGTTGTCCTTTTTACAAAATCACATTCTTCTGAGTTTATCTGTGCTTCATCGTTTCCATCTTCTTCACTTTTTATTACATCCGACTCTTCACCCTCTGTCCCGGCTTCTGTTTCAACTCTTTTCACCAGAACAGAAGGAAAAGGAAAAGCTGGAGGTGTGCTGGGGCTCTGGCAGTAGATCCTCAGGTCTGCTCCACAGAAATGTGGGAAATGTATGTAGGCATTTTCTTTGCCGTCATAGCCTAGGATGGACTCCCTACATTCATGGATGGGTTGGGCCAACACGGCGTCCTGTACGTCCCTCTGTGTCTCATAGACGTGGTCACACAGGCCCTTCAGAAGCCAAACCCGCTGGTAGAAGGGCAACAAATGAAAGGGTTTCTCCTCCAGAGGACTCGCCTCCCCCAGGATGCTAAAGAACTGGTGACAGAGTCCCAACTGCTCGGCGCGACGAGGCTGATCGCGGGAAGCCCCGATGGCTCGGTACCAGCCTAGAATGCGTTGCCTCAGCTCCGACTCCCAGCGGCGGTACGGCAGTGCAGGCCGGCGGTGCAGGGTCGCCCTCCGCTGTGGAGGGGACAGCAGGGAGGACATGATCTTGGACAGGAGCAAGCTGCAGCGTGGCATCAGCAAACATCGTTCCAGCTCAAAAAACACTATCTCAGGGAGGTTGAGGGCAGTCTGAGCGAGGCAGAGAAAGTGTCCGACAGCAGGGAGTTCCCACACGGTGTCCACCGTGTGGGGGGAAGCTTGGGATAGCAAGCCCTGCTCCCAATCCTCCACCTCCTTGGCTGACATTTCTTCTGCCTCTTTCTTCTCAAGCTCACGTTGCCTAAACAAGTGCAGAGCGAGGGATTTATTATGGTTTGCACAAAACTTTGAAACTTTACTCCTAAACAACCACTGACCTCTTTTCTTCCTTGGCTCTTTGCTGCTCTTCCAGACGTAGCGTCTGAACCATGACAGATTCATGCCCGCCAACAGTAGCTGTAGCAAAGTATCGAGATGCCTGCCTTTTCCTCGTGGATGTGCCCCCCGAGCCCCGCTCCTCCTCTGCACCAAAACGCCCTTTTGAAGTCATGGCCAGAGTTGTTTTTTCTCGCAGCGTCCTTGTTGGACAGATTGAGAGAACGACAAGCGTCACTATAGGTGCAAATCTGTCACATTTGTTGGAGTAGTATATTCCACAATCACATCTTCCAAGGCCGAATAAACATCTGAACATTTAAAAAAAAGCATCTCCATACCTGGAAAGCAATGTAAGTTTCTGCTCCATCATAGTTTCCAGCTTTTGAGCCTGCTTGGAGATCCAGTGGTCCACGCCGTAATAGCGATAGCAGTTCTCCAACATGAGCCTGAAGTCTGCAACAAACTCCGTTATGGTCTCGTATTCCTGACTGATAAACTTCTCCTCTATCCTCTTCAAGCACATGGACTGCCTGAGCTGAGACTGAACACGGCCCTGATGCTCTCCATCACCATGACGGGTCTCATGGCGACCGATTGGATGAAGAAATGAGCCGGTGATTCCTTTGTGCTTGTCCGAGAGAAAGCTAGTAAATATCTTATAGGCTTGTTGGACCTCATAGTTCATATCATCCTCAAAGCTATCTCTGTTAGAGGAAATGCAGACCTCGGGCAAGAGGGAATCACTGTCAGGAAACTCTGACACCAAATCGTTGCTCAGAGTCAGATGTTCATCCCCAGCAGTAAAATGTTCCCTGTCTTCAGAACAGCGTAATCCTAACAGAGCCTCCGCCTCACAGGATCCATTGCTGAGCCTGTCTTCAGATGGGTTATCTGAGCTGTTGCTCGCCCGTTTGGATTTTGAAGACATAATGCGAGACGTGGACTGTTGAGGTGCTGAGATACGGTCTAACGCAGTCCGATCCTGCTTAAGGGGCCACTTCTGGCTACAGTCAGCGCCGACTCGGTCTGTCATGTCCTCCTGATCCACTACACAGGTGCCTACAGATTTATTTGTAACAGGGGTAAAACGTTGATTTCACACCAACATAAGTTGAACGTGTTTCAATTAGGAAAAAAGTAAACAGGACGGACAAAGGTTTATACTTGCAGACTTCCTGAAGGTGTCAATTTAACAACATGATTATGATCACTTTAACTTTGCAAAAATAACATTTGACTTGTGCAACTAATAATTTTTATTTTTTATTTGCTGGAAAAATCAATTAAACACACATAGACTGAATGTTTTAGATAACTGTACAAAAAGATTTACGATCAGGGTGAATGCTGGGTGCAACAAGAGAAAAAAAACCTCGATGGTTAAGTAAACATTTTTTGTTAGCCTAAAGCAGGACAACTCAACAGAACATGTCATGTGAATTTGTCACTTCTTTAACATCTCTTGTTTAGATTGTGAGACTATGCCCCAAACAAAATCACAGATGGGTTAAACGGTCAGGATTCCTCATATCTCAGGACGTTGTATTTTTACAGATTTAAAGGGACACATGTGATCGAGGTCAAATTACAACCACGTACTTTTCTGATCACCCGAACTTCTGAAAACTTTCATTTTTCCTGAAAATAAAAGGGGTACTTAGCTCGAAGTTAGCGCCGAGTAAGCTAACCCCAATGAAAACAAAAGTAAACAGAAGTTTGTTCTGCTTTGTGATTAAGAAGACTCCCTTTGCGCGTTTCTAATCCTGATCACGTGCAAAACAGGAGCAAAACAAAGCCAGCAGAGACTGAGTTGCTTCAACAACATACCTTGACGTTTTGAGTGCGGCTCCTCATATACACCTTACAGCTTTAGCAAGCTTAGCAGCTACGACAGCTTGCTAGCAGGCTATTGTCTCCAACGTGGGGCCTGCAGTTGCTGCGTTCACTTTCCATATTATTTAGTTTAATCTAATTTTATCTCCACGAGACAAAAAAGTTACGCAGGCTAGTCAATGTCGTCATCGCACGGAATGATGTCAGTGACAGCGGGGAAGCTATTGTAGCTTTAGCCGAAGTAACAGCAACTACTGTTTGGTAATAAATAATAGTTCATTCTCACTAGCTATTCCGCTAACTACGGCGTGTCAAGTTTACAGTTACTTCGTGACATGTGAAAATTTTTACGGTCGCTTCAGAGACAATTGCATGCCATGTGTCGCGTTGGGAAGCCTGGTCGATTATTCCGGGTAACGACAACTGGGCTATCTCTTCTCCAGCATAGATGCTCTACTTCCCTGCGTGCACTCGATGCAAATGTGTCCAACCTGACGTAACAGGCTGCTTCTCATTTTTATTATTATGGAGCAAAAACATTCTTACCCTATTTGTATCTTCGTGTAATTTGTGATTATTTTGATAACTGGTGAAAGAAAACAATTTTAATCGGTTGTTAAGTTTAAACAAACCAAATAAAATAAAAAACAAACGAAAAACTACACTACAGATTTTGTGTACGGCTATTGTTATTTTCGGTAACTCGTGTAAGGCACGAATGCACAACTAGTGCGATTAAGTGACTTTTTTTGGGTACAGACAACAAAGAAAACACTTTTAGGTACAACGAATTTCACTTTATAACCGCTAGATGTCGCTTAGTGTACTACGATTGTGTCATTTTATGACAAGCCATTTTATCATTTAAGTGCAAGTAGACATAATTTCGGTTGTCGCTGACGATAAGGATAAAGTGAACTATACACATTCAATTTAGCTGAAATAAATTCAATCTAACTAAAACTAAACATTTCTATCTAATGTGTTTTAGTGTTACCAATATGATCCTTAATGGGTAGAAATGCAATATTCATTATGTGTTCAATGTCAGGACTCAGGTATCTCCCGGCTGACCTTTGGACCACAACTCCCGACATGCCCCTCGTGGGGAGCTCCCAGAGTGCTCCTCGCGGGGATTCCCTCCACGTCACAGCCAAGCAAGGCTATATATGGAAAACGCCGTGACCGGCTTCTCATCTCAGTCATCGTTTCTTCCTCACAGTCACAGAGATACGACCAGAGAAATAATAAAACTGTTAAACGTCTCACCTTGTTCGTCTCCTTCATCCAGTCTGATCAGCCTGACAGGATGACTGAGTATTGGGGTCGCTCAGTCTGGGTCTTCTTCTACCCCTGTCGCTACTAACCGTCTCCTTATTCCTGTCACCCTCCTCCATGGTGAGGCCTCACTCCACGTAAACGCATTGGTGGACTCGGGGGCCGCGGACAATTTCATGGACCTAGATCTGGCAAAACGCCTACGGATCCCCCTACAACCCCTGGAGAGAGTTATACCAGTGACCTCGGTGGACGGTAGGCCTCTCCAACCCTACCCAGTCCAAGACCGAACCCAGTCACTCCGTATGATCACCCAAGGCCACCAGGAGACCCTCCATTCCCTGGTCATTTCTGCTCCCTCTTCTCCTCTAATCCTGGGGTTCCCCTGGCTCCGTCTCCACGACCCTCATATTTCCTGGTCCCAGAACCGCCTGCTGGGCTGGGGGACCTCGTGCCAGACCCACCTCGTTCCTCCTCCATCCTCGGCGGGTCTTCCGGACGGGGGCCCCGGCTCCACACCGCCCCACCTGCCGCTGCCCTATCGGGACCTGGCCGCGGTGTGCGACAAGCGGCGCGCCACCTCCCTGCCACCTCACCGGCCATATGATATGGAGATCAAGCTGCTACCCGGAACCAGTCCTCCTCGCGGGCGCCTTTTCTCTCTCGCGCCTCCCGAGACCAAAGCGATGGAAGAATACATCGCCCAGGCCCTCCAGCAGGGGTTCATCCGACCCTCCTCCTCTCCGGGTGCCGCTGGCTTCTTCTTCGTGAAGAAAAAGGAAGGCGATCTTCGCCCCTGCATAGACTATCGGGGTCTGAACAAGATCACGGTCAAGGACCGCCATCCTCTGCCGCTCCTCACTACCGCTCTGGATGCCATCTCCCAGGCACGGATCTTTACGAAACTGGATATCCGGAGCGCCTACAATCTGGTCCGTATAAAGGCCGGGGATGAGTGGAAGACCGTGTTCATAACACCCACCGGCCACTGGGAGTACCTGGTTATGCCCTTCAGACTATGCAATAGCCCTGCTGTCTTCCAACGTCTCATTAATGATGTCCTCCGCGACATGCTGGGACGGTGGGTGTTCGCCTATCTGGACGATATACTGATCTACTCCAAATCCGATGCCGAACACATCCATCATGTTCGCGCCGTCCTGACCCGGCTCCTGGACCACAACCTGTACTGTAAACCCGAGAAATGCTCCTTCCATCAGCAGTCCATATCCTTCCTGGGCTACATGATCTCGGACGAAGGGATAACCATGGACCCTCAGAAAATCCAGGCGGTGAAGGACTGGCCCTTGCCAACCAGCCTGAAACAACTGCAGAGTTTTCTGGGTTTCTGCAACTTTTACTGCCGTTTTATAAAGAACTATAGCACCCTCGTAGCCCCTCTCACCTCTCTCACTCGACCAGGCTCCCCTGGCCAGCTGTTTCGTCTAACTCCCGACGCCATTCGGGCCTTCCGCCACCTGGTCACCCGCTTTACCTCGGCCCCGATCCTCCGCCATCCAGATCCTGCAGTTCCCTTTGTGGTCGAGGTCGACGCCTCTGACGTCGGCGCCAGCGCCATCCTGTCTCAAGGCGGGCCCGACGACAGGCTCCATCCCTGCGCCTACTTCTCCAGGAAGTTTTCCACCACCCAGCAGAAGTACGGTGTGGGCGACCGTGAGTTACTGGCCATAAAATGGGCATTGGAGGAATGGAGGCAGTGGCTTCTGGGCACCACTCGGCCTTTCACGATCTGGACTGACCATCAGAACCTGACCCACATTAAATCTGCCAAGCAGCTTAACCCTCGCCAGGCTCGCTGGGCCCTCTTCTTTGAACCCTACGACTTCCATCTCGCCTACCGCCCGGGAGCCAAGAACCAGAAGGCGGACGCCCTCTCCCGCCAATTCACCCACTCCACGCCCTTGTCCGAGCCAGCGCCAATCCTCCCGGAACACCGCTTCCTGGGCCAACTGAGGTGGCCGTTGGAGGAAGCTATCCAGAACACCCTCCGGGACGACCCCGCGCCTCCAGAGACCCCCGCGGGTCGCCTCTATGTCCCCACGGCCTGTCGCAGCGAGGCGTTGTCCTGGGCCCACTCATCACGCCTGTCTGGCCACGCTGCTTTCTCCAGAACTCTTAAATTCCTCCAGCGAGCCCTCTGGTGGCCAGGCATGGCGAGGGATGTGAAAGAATACACCAGCGCCTGTGACGTCTGTGCCCGCTCCAAGAACCCCAACCAGGCCTCGGCTGGTGCCCTCCGACCTCTTCCGGTGCCCAGCCGCCCCTGGTCCCACGTGGGGCTGGACTTCGTCACGGGTCTCCCGCCGGTCAATAACCTCAACACTGTCATGACGGTTACGGACCGCTTTTCCAAGTCTGTCCATTTCATCGCCCTTCCGGGTCTCCCCTCAGCCCAACGCACAGCGGAACTGTTCCTGGAGAACGTGGTGCGCCTCCACGGGTTCCCAGTCGACGTGGTCTCGGATCGGGGGCCCCAGTTCACGGCCCGGTTCTGGAAAGCTTTCTGTCGGCTGATGGGAGCGTCGGTCAGTCTATCTTCAGGCTACCACCCGCAGACCAATGGCCAGACGGAGCGGGCTAACCAACAGCTGGGTCGGTACCTTCGTTGTTTTGTCTCGGCTCAACCCTCGCAGTGGCCTAAATACCTCCTCTGGGCGGAGCTGTCCCACAATCTTCACACCTCATCTGCCACTCGGCTGTCCCCTTTCGAGGTCTGCTATGGCTTCCAGCCCCCGGTCTTTGCCCACCAAGAACCCGAGGTCGCCGTTCCGGCAGCGGAAGCCATGGTGAGACGCTGCAAGAGCGCCTGGATCAAAGCACGAGCCTCCATAACCAGAGCTAACACCAGCTATGCTCACCAGCATCTCCGTTGACACCGTCCTGGTCCCTCCTATGCTCCTGGGGACAAGGTCTGGGTGTCCACGGCTGACCTTCGGGTCCGTGCCGGGTCCAAGAAACTCGCCCCTCGGTTCCTTGGCCCATACCCCATCCAAAGGGTCATCAACCCGGTCACGTACCGGTTGCGGCTGCCGGCTACTCTCCGCATCCATCCCACCTTCCATACCTCCCGGCTCAAGCCCTACGTGGAGTCCTCCCTTCTCCCGCCTCCGGCTCCGGCGCCGCCTCCTGCCCGCTTCCTCGACGGTGAGCCTATCTACACCGTCCGGCCCATCCTGGACGCTCGCCGCAGGGGTCGGGGCTGGCAGTACCTGGTGGACTGGAAGGACTATGGCCCCGAGGAACGCTCCTGGGAGCCGGCTCGGTCCATCCTGGACCCTTCCCTGATCTCTGACTTCTGGGTCCGCCGGGGTCGCGCTGGGACTTCTGGAGCCGTCCCTGGACCGGGGGGTCCTGTCAGGACTCAGGTATCTCCCGGCTGACCTTCGGACCACAACTCCCGACATGCCCCTCGTGGGGAGCTCCCAGCGTGCTCCTCGCGGGGATTCCCTCCACGTCACAGCCAAGCAAGGCTATATATGGAAGACGCCGTGACCGGCTTCTCATCTCAGTCATCGTTTCTTCCTCACAGAGATACGACCAGAGAAATAATAAAACTGTTAAACGTCTCACCTTGTTCGTCTCCTTCATCCAGTCTGATCAGCCTGACATTCAATACTCATTCAATACCGGATTTACATAGTATGTCAGTGTCTCTGCTGCATGGTGTTGGAACCCAAGTTTTTTCCTTTTTAATCGTGGTTTTTAGTGGTCGAAGGTAACAATTCTAGGCGACTACCTATGTGCATATGCATGTAACTTTGTTCTTATTTTTCTTCAAACTATCCTCTTAAAGAGCAAGTCACCCCCTATGTCTTACTCCACTCCCACTTCCTGTTTGAAAAATGCAACAAATGTTGTTGCCTGGCAGACCGAGAGGGCGGAGCTTGAATTAAATTCAAAAGCAGTGCAGAGTATTTACCTGACGACAGCGCAACACCGACCGACCTAAGGCACACTGGAGGCGGACGCGCCACGCAGCACCGTCATTTTACATAGAAGCAATTATACGGTGTGTCCGAATCCATGGGCAGGATGCTTGTAAGGTCGCATTTTGAAGTTGATGACATCACAGCGCAGCGACAAGTACTGTCCGAATTCCAAGAATACTCATTCTCGCGTCCTCAAATGCGTCCTCACTCCACCCACATTTTGAGGATGGGTCTGTTGTATCCTCACAGAACAAGGATATCCCAGCATGCTTTGCACGCTGGCTGTGGATTTTCAACAGGAAGCGAAAATGGGGAGAGCTACGAAGTTTGTTTAAAAACTAGCCATAGAAAACTAAAAAGCTTAAAGTGGTTCTGTTTATAGATATTTTTTGTTTGTATTTTTGTTTTTTGGTCTGTCTAAATTGTCCTTAGGTGTGAGTGTGTGTGTGCATGGTTGTTTGTCCTGTGTATCTCTGTGTTTCCCTGCGATGGACTGGCTCTCTGTCCAGGGTGTACCCCGCCTACTTGCCCGTTGACTGCTGGAGATAGGCACCATTCCATTCCATTCCATTCCATTTTATTTATAAAGCGCATTCAACATGGCATTACAACCAGACAAGGCGCTGTACATTAAAAGATTACAGTTAATTAACACGTACAGAATGACATTTAAAGCATAGTTTATAAGAAAAAAAAAATGAAAACAAGAAAATACTAGAACTAACAGTCGTAAAACACTAAAAACACAAAAGGAATGTGAAACAACAGATAAAAACATATGAAAGAACCACAGTAATACAGATGTTAATTATAGTTCATTCTATTGTAGAAAGAATGCAGATGTCGAAAGTGGTCCATGACTATGTATTATATGCAAGGTTGAAGTAGTGAGTTTTCATGCGAGATTTAAAAATGCTAATTGTTGGTGCTTGCCTCACTAGTAGTGGTAATGCATTCCACAGCTTGGGAGCACAGACAGATGCTAATTGTTGGTGCTTGCCTCACTAGTAGTGGTAATGCATTCCACAGCTTGGGAGCACCAGCCCCCCCCCCCCCCCCCCCCCCCCCCCCGCGACCCTGCGTGGACAAAGCGTGTTCAGAAGATGGATGGATTTTTGTTTTTTAAATTACATTTTAGGCAGAAATCAGCCAGAACAAGTTTGTATCGCGGGTCTCGTAGTTATTCCTGTTTGTGTGTGTGTGAGTGTGTGTGTGTGTGTGTGTGTGTAGAGTGAATTAAACTTGTCATTTGTTTTAGGGACAACAGAGTGTTTTTATTAAGCTTAGAGGTGAAGAGTGAAGCTGTTTACACATGAGTACAGTAGTTCTGTGTTCTGCTGTGAAAAGCAGTTTAACATTCAGGGATTTACACAGTTGACACATTTTAATGAAGTTAAAATTTTTTGTGTGAAGAATATAATTTTTATCTTCTCATGTGGATAAATGTAAAAATGTGTTTATTGCCTTTTTGTCACCTGTGGCCTCTGATTTTCTCTGTCTAGGACTGAAGGTGTCCAGCGTCAGGAGAGGCTTTACCTGGTGGTCCTCTTGGGAGAAAGGCCTTCTACTGTTATCATGTTAATGTTATTTAGCTGTTTGATATTTGAACACATTTATTAAAACAAATACTAAATGATAACTCTTTTTAGTCATTGATTTTATCACCAGTTTTATTATTACAGATGTTATTGAACATATTACATGAACAGAAAATTAAAAGATGATAAGGAGACAAGATTATTTATAATACGTAACAATTATTTACAGATCAAAACCAATATGGACCAGTTACGTATGGTTAAAGCAGGATTAACCTGAGTGACTCTTCCTGGATCATTTATTTAAACTGAGTGAGCAGGAAGTCTAAGACAGCAAGGAGGCATACAGGAAGAAGCTGGAGAACAAACTACAGAGGAACAGTATCAGAGATGTCTGGTCAGGGATGAAGAAGATCACAGGCTTCAAGCAGAGGAAGGATTGCACAGATGGCAGCCTGGACACAGCCAATGAATTGAACAAGTTCTTCAATAGGTTCAGTTCAGGAACAAACCCAGCATCCTCCTTGCCTGTCTCCAGCCAATCAGACATCCCATCCTCTTCTGATCCAACATTTTCAGGTCACACACCAGCTCTTTTGTCCTTTAACACAGTCATGGACTCTTCTGGTTCTATAAATCTGTCTTCAACCAAGTCAGGAGATGCTGCTGCCCCATTTACCTCCCCCTCCCACCTATCTGTCTCTAGAAGTCAGGTGAAGAGGCAGCTGGAGAGATTGAACAAGAACAAGGCTGCAGGTCCAGATGGTGTCAGCCCCATAGTACTGAAGGCCTGTGCAGAGGAGCTCTGTGGGATTCTGCAGCACCTCTTCAACCTCAGCCTGGCCCAGGAGAAGGTTCCAGTCCTGTGGAAGACATCCTGCCTTGTTCCAGTTCCAAAGAAAACTCGCCCATCAGTCAATGACGATTACAGACCGGTTGCCCTGACATCCCACATCATGAAGGTCCTGGAGAGACTCCTGTTGGTCCACCTGAATAAGCAAACTAGGACATATCAGGACCCGTGCAGTTTGCTTATCACCATGGAGTTGAAGTTGAAGATGGCATCATCCAGCTGCTTCAACCAACCCACTGTCATCTGGACAAAGCAGGCAGCACTGTGAGGGTCATGTTCTTTGATTTCTCCAGTGCATTTAACACAATCCAGTCTGATGTACTTTGCCAGAAAATCCAGAAGACACAGGTGGGGGCCTCAACTATCGCCTGGATTAAAGACTACCTGACAAACAGACCACAGTTTGTGAGGCTGAAGAACTGCACATCAAACCAGGCGATCAGTAACATTGGAGCACCACAGGGGACTGTACTCTCACCATTCCTTTTCACCCTGTACACCTCAGACTTCCAGTACAAATCAGAGACCTGTCATCTACAGAAATACTCAGATGACTCTGCAGTTGTCGGGTGTATCAGAGATGGACAGGAAGCTGAGCACAGAGAGCTGGTGGAGCGCTTTGTGGCATGGTGTGGAAACAATCATCTGACCTTGAACGTGAGCAAAACAAAGGAGATGATTTTAGACTTCAGAAGAAACAGGGCGGAGTCTAACACTGTTTCCATCATGGGAGAAAAGTGGAGGTGGTTGAGGAATACAAATAGCTTGGAGTTCAACAAAATGCAACACTGCCTCCTGGGGTCACAAATTGTGATGGGTCGCAGAATTGGGTGTAACACCAGCCTTGCTAGACCGGCAAGGACCCGTACTCATAAGCATCCTGCCCACGGATTCGGACACACCCATAGTTAATGAGAGTGGGCACACAGGGTCCCAGAAGTATGGCAAGCCATACAGAAGCGCTGTGCCTAGGCAACACGTTCTCACTCCCAACACGTCCTATATTTTTTTTCGCCATCTCTTAACTAGACGGGTTGGGAAAGTGGCGTATTGTCGTGGTTTAGGCATGCCATACCCTTGGACAAGCTCCCCCTGCGTCTGTATGTGACGCGGAGGTGGCGGTAATGCCCCTTCCGTTGCTTGCATCAAAAATAGATAACAGTATCTAAAATGCTTTTACATCAGTACTTTTATATTTATTTCATCTTTGTAATCCATCTATAATGTCTATTGTCCAGATTATGTGGGAAAAAAGCACTTCTTTTACCATCCGGTTTGTATAGCAAAGCTCTTTCATTTATGTCAATTTTTTTAACAAAAGAAAAAAAATTAAAATTTAAACAAGGGAGACATGTGCGAGGGATCTCTTTCAGATTACACAAAGAGACGCATTTTTAAACCAAGCTTTTTTCCTTTTTTCGTAAATTTTCGCGCTCAGGCAAAGCCTGATGGATATTGGAGTCTGAAAATCGTATTTGGTGGAGTGGTTAAAAATTTAGGCTTGCATTGTAGTTTTTAAACTAAGTGGTGTGTTAGGAATAATTTAGTTAGTTAGTTTTATTTTTGTTTCGTTGCTCTTTTATTCTGAGCACGGCTCCAGGACAGTAGGTGGCGATAATGCACCTAGAAGTTGGTTACCGCCCGTCCCTAACACCAGAAAGAAGGGAAAGAAGACGTCATTTGTAGGCGTTGCAGGTAGGCACACGTTTGTTTGTTTTCTCCATAAACAAATTCTTTTGGCATGGACACTGATTTTCAAACACAATTTATCCCCGCAGAACTGTATTATTTGGAATAACTGTGATATTGTTTACAAAAACAAAAGTTTATTTATTAATAACTGGTTTAGTAATGGAATAATCTTGGTTAGTCAGTTATTTAAGGGAGATGGAATTTTAAATAATTATGTTGAATTTCTTAAAAAGTTTAACATACCAATCACGCCAAAAGAATTCTCAATAGTATTTGATGCTATCCCATCTGGTTTATCTATGCTTTTTAGATGTTCCTGCAATTCTCCCATTGCAGTCAGTACACCAGAAGTTATAAATTCCTCTTTGGGTAGTGCTTGCTTCTCCTCAACTAAGTCAAATAATGCTAAAATAAGATAGTTTTTTCAAATTGCAATGGTTTCTGTACCACCAGCTGTGTCTTATTGGTCCACGTTTGTAACATATATTGATTGGGAAAAAGTTTGGCCACTACCACAAAAGTATAAGGTCAAAGAAATCTCCTTCAAATTGATTCACAGATTCTACCCTGCTAAACAGTATCTGTCTAAATTCGTAGCTGATATTAATGTTCTATGTTCTTTCTGTAAAGAGGGACCTGAAACAGTTTGTCACTTATTTTGGTCTTGTAAATTCACCTATAAATTCTGGAAGGATGCCCATAAATTTATTAGTGACTCTGTTCTTCCTGGTTTTCAGCTTTACTACAAGAATTTTATATTTGGTTATCACAATTTTGACAGCAAAGATAAGAATGCTTACTTTTTGTAAATATGTTCTTGTTTTTGGCAAAGTTTCACATACATAAAAGTAAGTTCAATAGCAGAAAACCTGAGATGCTTGTTTTGAAAATGGAGATGGACACTATATTGGAATGATCTCCTCATCGTAGAATAATAAGGCTCTCAAGACTGTTGATATATGTAATCAGTTGGAAATGTTTACGTATTATTAATGACAGCTTGTTTCTCTTGCTTGTATATCTTTAAACCTCTGTGTACGTCTTTTCTTTTCTTAGTTGTGTATTGCTCCAGGTTTTTCCTTTATTTCTTCTGTTCCTTTAATCGCTATAAAATGCAATAGTGGAATATTAATGTACTTTATGTTCTAATGTGCGGATGTTTATGTGAATTACACTAATAAAAAAGTTTGTTGGTTTTCTATGTGAAATAAAACACACAAAAAATGAATGTTTTAGCTCTCAAAGTTGTTGTTGGCAGTTTGTGGAGTTAATAACACATTCATGCCACAGACAGTGAATGATTTATGACATTTATCGATACTTTTAGCGTGATTTGAACCTGCACCACATGTGGGGGAAAACATGTGTATGTTGATTATATTAAACGTGCCAAAACGAATATTTTTGCTCAGAAAGTTACTGTTGGCAGTTTAGGGAGATAATGCTAGCAAATTCACGCCACAGTAAATGATTTATAACGTTTATTTATCCTCTTGTGCCACACAAAATGTTCAGTAAGCTAGCTAACGTAGCCGCCGTTAGCCACATTAGGTTAAACAACGGCTGGACCTTTTAAATATAAAAACCATCCGTGGCACAGTACCAGAGAAACATGTACTCTTGGTTATTGCTGCCGCTCTGTAAAATCTGATGTGTTCTTATAAACACCAGAGAGCCAAAACTGTATTTATGATTTACTGTACAGCATGTGGCATTTAAAAGCAAGTCAAACTTTCCCCAGAACCGCCAAAATGTTCTTCATCTGTCAGTGATGTTCATTCATTTTGTCAGCGGCGATTACAGAGACACTGGTGTCTAAATTTTATGAAGTGTTTCTTAATTCTGAACATTTTTTTCTTTCTTTGAACAGGTTCTTCATTGATCCGCCCGTGTGCTTATCAACACTATTTCTGCTCCTCATTAAAACTCCCAAAGGCACTTTTAAGAGCCACGTCTGTCTTGTTTATCTGTTCTTACTGCTGTCCTCATTCTTGTCTGTTGTCCCTTTCCCCGTGTCTCTGCCTCTGTGTTGTCTTAGGTGTATTTTTGTTTGTTGTCTTGTCATATACATTGTCTTTTGTACATCAAGTGTTTCTTTTTTTTGTGTCCAACATGACACGCCCCAAAGTCAGGCCCTGTCCATCTTGCCAGACTCCCAATCAGGCAAACAGAAAAACCTGCAGTTTCTGCTTCAAATCTCTATCTACTAAAAAAAACTTTAAAAATAAGGTACAATCACTGGATAGTCGGTGGGCTCAAGCTGTCATAAAAAACAGAAACACTGGCCGAATCATCGACTCTGCATGCATTGCAGTAAGTAAAATTTTTTATTACATAGTTTTTTAATGTAATCCACATTCTCAATTTAGTTAAATATATTGTGTGCTCTAAAAACACCCTGTTGTTGCTTTTAACACCTCTAATACATGGTGTGTTGAAGTAATTAGTGCCAATTATTCTTATTAATTTTAGGTGAAAAAACTTGATGCAATTGGATGCAGGCCTGTCTTATTTCTTGGCAAGCAAGTCAAAGTGTCAAATAAGTGGGTAGCAGATGTCATCACCAATTTGGAATCCACTTCCATTACGAGACACCTACTGGAAAAGATGAAGACAGCTTATGAATTTCTCTTGACTATGGGTAAGAGTAAAAATCTTTTATGTGGTAAAATTTCCAACAGTTCAGTCTAACTTGCCTACATACAAGTGAAAAATATATATATATATTTGTATGTTGTGTGTGTATATGTATATATGTGTATGTATGTATATGTGAATGTATGTATGTATGTATGTATGTATATATATATATATATATATATATATATATATATATATATATATATATATATATATATATATATATATATATATATATTAGTGTGTGTGTTTGTGTCTGTTTTCTAGGCTGCTCCATAACTGTGCAACAGGACACCTCCACAAGCCAGCAAGATGTAATCAACAATCAGGCAGAGACCGTCATCGAGGAGCAATCAGAGGTGGTCGAGGACACACATCATCTTGACCAGAAGACGGGGAAGCTCATTGAAGAGGCGGCAGAAATGCTCAGTCAGGATCATATAAAAGTGCTCCCAGACAATCCAGAAGACAATATATTTGTGCTTCATCTCACTCCAGTTTCTCCCCCTGGCATTTCATGCTCCCAGTCTTCTCTGAAAAAGAAAAGACAGAGGAGCACATCTCCCAAGCCCTCTACCACCTTTCAACCATCCGTTGCACCTACAGATCAACCATCTCCGCAGTCGTCTCCTGCTGACCATGCCGTCCCCCAATCTTTGAGCCAGGATGGCCAAAATGAAACTAAGAGGAGAAAGAGTAAGTTTTGTATTGCATGATGCATCCTAAAGTACATTTGTGCCTAAATGACTCAAACTTTTAAAGAGTTCTTCATGATTCTTGATGACCTAACCTGAACTTACCAACCAGCACTGACTTCATGGTGGCACATTTAATTGCCCTGTTGCCTTACAGTGACAGGTTGCATGTTTGAATCACACCAGCAGTCTCTCTGTGTGGAGTTAACACTGTGTTCTATATATGTGCGTAGGTTTTCAATTTCCTCCCACAAGCCAAAAACCAACATATTATGTGAATTTGCTGCATTGGTATAATGAAAATTCTAAGGTGCTTTTGGTAAAAGCTTCTGCTAAATAAACAAAAATAAACATAAGCAAATTATTCATTAGTAATTTTGCTGTATTTTATGGTTACTCTAAAAAGACTAAAGTTAATAACAGTCCCTAACTTAAGGTAATTATTATTTGATTAAAAAATATATATTTGAAAATTGTTAAAAATGTAAATATCCATACAAAAGTTTACTTAGTATAATTGTTTTAATGTTTTAATTTCTTATTCAGTGTATATGGTCATAGTTTATCTTTTCTTTCTCTTTTTATAAGGTTGCCGAAAATGTATTAGGCAGAAGGTGTTCCGGTTTGAAGCCATCACAGAGAGGAGAACAAATGCGGTAAGACTTATAGCCGCTTTAACTTTGTTTTTCTACAGGCCGTTTACATCAGGCTCAGGGCGGTACGTTAACATTTTTAACCTATAGCACTGGTGCTATAAAGGTTCTATGTATTGTAGCACAGAACAAAAAGTAGCTCCATCATAAAAATATTTTACAATCTCTAAAACACAAAAGTAGTTCTTATAATTACTTAAACACAATGACAAACAATATTGAACTATGTCAGTATAGGACGTGTTGGGAGTGAGAACGTGTTGGCCTAGGTGCTGAAGATAGGTGACAGTTCAATCCGAAGCGCGGTGCCTGTACGCTGTGGCTATTTATGACATTGTGGACTACATTACAACAGACATTACGATGTGGACCGTCTTTACAGCACAAACTCAACCACAATTTTGATTACTTTAAAGCACTATTGATCTTAAAATATTCAAACAAACTAATAATAAATAATACTTACCCATTTTTAATTAATTTGAGTCTCACAAAACACGAAGGCAAGTCTGATCATGTATAAACAATAGAGTCACTTCCCGCTTTCTGTTTTCAAGTTCTGGGTGATGTTGTGACTATTGCGCGACTTTCTAAGAAGCACTCAGCAGCATGGCGCGTCCTGTGTGACTACTTGACTTCTCAAAATTTTGGGCGTGACGCTGCACAGCACGTCCAC